CTTCAAGGTGCCCGTCGGCGTGTGGCCGCGGGATTCCAAGATGAAGATGATTGGGCTATATAACCGCAGCATGATGCTCGACGCGCTGCACGGCGTCGCCGCGAGGCCGTTTACCAGGGGCCTTGGGTGGACGATGGAGGAGGTGGAGGTGTATCTGGTGGGAGTGAGGAGGGATTTGATGGATGCGAGTCAGCATGGGTATACACCGTTTCATGTGGTTGTTGGGCGGAAGCCGGGATGAGGAGGTGTGTGATGGAAGGCTGGGACTTGTCAAGTGTTCATTCTGTTCACCATGGCATGTCCAGCACGTTGGAATTGATTTGAGAATCTCCTATTCAAACTGAATGTGTCATGGCATTATTGACTCAGATTCTAGTTACCCTTGAGGAGAATGCGACAATTCTTCTCGGCCATGGAGGAAAATTGACCACATCTATATCCGCAGCTGGCCTCACATACCTAACTGATTAGTGAGGGGGTCGCTTTCAGGGTCACTTTGAATACACCTCATTAATTCCTCGAATTCGGATTCTCGCCACTGATGAAGCTTAAGCAAAAGAAAGAATCACGTCTAAACGTCACAATGGCATCACGATCCAGTGCAAGCGGATGACAGATCTTGCCAAGCAAAGCGCAGCCAAGACCATATCATCACGGACCATCTCACCGCAGAAGGGCCTCGAACGCCGCCTCCTTCGACGTCAATATCCCTCGCCCAGGTTTCCATACGCCAGAAGACGGACGTCGAGCCGTACGAGGCGCGATTGGGCCTTATATCTCTAACCAAGCAACCGCACGGCATCGCCCTCGGTTCTAAAGAAGGTTAGGGCACACCCATGGGAGCAGCTACCCCCTTATTCCAACCATAGTCGATGTAAGTTCAACAATACCATACAACAACGCGACTGACTTACTTTGACCAGATGGGCGGCAACCAAGGCTACATGTCTTTTTCCCTAACCCTCTCCAACCTCACCTTCGCCGTCTGAATCCAGCGCGCGCTGATCCCCGCGCTGAGAAAGCACGCAAGAGATCGTCGTCAACCATGGGGCTCTGCCGGAACCGGGAACGGCGGGGTACGCGGGGTACGTCGAGGACAAGAACCATGACCTGTTCATGCAGGTCACTGTGAATGCCAGGGAGAGGGAGCCGGACGTCTGGAGGCAGCTCTTTGCGCAGGCGGACGAGCGCTTCCGGTTCGTCGACTTCTGGAGGCCGGAGAGGTTGAGGATGTGGTTCGTCGAGGCGGAGTGGACAGGGGAGTGATGGCGGCGAGCAGGGCCAAGGGTTCTGTGATATGACATCAATTGCAACCCAATGGTACCGTCGATCCAGGCGGGCAAATCGATCTCTCGATACGAAGCGAAGCACACAATGACCCCCATGGGCGATGCATCCACGTCGATCAGCTTACAGTGCCTCCGCCTCGTCCGTCTCTAAGGACTACTTCCATTCCAACATATTGCAAGCCTCACGCATCGAATCTCTGCTCAAAAGGCTAATGATACCCGGTGAGGGTGCTGTGTATTTCGTAATATCTGCCGTGTAGGTCGTCTGTTTCTTCATACTTCGTGCTCGTTTCACACTCAATGCATCTCCATCCCTTCACATAACGCTCCCATTCTCAACATCCAAAAGGAAAGTAAACAAAGCCAAGCCCAAAGCCCAATGCAAGTCCCGCCAGTTGTCCCAACAATGCAATGCAACAGCCAGCCCGTAAAACACGTATCGGCTTCAAAGAAAACATATCAAGAAAAATCAGAAAAGGGTCGCCGCACTTTACAGACCGCAGTTGCTGACCGCAACCTGGGTCGCCGTGGCATCGACGCGTCCCAGCTGGACGGCCTGGCCACCCGTCAGGGCGTTCATGGCGTCGAGCGCAATGTTGAAGCCCGAGGCGGCGTGGTCGACGGCCAGGACGTAGATGGAGTGGCCGCTGTACGAGAGCTTCCAGCAGGTGCCGCACGAGGCCGAGTTCCAGCCCGCGACGGCGGCGGCGCCTCCGATGTAGGGGAAGCGAGGGATCTGGCCCTGCGTCTGCCAGTGGTAGCGGGTGATGAGGCCGTTGGGGCCGTCGGAGCACGAGACGACGGTCAGGGAACGAGAGCCGTCGTCGTAGCCGGTGTCGTAGGAGACTGTTTGGCATGTTAGTCATGGAGAGGACTTGTTATGTAATGAGATGGGACAAGTGTGTTCCGTACCCGTGTCAGCAGTGACGGCGGCAGTGAAGAAGGCGAGCTTGAAGAGGTTGGACAGTTGCATCTTGACGGTTGTGGGATGAAGATGTTTTATCAACGAGAGTCGGCTTGTAAAGTGAATGTTGAAACAAGCGATGAAGCTGAAGAAGACTGTAAGAGCTGAGCTGTTGTTTGAGAGTGTACTGTAGAGTTGAGAATGGCAGCGGATGATGTAGAACAAGATCTCTTCCAAAACACGGGGTCAAGCCCTCTCTTTTATACACAAGAGCAACCACAACCGCAACTCCATCACCGCTTCCAGCTTTCCCTCATCGAGCCCGTCGACTGTTCGCCTCCCCCTCCTCCCCCCCTTCCCGATGCATCGTAGCATCCAGCCATCGCCAAGTCCCTCCTTCTCGTATGGATACGTGCATGTTTGTACATACGTACAGGGACAGCCCATAACTGCAGTATGACTTCCACTTCCCTGGAGAGAAAGAAGGCTTAGACCCGGGAAACGAAAAGAAAAAAAGATGGATCCTGGGGGACTGGAGTCAAAACCAGCAAAGCAACAGGGGGAGCAGATGCAACTGACTCGTCACTGCAGAAACAGCTCAGGCGAGCTTCCGGGCTCTGCTGCTCGTGTCCGATCATCTGATGGCCGATTGCTGGTCCACAAATGGCGGCCTGGACAGCTCATCCCTGTTCACTCTCTCTCCACTTAGACTCTGTTACAACAAAACAGCAAATCGCTGAGATGGCACCGGCATTAACATTGAATTTAAGCATCGAGATACTGGTACTGGCATAGACATGATGTATCAAGTACCACAAGATAACCATTACACGCCGGCTATGACGACAAATGGCAGTGATGATTCTTCATCAATCTTCATGTAGCAGCCAGCCAGGAACACCCAAAAAGAGGCATCCCGCCGCCTCGGTACGTGGTACAAGTACCCTCGGGACGGGCCACTTCCTTACGGTGACACAGGTCACTTGTACGAGTTCCCGAGCCTCCTCTCGAGTCCGGTTCTTGGTGTTGCCGTTACGAGTATTTTCCATGTACTTCGGAGCATGCGGAGAGGGATGGATTTCCAGGCTTAGTTTTTGTGCAAGAAAAGCCAGACGATCGACGTACGAGTACCGGCATGCGTTCTTTATAAATAGTATACTGGTCCAGTTGTCCAATCATGGTGGACGGACGAGCCAGAATCTTCGTCGATGGAGCCTCGTATTTGCTGCCTTTTGCATGAAAAATGGCTGCACACAGCGTCCCATCCTTCCGCTGTTAGCTTACATCTTTCTGCTCATCAAGTACAAGTATACGAAGCATAAACAAGCTCCGTTCAATCAGCCTTATTCAAGCAGACCTAAACAGAACAATCAATTGACCTGTCTAAGACAGTCCTCAGAAGCTTCATCATCTAACCCAGTAGTAACAGAAACAGGTAGAAGATGCAAAACAATGAACCCCCAACTTCTGCATAACCACTCTCCCCCCCTCCGGACCATCGGGGCATTTCACCAGCCCCAAGTCCAACCCAGGCTTCTTCTTCCCCAGACGACGGGACCCTGGACGCCCTAAATCGCCACAAGCCGCGATTTAGTGCCAGCAGTTGCCGATCCGGCTCGTATTGATGACGCAGTGCTGCCGGCCAGGTGATGCGGCTTGTACGAGAAATGGGCGGGCTGGCGGTATGGCTGGATTTTGGGCTGCCTTGCCGGCTGCGTGTTAAGGTACTTTGAGTGTTGTTGTACTTGAAGCCCAACGAGGGGCCAAGGTATGATGGAGAGGGGGGAGAATACGCTTGTTCTTGTTCTTGGATTGTATCTTTACGTCAAGTTGCTTTCTTCAAGTCGTATGAGATGGCTCGGTCATTGCGGCTCGGAGAGATATAAGCAACGCCAAATCCTATGACTTAAGGCAATGCATATGTGACGGAGAATATATGTATTTATATTCTTGAGTATTATTTCTCATGGGATGCCATGTCTTATTGAGGAATGCCTTCTCTTTCTTGTAACTTCTCTCCTGTATTTTCGCAATGGTAGAGCACTCTTTCTTGGAACGTATGTGCTCAGCCGACACCTCTTGGCTTACACCCCGTGATGGCGTATACCAGCATATACGAACAAAAAAGAAAAGAAAGAAAAAAAAGGAGCTGAAAACAATCCCCAAAAAGTGACAAGCGGAACAACGCAAACATCACTTCCACTCTGGGATTCCGACGAAAAAAATAAACCATCCCATTTTCCAGGGTCAGCCGCAGCGGAGTAACGTCAAAAATTCCCGGCAAAAGCGAACGAGGCCAACGCTTGTGCAACCGCCGCTGCGGCCGACGATTTCGACCCGAGAGGCTATTACTATCTACTACCCCCGGCAATAGGACGAGCCTTTTCCCGGCTTATGGCGATCGCCTTTAGCGGCTGACAGGATATCATACAGATCGTGCCAAGAACCTTTGTAGCCTTGGCTTCAAGTTGAAGCTTGATACTGACAAGAGCCGAGGGGATGCCTGTGCATAACAGGTATTTGGGTCAGAGCAGCTCTCCTCCCGTTGCATCGAATGTTACCTTATGATGTTATTCCTTTATAATGTTATTCCCCGAGAATTTATTACCCGGTTCAGCGGATTCTAGACAGTTGTCGTACAACCAACTCCCTACCTCCCATGTCTTTGGCCGTTGTAGGACGGCCGCACGCATGAAGAGTCTCGTGCGACCCAATACTCGGGTTTTGTTCGTGCTTCCCAACAACAGGCCAGAACCCTGTATAATCCCTATGACAAGAACTTGCACGGGATATCGCCGTGATGCCGGCTTCCGTGTCTCTTCTGTTTGCGACATGGGATGGCCCAACACCGCCATGGTGCGGTGTTTAGGCTCCAGGGACCGGTGATGCACGGTTTAGGAGAGGGCATTTACATTGTGACTAACGTAGCTCGATGGAGCCCGAGAATACGAACTGCACCCCCGATACATCAACGATTCAACGGGCACAATGGAACCATCTAGAGAGCGCAAAGTACTACAATTCGTATACAATTCATTCCATGATCACACTATTACTACTGCCATCGGATATGTCGTATACGACCATCGTCACTCACATGGCCCCAGCCGATTCAGCTTGCGCAGAAGCAACATCGGCCAATTGCATGAGAACAGAAAGCACTTCGTCGTGTTGTCTATGTACATCCTTCTATCCTTATTCTAGGCGGTTCCAATCAAACGATTCTATTGCTGTCGAGGCTCCTCGCCGTCTCCGAAAAACGTAAACTCCTCCCCCTCCAGCTTCTTCATCCCCGGCAACACCAGCACAACCTCCTTCTCCCCACCCATCGTGACCCAGCCGCCGTCAACAAAGCCCAGCCTCCGCGCCATCTTCAGCGACGGAACGTTCCCCTCGCCGGTGACGATGCAAAGCTCCTTGATGCCGAAATCCTCCGTCAAGTACTCGAGGACCCTGCCGACCGCCTCGGTGCCGTAGCGCTGGTTGCGATACTCTGGCTTCAGCATGTAGCCCAGGTCCAGCGGGACGGCCGGCGTGCGGCGACAGAGGTTCACCACGCCGATGCGCAGGCCGTCGGCGTCGTCGTTGCCCATGCGGACAATGTAGATGCCGGCGTCTTTCGAGAGCCGGCCGTGGGTGTCGGAGGGCTTGGGCATGACGGACCAGGTGAGGCGGCGGATGTCTTTGGGGGTCCAGTCGCCGCCTGAAGGGCTTGAGTTGGGAGGCATTTCCTCGTTGAACATTTGCGCCACGAAGTCGATGTCGTCCTTGTTTTCCATGTCAAAGAGGGTGAGGGTGAGGCGCTCGGAGTGGAGGACGGGGGAGAAGAGAGCTTCGGGCTGTAGAGACGCCATGATGGAAGACGTGGATTTGCTGGTTGGCTACCAAAGAGGACGACTCGATCTGTTTCTTTGCTTCTGGATGAGAGCAGCGACGGATCCCAGACAATCATCGCCAAAAGGGGCTATTCGGCCATCTTAAGTAGCTGAGCGTCTCGGCTCATAAGCATCTCAACCAGCAAGTGTTCTATTCTAGGCTGATTATGCGCATGGAATCAATAAGCACTACGCCAGATATAAGCCTACAGAACCACGTTCTCGGCTTGAAAACCCGACAATAGTGCGAATGGGATAGGGAGTTGAATCTGGATGAGCCAAATTGGCACGACAAGGGGTTCAATCTCTGACATCTGTCATGTTGGGTCTGACATGATTGAGCCCAATTTGTAGGTTGACACAGTTGAATGAAGCCGTCCAGCTTCAAATGCATGTGGTTGAGCTGTTCGATAAGTCAACACGATAGCTTCTTCAATCGTAAAGTAAGGTCTTTCTGTCTCCTGCAATTAAACTCCATAAAGCATCTTTGAGTTTCCTAACTTGATCCTCGATAGATACAATGCCTTCATGTCCTTCAACTGGCTGTCCGGTGTTATGAAGCTGGAGACTATCGACCCACGATAGAGGGGTCTCCCTTGATAAGCCCCGCCATCGACGCATCAACGCTTGCAGCTCCGGTTATCGGTCCCAATCGTGGCGCCCTGACCATCTTCATTTTCTTCCACCATTCAACAAACCAGCCAAACACTGGTCAAGCAGCCAATTCAACATTCCATTGGCTTGAGTCACAAACAGGAGATCCGCCTTGTAATCTCCTTCGTTTTCTTTTTCTCCAACAATTGAAGCAGCCGAGTCGACAGGACCTCTCCCGAAAGCACCTCTCCGGACCACCGCCACGATGGAGTCATTCGTGATCAAGACGCCCTGCTCCAGCGCCAACATTGGCCCCGGCTTCGATGTCATCGGCCTCGCCCTGTCCGTCTACCTCGAGCTGCACGTCACCATCGACCGCTCCAAGACCAAGTCCGAGCACCCGCTCAACTGCCGCGTCACGTACGAGGGCCAAGGCGAGGACTCGGGCGACATCAGCCTCGACCCGCAGAACAACCTCATCACCCGCGTCGCGCTCTACGTCCTGCGATGCCACGACCAGCGCAGCTTCCCGGTCGAGACGCACGTCCACATCAAGAACCCGATTCCGCTGGGCAGGGGACTGGGAAGTTCCGGAGCGGCGGTCGTGGCTGGCGTGATGCTGGGCAAGGAGGTTGGCGGGCTGCATCACTTGGATCAGGACCGGCTGTTTGACTATTGCTTGATGATTGGTGCGTACTTGGCGATATCAGCGTTTGGTTCAGATGATGTGCTTCGCTACAATACATACGCTAACAACGCTTGTTTTTTTCTACAGAGAGACATCCTGACAATGTCGGCGCCGCCCTCTTTGGAGGCTTCGTCGGCACCTACCTGATGCCATTGAAGCCCGAGGATGCTTCCAGAGTCGAGATCCCCCTCAGTGAAGTGTTGCCCGCACCGGCAGGAGGTGTGGACACCGGCAAGCGTCCCCCGGAGCCACCGCACGGAATCGGCCACCACATCAAGTTCCCCTGGAACAAGGAGATCAAGGCCGTCGCCATTATCCCCGACTTCATCGTCCCCACGCACGACGCCCGAGCTGTCCTGCCGCCACACTACCAGCGCACCGATGTGGTAGGCACCCGCGGCTGATCAATACGATTGTCCGATGCTGACTTTTTGTCCCTCTAGGTATTCAACCTCCAGCGGATAGCCCTGCTCCCTGTTGCCCTCGGCCAGTCGCCTCCTGACCCAGAGCTCATCAACCTGGCCATGCAAGACAGAGTCCACCAGCCCTACCGCCAGACTCTGATTCCCGGCCTGTGCGAGATTGTCGAGTCCATGTCGCCAAAGTCCCACCCGGGGTTTCTCGGCGTCTGCCTGTCCGGCGCCGGCCCCACCATCCTGGCCCTTGCCGTGTCCAACTTTGAGGAGATTGCCAATGAGATTATTGCGACTCTGAGGAAACACAACGAGAACAAGAACCTGGACTGCCAGTGGCTGGTCCTGGAACCTGCGGAGGGAACGCACGTGGTTCGATCGAGCTGATGAAGAAGACGGAGGTGATAGTCTGTGTAGGCGTTTCGGTAACTCTCCCCTTGGGTTATGGTATGGGCGTTTTTGGGAGATGAGTGAGAAAAGCTACTGTAATGAATAAAAAGATAGACTTGGCCTTGTCTGTGAGGGCTCGTCAATGAATTTTGCTAGACGACGCCGCAACTTGTATATCGAATCGTGACTTGATTCATCGCCCGTTCGTGCTTGTGGGTTACAGTCCAGACGTCTATCGCATGCATTGCCTATCTATCTGCAGGAGGTATCTATATATGTGAATGCTGAGGCCTCGCATAGCCAAGGCCAGAGCCAGCCAAGATGCAAGTGTCAATATAGCATCGTCTGCCCACAGCCAAGGCCCAGGTATATATGTACATGTATGTCCAAAAGGTTGGACATATCCAAAAAAAACGAAACACCCTCTTTCTCCTCATCCTCCTCTTCTTCGCCCTGTCTATTTCTAGGTACGCAAGATTCTTCTTCCTTTCAAAAATCATCCTCAATGCCAGCCTCCCTCTCCGCAGCCTTCCGCTCGCGATTCTTGTCATACCACCACCTATGCGACTCGTCGCTCCCCGTCCACTCGCCCTTCTCCCCAATCTCGTCCCACGGCTTCGGGCTCAGGATGTAATGCACGTTCTTGACGCTCTCGTCGCGCCAGATCTGGTGGTGCACGCCCTTCCAGCGCATCGTCTTGAGCGCGTTGTACGTGTACGGCAGCGGCACCCAGCGGCCCCGGTACAGGTCCGACAGCAGCGACTGGTCCGCAAAGTCCATGCTGGCCGCGTCGGCCTCCATGTGGGCGACGATCTGCTCGTACAGCGCGGCGGACGGGTTGACGACCTGCAGGCCGCCGTTCATGAAGCCGAGCGGGCCGGCGGCCGGGTCCGGAGCCGCGGTCTCCGGGTCGTCGTGCTGCGAGGTGAAGGCGCAGTTGGCCGGGATCCAGTCGCGCGGGTAGTGCGGCTTGCGCAGGGGATTGCACACGCAGGCGTGGCCGGCGGCGAAGACGCGTCTACTGGATGATATGTCTCCCGAGGCGGCGAGGCTGGGCGGATCGAGCTCGAGGTCCATGAGCTCGTCCATGTTGCGCAGGACGAGCATGTCGGAGTCGAGCTGGACGATGCGGGCGTACTGCGTCAGGCTAAAGGGCACGAGCTTGCTCCAGCAGTCGTAGAAGCGCGGGTCGTTGGAGTAGTCCTTGCCGGCCGAGGGCACGAGGTAGTCGATGCGCTGGGAGGGGATGCCGCGGGCGGCGAGGGCGGCGCGGCCGGCTGGGGGGAAGGCGTCGGTGTAGAGGGCGACGAGCGGGTATTTGGAGTTGACGGCGCGGAGGGAGTGGTTGAGCGTGAGGAGGCCGGGGAGGTAGTCGAGGTTGGTGATGAGGGTTGTCCAGACTGGGAGGTGGTGATGTTAATTGTGGTGTTGAAGAGGAGGAGAGAGAAGGCTTGCCTTTGTCTGAGTCGACGGCTCGTTTCTTGTCGGACATGGTGGGATGGGGGGGTATTGAGTGATGTTAGTTGACCAAGATGAAGACGGATATTAGATGAACGCTGAAAGAGCAAAATGAGGGAGATTAGGGAGGTGTGTTGAGAGCAATTGCATCTGGCGCAAAGCAAAGAGGTTGATGATGGGTTATCGTCAGATAGTCCATATTATCAATACAGGTGGGGTAGCTTTTTTTTTTCCCCAAAGGGAGAAACTTGGTCGATGATGCCATTGCCGGGAGGCGCCCTAAGATGGAATCGAGCAAAAAGACCCCGGAAACGATCTAAAGGGAGACTAGGCTGAGATGATCTATCTGAAGGGGGGACTAGGATTGACTACGGGATGTGGGTGGACATGTGCGGGCTTTTGGCCTCTTGCATGTGGTTGACATCTGAGGCTCACGATGAGAGTTGAGATTGAAGGAGAAGATGGATATTCAGATGGAGCAAATTGAATCCCTTATCGACGAGTAAGATAGAAACAAGGTATATCTCAGGATAAACTGGCTTGAAGAGAAGAAGAGAAGAGAATAAAGAGGGAAAAGGAAAAGATGGTACTAAAGCAGCGGTTGAAGAAGCGCCACTTATACGAAAAGTGGCCGAGATAAGCTCGCTGATGTTTACAACTCCTCCAATTCTCCCCCTTGAAAGCTCGCAAGAACATGGTTCCTTTGTCATATTTGATAGGTCAAGGCACATAGCCCAGCGTTGAATCACTCCACGAGCTCCCTCCCTCAGACACACTCTGCGAGTCCTCTTCAACCTCCTGCTCAGGCGGGCTGTCACACGCTATGGGATACGGGCGGACGTATTCCCAGCGTCTGTTCATATCCAGGGGAGGAAGATTGACATTGTCATCGCTGACATGATGGATGTGAGCATCGGCGTCATCGTGATGGTGGTGATGGTGGTGGTTTTGATGGTTGACTCTGTTGGCGTCGTTGGCACTGTTCCTATCCCTAGAGCCATAAACGCCCCAAATGCTCCACGTCTCCGTGAGGGAAGCCTGTTGCGTGGTCGACGTCTGGCGGGCGCTCGACACGGGGAAGAAGCTCGGTGCAATGGGGCTGAGGGGCTTGTAAGGGGCGAGTCTGGCGGTGACCGAAATGGACGTCAAGATGGTAGCGGAAATGGAGGCCGAGGTGGTCCACGCCGGGAGTGAACGGGGGGTGTTGCAGCAGCTTTCGAGACAGCGCTGGCCGACGGCATGGTGCTGGGTGGTGGATTGAGGTTGAGGCTCCAGAGGCTGTAGTGCTTGTTGGAATGGGTAGGGGGGTGAATACGGCGGAGGAGGAGGAGACATTGCGTTCATCGAAAGGGGAGGCGAGGCATCCGGGCTGCTGTCGACTGGCGGTAGATGGGTGTACTGCTCATACATTGGCGGTCCCGGAGCTGGTGATGCTCGTGGACTAGGCGTAGACGACAAGTCATACGGGCCATCTATATATCCGTACGATTCGGCGTCGTTGAATTCTGTACACCCCGCCTCTCCGCGCTCACCAAGAAGAGCTCTGTCTGTTCCCTCCAGACTCTCAGGCATCAAATGAGCCAACACCTCTCTGGCGGACGCCCTCAACATCGGATTCAGCCGCGCCATGTCCTCCAGCTCGCTCATCTGCACCCCTGCCTCAACAACATCGCGAGACGCCGCCACGAGACCCCTCCGGATGAGTTCAGCCTCCGACAGCCGGCCGCAGGCCACAGCCAGCGTGACGAAGAGCGACCAGACGTCCTCCTTGGGCCCCAGCGGGTAATACGACGACGACGATGACGACGACGACGACTCGGCATAACAGCACGTCTCCGGAGCCTTGTAGATGGCCGCCGCCGCCGCGGCGCTGCGGCAGTTGTGCGGCGGGGCCTCGTACGTGCCCTGCGCGTAGGCAAAGTCGACGAGCTGGAAGACGAAGCAGCGGTAGCGGGTGGCGGTCTCGACGACGAGGACGTTGGTGGGCTTGATGTTGCCGTGGGATATGCCCTCCCGCTCGAGGAAGTCGAGGGCGGAGAGCAACTGGACCGTCATGGTGTAGAAGGCGGATGTTTGGGTGACGAGGTCGTAGCGCATGGGCATGATTGTGTGGATATTGCCTCTTGCCGGGAGCGTGACGACGAGGGTCATTTGCGGTCTTAGGAGGGCGTACAGGATGGGCTGGATATGGGGCTTGATGGGAGAAGAAGAAGTTTTAGTTTTGATTTATATGTTTGATGTGCTTGTTGAGGTTTCTGGGGTTGGGAGGAACTTACGTGGGTGCGTCCCCTGAGGGCGATGATTTCGTTCTTCAGCTGCTCTTGCTGCGAGGGGGTTGAGGCATCAATCTTTTTGACGACGACCATGCGGTCTAGCTTCTCGTCAAAGGAGCCGTAGACACTTCCTTGGGTTCCGGACCCGACGAGGACGAGGTCGCGGAAGCCGTCCGCCTGCATGCTGGACATGCAATCGTGGAACATGGTGGCGGGGGTGGACACAACAATGAGGGCAGAGGGAGCATGAGATGGATTCAAGATTGTTTCAAGAGCATCGACGGAAATGGTATCTATATGTTCCACGATGGAAACAAGCAGAGCGAATATTAGTAGTATCTCCCAATGGCCGGATAGTAATACTACTGTCTAGTTTGACAGCATCATGGCTGTGAGACATTGCAGGTCGGCGACAGGGGCGATCTTGCCTTTCTCTTATGCAGCTTGTCCATCTTGACGCAGAGTGGGTGTTGAAAAGAAGCAAAAAAGAGTTGCAGTTTGCGTGTGACAGCTAAAGGATGGCTCCTGTAGTATCATGATCGACAAGGTTGAGAGACATGTCCGGGGGCCAGATCGGCCGACCTGTCCTGTTGACAATTGGAAGCATTGCAGCTCAAATGCAACGTACGACACCATGGCTACTCTCTCTCATCGCTTGAATACGTAGAAGCTCACGACTTGTATGAACGGATCATGTCACCACAGTTGCAAGATCTGGTCCAAAAACCTGCAGAATCTCAACTCTCGTAACATAGCACATCTGGCTGCACGGCGGACACAAAAGCCAAACAGCAGCATACATGTAATCTAGCTTCCAAAGCCACCGTACCGTGATTGGGCGTGGGCGAATCTCACCGAATGCAAGGGAGGGTGGGCTGGAACCGAAGAGGAAAAAAGAAAGGAAAAAAAAGAGGAGGCATCCATTCAATCCATCCGGCTTGGGGGTCTGCCCCGGTCAGAAAGACCATGTATTGTCATGATATTGTTGATGCGCCAACTCTTTCATGTATACATAGTCTGTAACTTGGGTTATCTATGATGAGTAGACGTGGGAGATTGGATCGTACATAGGATGAGAACATCAAGGTTGAGGCAGAGGGGTGGCATCATTGATTTTGGCAGCAAGGGCACGAAGGCATATTGTATGGCGCCGACAGGGAAGAAGGTGATTTGTGTTACGAGGGCCTGCAGTAGCCCTCTCAGCCGCATCAACATGGTAGGACAATGGTGTCTCGCCATCTTCTTTCTCTTTCTCTCTCTCTCTTCCTCTTCTTTCTTCTTCCCTTATCCAGCAGGTCGGTTGTTTGCTGCTGCGACGGCAACGGGGCCTCCTTTTTCTTTGCAAGGCACGGGGGCTGCGCTCAAGCAAACACTGGGACGCTTCTGAGCTGGGACATATCCTGGGAGAAAGAGGAAAACACACGACAGCTGAAGCGGGGAGACTGGCTCGACATGGTTTGCTCACCGGTCTGGATGCCATCCTGGGTCGATGTCTCTGGGGGAAATGAGGCGCCCGAGATTCATTGCTACGGGGTGGCTTGTAGAGGTCGAGATGACGACGGCTGCTGTGCCTGATTTCTCTCTGGTCTTTATGCGTGTCATCGCTGGGGTTTTCGATTTTGTGAGAGAATGTGCCCTGTTCATACGCTGCAGGCAATGAGCAATATTCGCAATGCCGTCTTGTGAAGAAAGGATGAGCACGTTGAGGGTATAAAGTAGAAGAGCTGGTGAACTGGGTAGCTCAGTTCGCGCCCTCTGTGCTTCGAACCTCCACGTATGCTCCCTGGATTCTCCTTTCTTTCTTTCTTTCTAAGTGCTTATTAGCCGGACGATGAATTTCTGATCTGATGCAGCCCTGGCAATCTCCGCAGGACAGCGTCAAGAATTCCTTATCTACGGGATACGGGTGGTTAGGTACATGTAGGCAAGCAATATCGAGAAGTACGCAGTTGCCGTCCATCTGCGCGCTCTGCAAAGGGATATGATTACATACTTAGACGACGCAGACGAAGCTGCAGCTGGCCTCTTCGGCAGTAGATTTTGATGTAAGAAAGACCGAGATGTGCTGTTGAAAGTTACAAGAGACACGCCCATGGGTGCGTTGCTTCATCGAGGTGTGGTCCTGAACTCGCAATCGAAGAGCAATTCTTGAAGCTTTGGCTGAAGCAACTCAAGCCTGTTTTCAGGTGTTTGATGCCAGCCCGCTTCGCCGCCCTCGGGTCTGTGACGGGAAGCTGATGCTGCTTGAACTATGCTTCTATCAATTTTCACCGTCGTGAAGCTCAGCCTCGAGACGAGGCGCATTTCCCCACAATGCTCGAGATTGGGAGCCTGAAGAATTGCGTCAAATTGGATGGCGCACTGATGGCGGTTGGGGTGCTTTCCAGGCTGGCAATTTGGTAAAGGTAAGGTAGCGGAAGAAGACTCCAAGTCCGGCCATTTCCTTTAATTAGAAAGAAAAAGTGAGAAGAAGAAGGTCAGGTCGATGGACAAAAACTTCACATGTGGCCTGTGTTCCTTTGGAGATATTGTAAGGATCAAGAATCACAGCACAATGTGTAAGCCGACAAGACAAGGGCACCAAACAAGACAGACATCCTTGTCCTGTCCTGCACGGAGACTCCGTCTCTCGCCTTGCCTTTCCCCGGTCCCATCGTGGCTTATTCCTTAACCATCCAGTACCTATTTCGTGCGGTGTCCTGCCCTGGGCTGGTTTCGTACTCGTATGCAATTCCGGCGATGGTCGTGCAAAGTGATCCAATCCAACGCAATTATAGGCCTTTTGCGAGAAACTGGTGGCTGCGAGATCCGGCGCATTGAAGGGAATCGTTAAGATGCAAGTACAGTCGGGTATTAGAACACATGATCGTGTCTAGTCTGGTGGTTTTGCATCCTTTTTTCCCCGCCTGTCGGTTGTCGGTGTGCTGCACCAAGGCGGTGTGCACAGCCGGCTATTGACCAACATGCACTCAGTCTTCTCTATCTTTGTCAACATGCAGCTCAAGAAATTCACAGGAATCGAAGCTCTCAATTAGACAAGAAACACTTCGAGGCAAAGGGATGGATGGCCAAGACATGGGAAAGAAGCCTTTTGCGGAGCCCGTCAGATTCCCAACGCCGGCATCTCGGAGACGTGCCGGTGGCTGGTCCGAGCGTCTGCTTCTAGTCTGTCTGCATACCCAGTCAAATACATTCTGTTGCCTTGCCGTGAGAACGTTGACGGTTGATGCGCCCCCCAACGAATGGCGGCTTTGTCTTGGATTGGAATGGCCTCAGAGGGGATGAGACGGGAGTCAAGATAGAGGAAGAGATAATAGAGATGAGAGACCCTTGCTATCTGAACCATCAGAGACAGTATGCATCAATGTTGGAAGAAGTCATAAGGAAAGCGTCTCGAATCTGCACAGGCCTCCATGACCGATTCACACGGATCACTCATTCCTTTTTCTCACCCTCATCATGCGAGCACTGGAAGAGACGATGCATCCATGGTTCGAGCGCAAGTCCGGACCTGACCCTCCGCTCGTGCATCTGTATCTCCGTCTGCAGAGCGCTTAATCGTAGCCCGATTAGAATCGTCAGTTGCTCAAGATGAACTCATCATAATTGAGATCTGTTCTATATCTGAATCCAGCGCAGCTCTATCTACTCCGTAACCCAACTGATAAAGACAGTGCCAAAGCTAAGGTACAGCTACAGCAACAGCTACAGCTTCCCACAAGCTCCAACGGCCCCCCCTTGGACCACTTTTTTCGCTTCCCAGCTCAACAGCTTTTCGATGCGGGCCCCCCGCTCTCTTAGCCCCCATCCCATCTAGGTAGTCCAAGTTACGCATCTACCTCTCCCTCCCAATCACATCGCACGCAACCATCGTGTATCTCCCTACCTCCTCGATAACCCCGGAAACGGCCCACTGACCGAAAATGCCCGGCATGGCGGGAAGCGTATTCGTAAAGCCAGGCCCCCCTCCCCCAGTCACCACCCACTTGTCCTCCATCGCATCCCCCAAACTTGTTGAGCTGATGGACGCCCTTCCATGCCTTCTTCCTGCATCGGTTCTTCCAGAGCAACTGAGTCACAGTAGCAGTACTGTCCTGTAGGTATTCATGCCTCTGTTCGTTCAGTCTCCGCTTAAAAGCACTGCCGAAGCCGTGCGTGCAGTAGTACAAGTGGACAAACGGGGGGCATCCTGTAAATAGATCAGGGGGTCGTCCAAGACGAATTGTTGCTTGCGTGTTCGTAAGGCGCACTAGAATACTTACTTGTAGATACTAGTAGATAGGTAGTAGACACTGTAGGTGAAGGAGTACATTCACACAGACTGCAAAGTACTCGGTAGCTGTGATCATGCCATCTCTATCTCCTTTCCGACTGAAATGCTAATGCAAGCCTCAGTGCGTATAAGTAGACAGCCATAGCCTACGCCGTCCGTCCGCCCTCTCCCCCTCTAGAACATCCTATCTTTCATCTTTCTTCTTGCATTTGTAAAGGTGTAAACTATAGTCTCCTCACGTTCCGTCACCCATCTCTTCCGCACTCCCCATCGGCATCATTTCCTCCACCGCCAGCACCTGTGTCTCTAGAGCAGTTCTGCCAAACCTACATCCTCCTCCTCACCAGACATCACCACCACCACACATACAAAACATCAATCAATCTCAAACAAACAAAAACAAACAAAACAATGTCTCGCATCACCGCCCCCGTCATCAAGCTCTCCCGCGCGCTGAGCTCCTCCTCCGCCGCCGCCGCCCGCGCCGCCAACCCGCTGCTCGTCGACTCGGCGGCCACTTACAACGCCAGCGCCGGCGCCGTCCTCATGCCCAAATACGCTGAGCTGCTGCGCAACCGGAGGACCACCACCACCACCACCATTGAGCACTCAGAGGTTCGTCAGTTACTCCCTTTCATTGCAGCATCATAGCTAACAATATACGACAGTCCACCCGCTCCCTCTCAACAACCCACCGCCCAACCCCCCAGCCCTCCATCGCCAACCGCTCCAAACCTCTCATGCAGACCTTCTCCACCATAACCTCAACCTCCTCCTCAACACCCTCCGCCCACCTCGACGCCGCCATCCTCCCCAGCTTCAGCTTCACCTCCTCCTCATCATCGTCATCGGACGACTTCCTCCCCCGCATGCCCCTCCTGCCGGACAACTACGCGACCGCGCATCCCGCCCCGGCCGCGGACCCCCCCGTCTCCATCGCCAGCTCCTCCATCGTCGCCGTCAACCCCGACGCCGTCGTCCCCGCCACGCCCCTCTCCTCGCTCAGCGGCGTCCTCGACACCGTCGAGCTCAAGTTCGTGCACGAGCCTGAGCCTGCCAAGGAGGGCGTCGATGCGGAGAGCGGTAGCCAGGGCATGATTCGGGATCTGTGGAAGGGCATGGTGGAGGATGTTTTCGGCGGCGGCGCCGCGGGCCAGGGCCTGCGTAAATCCACTTGAAAAAGCGCTGTTGTAACCCGATTTGGGTCTTGAGAGATGCATTTTCGCGGTTTCGCGTTTCTTTTTACTATTTTCTTTATGAGCTGTTGCTTTTTTTGTTTGGACATACTTGTCGAGTCAGGCCTCTACCCCTTAAGAAAAAGAGGGCGTATTATGAATGCCGTGGACAGAGTACCCCCTCGTTATGAAATCGAGATATATAGGAACTTTTAATCAAAAAAACATCTTCATTCTTCCGTTACATCATTGCGTTGTTCAATCTTACTACTCTGTTTTTTTCAAATCGCTATGGCCATTGCTGAAAGTGATCCTCTCTTGCTGGTGTTTGTTTCTTCCAGGATCTGCCTTTACAGGTTGTAGTGCCTATATAACTTGTTGTGAACATCAAAAAAGAAAAGCGTCGTCGGTAGGTATTACTGGTCCTGATAAACCAATTCTTTGCACGCATTCCCCCATCAATCGGCTGACAAACGGCCCTTCTTTTCCATCTATCTCTCCATCTTTCCCTCCTCCACTGCCCCTTGGCTCATAGACGCATCCCATCATTATACGCCGTCACCCTTCTCCGCCACTCCTCCCGCTTTACCTCTTCTTGGCCGACGGCCTAGGCTTGCACTCGTCATTGTTCACCGGGTGCAGCATCACCTTGATCGGGTAGTTCTGCGTGTTGTGCTGGAAGCCCTTGCTCCAGTCATAGCTAATGGCGTAGGCAAAGATGCTTCCCGTCTTGTTGAACGTCGTCGCCGTGATGCTGCCGCCCACGTTGGGGTATCCCTTGAGGCGGTGCTTGGCGTCCTTGTCCCAGAAGTGGAACGTGCCGTCGGATCCCGCCGTGCTAAAGGTGCCGTGTACGGGGTGGAAGGAGATGTCGTTGACGGCGTGCACGTTGACCACGTTGTTGACGGCCGGATCGCGGTGGCATTTGAATGAAAAGTTGGAGCTGGAAGAGAACTGGTTAGCACACAAGGCCACAGCACAACGATGCACATCTCAAGGGAACAACTTACGAAGCATCCTTCTCCTCCACGTACTGAATGGCACATCGGCCTTCGATACTACCGATAGCGAAGCCCGTCGAGTCGGGGAAGCAGCTGACGACTCTCGTCTGCCACTTAAGCGGGCTCTGCAGCGTCTTGTAGAACTTGGTCGGGTTTTTGAGGTCCACCACGTTGATGTACCGGTCCGCCGTGCCAATGACCAGCAGGTTCTGCTGCACATCCATGGTGTACACGCGCTCCTGGCAGGCCAGCGTCGCCGCCGGCCCCTGCTGCCGCAGGTCCCAGTACTTGACCGTCTTGTCCCACGAGCCCGACACCACCATGGTGCCGCTGCCGCTGTCAAAGAAGCGCACGCTCCGCACGGGCATGTCGTGCGTGCCGATGACAATGTCCTGCTGGGACGCCAGATCGCACACCTTGACGTTCTTGTCCGCGCCCGCCGAGGCTACTTTTGTGCCGTCCTACAAAGTTGATGCCAATCAGTATCAATTCACGTCAATTGAAGCCCTCCGGCCTCCTCTTACGGCCCTCTCCATCGCCCCTTCGTCCCTCTGTCCGCCCATTCCAACCCTCCGCTGCTCACCTTTGAGAAATCAACGCCCAGCACAGGCTGACTGTGCTCAAACGCGTGCCGTCCCTGGCTCTGTCCATTCTGCGCAATCTCGTAGATGCGGACCTTGTTGTCCCAGCTGGAAATGGCCAGGAAGTCAGGCCCGTTGGGCGCCGGCGAAAACGCCAGGTCCGAGATGCTGTCCGTCGGCGGGTCGCTGAGCGCGACGTCCTGCTTCAGGTCGCCCACCGTCGTCGACGCAGAGGCGCTCGAGGCCGCCGAGCCAAAGAGGGTAGACATGGCTGCGATTCAACCTTTTGTAGGTGGGAGAATGATGTCCGCGAACGTTTGCTTTCGTCGTATTGTCGAGCCCTCTTGCGTCCCTCCCAGTCGTTGTATGCTTTAAAGATTTTTTCCCTTTTCCACGGAATTCGATGTTCCTCGGCGCGTGGACAGCGCGACCTTCGCTTCGAGAATCCGCCTGCTTCTGCTTCCTTCGCCTGAGTCGACAGGGCACAAGGGCACGCAAAGATGTGCTGTTGCGCCCGAGTTATCGCGTTCCGTAGGGAAGATTTATAGGCCAAGGTGCAGCTCCAGGCACGAAGGCAGCGATCTTAGCATTCCCAACGCGACGCTCGGATTGGCTCGTGGAGCTTTTGCCAGTGAAACAAGGTGTGACAAGCCCGCGTAGATACATAACCTCCTCTTTGATGCATAAGCCCACAATTACTTACGTACGTACATACAGCTTGCAGGCCCCACTGAAAATTACCTAGAAAGAAAAAAAAAATATTCAGAGCTTCCTTTCTCTCTTCTTTCCTCTTTTCCTTCTTCACCCCCCTTTGCTCAACAAATCGCCATTCGAAGCTCACACACGGAGATGCTTTTTGAGAGAAAAGCATCTCGCAACCTTCAAAAAGCTTTGGGAGAAAGTCCCCGGACGTCTCTTTTTTTCTTCAAAAAAGGAGCATGCGGAAACGCGCCGCCATAGAAGCACTGCGGCTGACCTCCGCGCCTTGGCCCAGCTGCGGCATCTGCCCTGCCTGCTGCTAAATCCGTTCTCTCTTTCCTTCGCCGGCAACGAACCTTGTTTTCCCGTTTTCGTTTTCTGCTTCTGGCCGCCTTATGGATGAAGATACGAGTCCGAGCTGGAAGCGGCGACGGTTGGGAATAGAGGTGAGCTGCTGGGTGGGGGACGAGGGGGATGGATGGTAGGCGGACGATCTGATGCTTTCCGCGGTTGTGGTATCGGGCGCAGAGGACTTGTTGTCGAGGTCGATAGGTATGCGATTGCCCGGCTGGTTTCACCAGCTTGGTTACTCGATGGGGCCCATTCTTGATGCAAAGGGGGGACGACGCCATCTCTTTCATGATGGATATCTCTTTCTTTTTTTTCACACTCTGAAGCTTCGTTGGAAGTTTTCTATTTGGAGGGATGCCCTGAATGGGTGGAGATGGCCAGAAGCTCATATGATGATGACCAATATAGAGTCAAGCACCGAACCAAGAACTTCTTGGCGTTGACGATAAAAATATTTAAAATGTCAACTGACGAGCTTCTGGCATCTCTACCTTTTGTTACGGACTGGGGAGGTATATTTTATCCTTGGGGCTAGAGTTCAACGCCGAGTGGCCTTTGATCTCAGGAGCTTCACGTTTCCATCACCCATAATCCTTAGGTAGACTTCTCTTCGTAAACCATGGTAAGCATAAAGCACGTCCGGCGATAAAGCTGTCAGATTGTGCCAGGCCATCCATCTCATTACGAGCATGGCAGCGTAGTATCCCGGCTCAACCCCGAGACAATGCCCGTGTCGCTGTCACCTCCAACCAGCCATCCCCTTTCCCCTCCCCTCGTCAGCTCTCAGCCATATACAACTTCTCGACAAACCATCATGAACAGAGCAAGCCTTGGCAGACAAATTCAATAAGATTCACAGCCCAGCGTCACCCATCGTCCGCCAAGCCCCAATCCACCACTCCTTCGTAGCCCACCATCAAAATCGTCGTGCAACGGGCCGCCCAGTAAAGTCCTAGACGATCGAAAACTCGAAATTGCAACATCTTGGCGCCAGTCGCCCCTGGGTGCTCTACCGTGCCAACTTACGGTAGTAATTGTTGCGAATGATGCTAAGACCGTGCTAAAGTGTGACAGAAACGCCAGAAGCTTGCCGGAACCGGCGACGGTTTGGCAGATCGAGGGGGCCACCTGCAGCTTTTTTCGAGCTTTCCCGGTTTGGCTGACGCTTCTAGGGCCATCTTCGATATTAGCCGGACTGTTTCTCACGAGTAATGGAATGCTGAAGAAGTGGTATACTACTACCGCTCGTCCCAACATCAGGTAGTAGCAAGATGTAATAGAGTGGCCCAGCGCTCGTACAAGCCGTGTGAGGTCTGTCGATTCGCGGTTGTCGCTTCGTGGGTGTCGCTCAACCACAATTGGTTTACATGATACCCTTAGCAGCAGCCATATCACCATCGAAGCCGAATCACAGCGTCCATCGAATAAGCCCAGCAAATCGTCTCTCACGCCCACCCTCCCGACGTCGAAAGAGAAAATCCTCCCAGCTTTCACAGAATGCGCCACATTCTGCAACCCACACACACGGCACGCCGTACCTGAGCGAACGAACGATCCCTCACCTCCATGGCAACAAGGATCCCCCTCCCCAGCTTTTTTTTCCCCTGCCGTCTCTTCGAATCCTTCCAAGACAGCCCACCCCTAACACTCCGAACCGTCCAACCGTAGTGGGTTTCATATCCCCATCCCTAGCATCGGCGACCTTTCTTCTGCTCTCTCGCGGTTAAAATGCAGGCTTCCGCGGGAAAAACATTGGCTGCCTTCCAAGCAGTCTAGCTGTCTTTGTCTGACTGGGGCTCTATGATGGGACACCGATGAGCTAAAATGTCCCCCAGCTTAGGCTTGGAACGTGTTAGTGATGGGTCCCCCTTGTTTGCGTTGGGGTGGTGATATTGCGCATCGTGGCTGGCAGGATGGGTAGTAGCCAGGCCTGAAGAGAACGAGAGAGCCCGAGAGCGAGAAAGAGAGCGACGTATCCCTTCCATGGGACCCTTTCATGGAACCGTCTTGCTGTGTCAAGTAGTATACCTAACCTCGAAGTCCCACACCCTCAAACTTCGGATCCCTTTCCATCTCCATATCGATCAACTTCAGATATCCGCAATCGATCTGTAGAACCGTGTATTCATCTCTCGTCTTCCAATCTGACAACAGCCAAAATGAAGGCCCTCATCCAGCTCTTCATCCTGCTCTTCGCAGCCGTCACAGCCAGCGCGTCAACGACCCCCAACGCCACTGCTCTCCTCGACAGTCTCCCCCCCTGCTCCATCAACTGCATCGTCGATGGCGTTACCAAAGACGGCTGCAGCCTCACCGACCTCGCCTGCGGATGCTCCAAGATCAACGAGCTCACCAAGATCGTGTCGCCATGCATGGCCACAGCGGGCTGCACGCTCGAACAAATGACCCGTATGTTTCCCCCGAACTTGCCCGCCCCTCGGCTTGCGGCTGCAACATCACTGGACTTGATCTCCTAATGCTTGCTTGTCCATCACAAACAGAAACCGCGTCAACAGTTGCCCAATTTTGCGAATCGGCGGGCCTTCTCGTCAACGGCACGTCCAGTGATGCCGCCCCGACTACGGCCACCGGGGCAGCACCGGCAGCCACAACCACGTCGGGGGCCGGCAGGCTTTCGGATGAGATCATTTTAGCCTTTGCTGCCGTTGGCGTTCTCATGGGGACGGTGTTTTTGTAAGCGGACATTCGATTCGAGGTGTCATTCTGGACCGGTTAGAAACGAGCGGAAAGAGGGTAACTTGAAAGCCGGTAATCACAACACACTCTCGGAAGAGTCATATATTTGCTCAGCACAGGTATTGTACAACAATGGCGACCGCTTTCTTTGGGACGAGCTGGGCGTGTAGACGAACAGCCAGGGAGGAACTATATCTTCCATTATCATTCCAAGTTCTAGCATTTGCCGAACAGCAGTTCTGGTCTAGTGTATCGTGGTGTCATTCAAATCATCAAACGTCTTTTCCCTCAAGTTTATCCCAACGGACAATGCTGTATCAAGGTCTAAACATCAAAGAAAAAAAGGGGGGGAGGAGTGCCAGCTGGGGAAAACGGGGTCTCGCGTTGTGGGTGGATGTCGTGAAGGAATATTAGCCAGGTCCGAATCTGGCCAGGGCGCCGTAGTTGCCGCCGTCAAACGTATCGTGGAGTTCGTCCAGGGCGTGGAACTTTGCTGCCAGCTTCATGCCCTCGCGGCGTTGGGCCTCGACCCGGCGCCAGTCCCATTCGCCATCAACCGACAAGTCCACGTCGCTTAGGTCCACCGATTCGTCGCCCACATAATTCTCACCACTCTGCCATCCACCGGGTCTGGGAGGCAGCAGACCGGCGTCCGCGAGCACGATGGCGGGGTGAACGGTAAAGCGGCCGACCTTGAAAACGTACTTGCTCATGGCTGTGGCGTGAATCTTCTTCTCCCATCCGCTGGTGGCGTCTTTGTGGTCTCTGGTGCGAACGCGGCGGAAACGGGGGTCGAGCCATTCGGTAGGCCTGGCAGCGCCCTTGGGCATGAAATAGGTGACGATGTATAGCCACTTGCGGTCCCAGGCAGCGACCCGACTCCAAAGCTCGTAGGACTGGTAGGCAGAAATCTCCCGCTTGAAGCTGCACATGACGGAGCCCAGTGCAATGGCAAAGTTGCCCTTAACAGGCTCGCGGGTGCGCGGGTCACGGACAAGCCTCGTCTTCTGGTTGTTGGACATGTTGCGGATGGCAGGCCGCAGCAGGTAGGCGCAGAGGTGTGTTCGTGAAATATCGAGGTCGGCGAAGTAGGTCGAGTTGGACTTGTGAATGTTGTAGTCTATCTCCAGTAGCGGAGCTTTTGTTTCGGAAATCATGGGCTTGAACAGGGCACGAGGGCCAAGTCTTGGTGCTTTGCGGAAGACCATGTGGTAGAGCATGGCGTAGAAGATGCGGTACTGTCCGTCGAGCTCGTCAGTCATGGTGCAGCCGTGGATAAGTAGAAGGGCCACTTACAGTCCAGGCAAGCGGGAGCGTCTTCCAGTTGAAGACAATGAAGAATAGCAGCAGGAGCCGTGACGTCCGGCCTGGGCCCGTTAGAAAGGACTGCACCAAGGCAGGCCAGTCGATGCGCCAAGCGGCGTAACCAAGGGATCCGACGGCGACTGAGATGATGGGGATGGTCAGGGCGAACCCGCCAATCCTGGAGGACGACATGGCTCGGTCGTGGTGTCGCCCACGCATCTCTTTTCTGTGTAATTCCTATGTGTATGCCCTCAAGTCGAGGCTTGCGCAGCAGCTTCGCGACAGCGGTTGGGTTACCGAAGGGCGGTGCGGGACACACTGGTCGCTCTATCTAGCAGTGCATCCGGCAGCTCGTCCTTCGAGGTCTATCAGGCGCGTGATGGGTGTATATAGAAACGAAAAATAAGTCGGCAAGTCGTCTATAGTTTATAAGATGTGCAAAGGAAAACGGGCGGAATTTGGTCGCGCGTGGCTGGAATGCGGTAACGATGCGCATGCGCAAATCGAATGGGATGGGAGATGCGATTTGATCTGGATAAGAAATCCAGGAACGGAGGCTTTTTTGAGTGCAGGGATTGGCGCGGGCTTTTCGCTCTCGCTCGCCTCGGGCCCCGTAATTTTTCTTCGTTCGGTCAGCAGCGAGTGGCCCGAGCCGAGGTTTGTGGGAGAGATGAGATTTTGGTCGGATAAGAGCTAGGAAAGTATGTGTAGTTGGTGAAGAGACGAGAAGACGGAGGAGAGAAGAAGAGGAGGAGGATGAGAAGAGGAATAAAAATAAAAATAAGAGAAATGATGAAAAGGAGAAATGTTTCAAACAAACTCTACTGGCGAAGCGGAGCCGTGTTCAAGCTGGGAAAGAGCGTGGAACGTGGATTGCAGTTGCCGAGCATCGTCCCTGCATGGTCCTCCTTCCTCGTGCGCGTGTTACAGTACTCCGTAGTACTTAGTACCTGTACATTTCCAGCAACGGAAGTGAAACCGCATGAGAATTAAATCCGTGCCAGTAGCCGAGAGAATGCGTCAGCAAAAGAGGGGCTCCAGAGATGGAAAGGCATTCGACCTTTATATGGTTGGATGCCGTCTCAACACGCCGATGCTGGAGATGGTGATGGTGATGCAATGCGTGCCCAACCAGGCATCACTTCAGCACCATAACCAGCACTGCATTACTATGACGGTATCTACCATTCCCCTCGTTGCTGCTGTCTGTTTGTTGTCTTTCCTCCTTTTCCATCACACCCCCTATATCTTCAAGAGTCCCAACTCTGTCAATGCCAGACTCTCTCCTTGTCTCCCTCTGCATAAACAGCTGCCAGCGAAGCCCTCCCTCCTGAGGCCGGCGAGTCAGCGATCGCCATGTGTATCCACTGACTCTGAGCGTTCATCCCAGCGACAAGCCTCGAACGGGTTGAGATCCAGGATCCTTCTGTGGATACGTGCTCTGCTGCCCCTGCAGATGAGATCTGTCGATACATAGGGCTGCTGTCAGTCGATGGTCAGGGTCATGTTGCATCAACTCGGATGTAGCGATGCAGCGCCGCTGTTCCGTGCTCCATGCTGACCACTGTCTATGAAACAGAATATGATCATACACCAGCGGCATTCCCATTCCCTTCTCTGCCTGTCATCTCAAGCAAGCATGGACGAGCCTCAGAGTCTCACTCCAAGTCCGGCGATGCGGGCCGGCTCCGGGACGGGCTCGGGTGGACTCTACGCCGCCCGCTCGGATTGACCATATTGGAGACATTCCACTGAGCAGATGCAACATGAGCTCTCAATCGAGTACCGAAGATTCTGTGTAAATCTCATATGTGAATTGAGGAAGCCAGCCAGAGGTTCAACAGAGGCAGGAAGATGGGAGACTTGAGCTTCTTCTCGTACAGGGTACGACCTTGACATGCTGCCGCCTTGTAATGTGAGAGATTGCCAAATCGTGTCAGTTGGTGTTCCCCGACGCTTATGCATGCGCTATTCGAAGGTGTCGCCCGAGACGCTTCAGGGCACTATAAATACCAATTGCTGCCAATTGCTTAAATTGCTTGTTCTTTCATGGGCGTCTGCTCTTTTGCGTTCTTCCTCTGTGCACGCAGACTCGACGAAATGCCTACCCGAAACATCATCGTAACCGGTGCCACGGGAAGACAAGGACGAGCCTTCATCCATGCGCTTTTCAACTCTCCAACTGCAACTAGCTCAGATGTTCCGAACTACCACATCTGGGCCGTGACGCGAAACCCAACTTCGCCCGCCGCCTCTTCGCTGCTACAGGATGAACAGAGTCATGCACAGGACATCACCATCGTCCAGGGCAACGTCAACAATGCCGCGAGGATAAAGGAGATTTTTAACCAAATATCGGCCGAAGGCGGCATATTCGGCGCTTTCATCGTCTTGGCATATCCCGGCCTTGGCAACAAGGGCGACGAAGAGAAGAGACAAGGAAAGGTGTGTGCGTCCTGGTACCAAAGATGAAGAAGAAGAGAGCATGGCTGAGAATGATGATATGCCGTGCATAGATGCTGGTGGATCTGGCGCTCGAGTTCAAAGTCGATGCACTGGTCTATTCGAGTACGATCCCGCCTGGACCCGACATGGATGATGCGTATGAAGCGTCGCATCGGTCGAAGCGTGAGATTGAGCTCTATTGTAAGGGGCTTGGTGAGAGAGGGTTGAATTGGACGTAAGTATGAACTTGAACATGACCATCAAAGACTGATTTAGCTGAGAAGAAGAGGTAGCATCGTACGACCCGGGTTCTTCATGGAGAACTTTGAAGGATTCATGGGCTCGCTCGCTGTGGGCATCCTCTCACAGGGATTGAGAAAGGAAACCGATATAACTCTCGTGGTAGGCCACTTCTACGCTTCGTTTACCATTTGTATCTGAGTGACTAACACTGAGACAGGCATCAGAGGATATTGGCAAGGTCGCCGCTGGGGTATTCCAAGTATATCACTCTTTGCCCATGAAGTTGTTGCAGTCCAGCTCGCTGACATTGCTGTTGTAAAGAACCACGGCAGGTTTGCTCACAAGATACTATCCATTACAGGTGGCAGTCTATCAATGACCGAGATCAAAGCAGCCTACAAAGAGGTGATGGGGAAACAGATGCCTTCTGTGCCCTCCATCCTTGCGTGGCTCATTCTGAAGCTGAGTGCCGGTGCACGGAATGTGTGGGTTTGCGACCGCTCATCAGACCAAGTTACCTGTGCTGACTTCGACCCAGGGTCAAGCAAATCGAGAGAAATTACGATGTGAGAGTCAGCGGAGGATATCCTACTCTCGAGGAAGAAGTTGAAGCAGCCAAAACAATTTGCGAGCTACAGAGCTTTCGCACATGGCTGCTCAAACGGAAAGAGCATCATTCCTAAGCAAGATGGTTAAATGGGTGACAGTGCACCTATACTATGAAGGGAGAAGTATCTCAATGATTAGTATGCTAGGAAGATGCTGTCGGAACAATATCTCAAACGTAATCAGCGCAACTTTAACAAACCTCCCCTTACCAGTTCTCGCCTCTCCCTTGGTGCACAAAGACAATTAGATGAAGATATCAGGCACAATTCCACCCGCTTCCGCCACCTCCTCTTCCGTGAATGCATCTCCCACCGCGTGATCAAGCAAAAAGTGTCTCTTCCCAAACTCTTCATGGGCAGGTGCCGCTGCAACCCATCTGCACCCACCGTCGAGAATGGTAAAGGCATCCGAGAGCCACTGCGGAGGCGAAACGAGCTGCTCATGCGGAAAAAGAAGAATAACGTGGCCAAAGACTGATTCAGGAGCCATGATTATACAAACGCCTTTTCTCGTCTTGCATATCGTGAGGCAAAGGTCTGATCTGCAGTAGCTGTTCCGTTTGTCTTGGCCTGCCAACTCTTGTAAGTCCTCGTCTCCACTGGCGCCTTTTAAGCATATCCCAACCGGACATTTTACCACTTATAAACTCCACCGGTATTTTATCATCGTCGTTCATAATTATAGAAAAGCTCCGGAGGAAAGGCAAGCTAAGGCGGCAGTCAGACCCTGCTCGAGCTGTGTATTCCCGATTGGGAATACGGCGGCGTTGCTAGATTTGGTGAAGCTATACACGCAAGACACGTTCTTCCTAGATTGGTACTGAGAACATCAACTGACATTGATTAGTGATTAATCATTTGCTTTCTGGAACTGGTTGTTAGTGAAAACGCGGCCTGGAAATACTCAATGGGTCTACTTTCATTCATTGCAAGGGCTGCATGAACTTGGACGGCCCATGAATTGAGTCTGGTAGAACGCTATCCACCTGAGAGTGTGACAAGTCATGTTGAGAATGTGCAGGCTTCAGGACCAGTTCTCAAGTTGTTATGAGAATTCCATGGCATGTTACCAGACACAACTGAACCAAAGTCTGAACTGATTAAGATACAACTACTATCAAAATCCATCAAGCACGAGTTGATGGTAGGATCAACCGCCGAATAACTGCACCGAGATAGTTTCATGTCATTCTGACGTGCCCGCGACAACAGTTCCCCAAAGCTGCCAAAATGCCGAGCAGGATTCGTATTTCCGGCTTAGAAACAGCTTCTCCGCATCGCGGGCCAGAGGTCTTTTATTTTGTCGTCTTTGCCGGTATCACAACTACCTTACCTATATAACACTATATAACAAGCAACTCCTTCCCATGCCCTCTCGAGGTAATAAGGTAGTAAATACACCCAAACGCCGCAAACCACCGCCTGCAAGTGGAATCGTATGACAGCCAGCTCAACCATGTCGGCTACATCCATCCTCCTCCGCAACGCCACAATCCTAGTCCCAGGCCCAGCTGGAAACAAACCGGCCGTCTCCCTCCGAAACCACTCGGTCCTCGTCCAGGGAAACAAAATCGCCCGCATCGCAGCCCACATCGACGCTCCCTCGGACAGCACTCAGGTCATCGACTGTACCGGCAAGATTGTCTCTCCCGGGTTCATCGACACGCACCATCATGTGTGGCAGACGCAGCTCAAGGGACGGACTGTGGACCATACTCTGCTTGAGTATATCCCAACTTGTGAGTTTCACCTCGAAGCTTTTTCCACATCTTTTGAAGATCTATAGACGGAAAGGCTAACATGTTTCGTCAGGCAACATGCACTCTTACAATTACACCCCAGAGGACATCTTCTGGGGAGAACTAGGCGGCTGTCTCGAGGCCTTGAACGCAGGAACAACAACCGTCGTCGACCACGCCCACATGAACTACTCCCCAGCCCACAGTAATCATAACCCACATCCAAAGCTCCCCCCTATCCCATCCTTGAACCCCCCAAAACAAAACATCTAACAAGCATCATGAATAGACACAAACGCCCTCGCAGCGACAATCTCCTCAGGAATCCGCTCCACCTTCTGCTACGCCCCCACAACCAGAGTCCAGCAATGGGACCCCGAACTCACCCTGGACCCGGACATCCTGCCCTCCTGGGCCGTCGACCAAGCCGAAGAGCTCATCCGGAACGGCCCCTACGGAGACGGCCGCGTGACCGTCGGCCTCGCCTTCGACGCCCTCTTTCTCCCCAAGGAGATCGTCACGGACCTCTACCAACGATGTAGAGCAGCTGGCGCAAAGGTCCTGACAACGCACTACGTCCGCGCCGCAGTCTTTGGTAAACCTAATCCTTCCTCACCTCACTCACTCACTCACTCACTCACTCGCTCATTTATCCCCCATCTCTCACCAACGTCTTACAAACCAAACCAAACCAAACAGCCAAACTAACAATATACCACATGGAATGGAAAATAGGCCAACACTCCATGGTAGACATGCTAGACAACCACTCCCTCCTCGGCCCCGACATCCTCCTCTCCCACGCCACAAACCTCACCCCCTCCGACATCCAGAAGCTCTCCGCCGCCAACGCAAGCATCTCCTCCACCCCGGACACCGAGATCCAGATGGGCCTCGGCTACCCCGTCTGCTTCCGCCACGACACCCACCCCCTGAGCTCCCTCGGCATCGACTGCCACAGCAACAACGGCTCCAGCCTCGTCACCCAGATGCGTCTCGGCCTGCAGGCCGAGCGCGGCATCCGCAACGCCGCGCTCATCCAGCGGGGGAAAGCCCCCAAGCATCTGGACCTTTCCGTTCACGACGTCTTCCAGCTCGGCACCTTGGGCGGCGCGAGGGCCGTCGGGATGCAAGACCAGCTCGGATCCCTTGAGCAGGGGAAGCTGGCCGACATTGTCATTTTCGACGGCCTCACCCCTGGCATGATCTGCGCTGCCGAGGAAGATCCCTTTGCGGCGATTGTGCTGCACTCGAGCATTGCGGATGTCGAGACGGTCATTGTCGACGGCAGGATTGTGAAGCAGCGCGGTAATCTTGTGCCTGTTGATCTCGATCTGTCAATGTCGGATTTGAAGCCCAGCAAGACGCGCTTGGAGTGGTCGGATGTGGCTCAGGAGCTACTCAGGAGTCGACAGAGGGTGATTGAGGCGGGTAAGAAGAGCTGGGGAGGAGACATGGACAAGGCGCTGGACAGTTTGACCAAGGCCTTTCACATTGACCCCGACAACTTGGTCTGCTAACGGAATAACGGACCACAAACGTCGAGTTTATAGCCATGCTATGCAGCTGACGCGTGGTTGAGGGTGCCAATGGAGATGGGAAGCATCGTCATGTAAACGTCCATATATCAGATCCATTCGCGTAGGCGCTGTCTATTCTGTAATCTGGTGGTGCTCTCAAGCTGTCATTCTGAAAATTGCCCACACAACATCCCAATGATCCATCCGTCTCGCCCATTCCATCCATATAACAGTAACCAAAATAAAGAAACAAACACAGACATCATTCTGTTCAGGTATAGTTCGACATCCCAAAACGCCAGCCTCAACCAGATATAGAAAGATAAACAAAATAAGAAGCCAGACATCACTGTCGTCAGAGCTGCCCCTCCACTAATCAAAGCACAGCATGATGCCCATTATGCGGCTCCGTAAGAAAAGAAAAGGCCAGGAAAAGGAGAGTGGTTTAACGTCCTGTGCTTTTCGTCGAATAATGACTTTGTCACCTTGTAAAGCCGGCTGCCATGATCAACTCTAAACAATGCTTCTCCCGTGTATATCGCATTTCGGTATGGCCACACATCAGACTACTCCTTCTCGCGAAGGCATGTCTGCAGCCATGATCTAATGTTTCTTGTATTTCTGCCAAATTGTTAGCTACTCCATACCATACATGCAATCGCGAGCATTCGGAACAAACTTACCTCGTCAATTCTGCGCTGATTGTGTGGATCAATCGAGTTCGTGGCTCCCATCAAAGTTTGACCTATGGCCTTGGAGACACCCACTGCAGGTCGGAAAATGATGGTAGGCGCTCGTCGCAGCACTGCCTTGGCAGCTCCCGTAGCCGTCTGACTCTCCATGACCTCTCCTGGCACTGCAATGATGGCATCTCGTGCCATATTCACATCCCGAGCAAGCGATCTGTAGCCACCCCGGATGCCTTGGATCACACCCGTGGGATGATCGGCATAGATTGAGATCTGCTTCTTGTCTTCCGCATCGGGGTCGTCCTCATCCCAGCCATCGTCAGGCTTGAGCCCGGTGGTGAGCATGTCCTCCGCTCCTTGCAAAGCGTACTGCGTACCGACGGCCAGTTTCGCTCCAAACTTGACCAGTTCTGTGCCGGTTGTGCGGGCAAATGCTGCCGCTCCCTTGGAGATGCTTCGTATGATGCGGCCATCCTTCTGATATTCTTTGAGAGGAATCTCGATTAAATCCTTGAAGCCGCTGCCAATGTTGACGAGAGACCTCACGGGCGCCAAGCCTGCCACGACACCCGGCAGCTGGTTGTTTCGGACGTCGGGCGTCCAAATGTCGTTGAGCGTCTTGCCCAGCCGGTCAAAGCCAGAGACTCCGTAAATGATTGTATGCCGAAGAACCATCCTAGACTCCTCCAGCGTGATGAAGTTCATAAACTCGGTCGTGTGGCCAGACCGAAGACCGGCATAGTCGACTCGCTTCGGCTTAAAGTCTAGCTTGACGGGAATATCGTGCACCTCGGCCCTCTGTAGGAAGGGCACATCGCTAGGCGACGAATGCACCGGTACGCTATCGTCCTTGAACTCGAAGAAGCGAGTGATGAAGTCGAGCGCATCTTGGTCGACGTGGAGCCTCAGGGGCAACACTGTTGCTCGGAGCACAATCTCCGAAGCCCCCAGTTCCGGCAGCGGCTTCACCGTCAAGAGCTCAAGATGCACCATGCTGGTGCCCATCTCGCGCTCTCCCTGGTCTCGGTCGTACGTCACAAACTTCTTCCATGTGGACGTGGGGACGTGGTCGAAGATGTCAAGGTTCTGGACGCGGATATCGACACTGCTCTGCGTTTCTCCGGTTCCAGGGGGGAATGCAACCATGTCCACGTTGACGCCCTGGAGCTCGAAAGTGATCTTGTGGTGCTTGCTTCGTTGCAGCTTGAGGCGTCGCGATTTGGGATATCCTCCTCTGCGAACGGTCCGATTCGTCGACGTCGTCACCGCTGTTGTAGCAATCGACTCCGTCTCCGTTGCGTTATCGGCCAGGCCTTCGTTGATGGCACGCGACAGCTCCTGGGGGTCTCGACTCGCGGGAATTCCGATGTAGATGGAGTTGAATAAGAAGTCGCCAATGGTCTCTTCGTCTTCAATCTCCTCTTCAAAGACCTGCCGCCCGCCGAGTCGTGCTTGGCGCTCATACACCTTGGTCTCCACGTCTTGGACGGCCTTGCTAATCGTGTCGCGAGTATGAGTCCAGTCATAGCCGTCAAACAGGTTCCAGATAACGTGGACGTCTCTCACGGACACCTTGAGGGGGCTGCGTTTGACCAGGTTCGGGGGAGCCTTGTCGTACGAATTCCTGGTCGAGTTCCATATCTTGGCACCATGCTCGTCAGGCGCTGATTCATTGAAAAAATCTTCCTTGAAGGCCAAATCATCGCTTCCTTCTGAGAAGTGGCTGTGAGAGCGATCGAGTCCCGTGATCAAAACCCCTTCCTGGGTATCTTGCATTCGTGTATCTTGGGATGTGGCAGAAAGCTTCATGGCATCGAACAGCTCCTCTCCTTCGGCTTCATCCCCATAGAATTGCGACTCGATGGGGAAGTTGTTGTCCATCCCGAAGTCGGCCTCGGACTGGCTTTTAGCCATTTCCTGGGCGCCGGCAAAGTCTTGGTCAAAGTCGTATTCCCCCTCTGGCCTTCCGAATGCCTCTGCCGAAATGGAAGCAAGCAAATCCTGTACAGGCATCACCTTGGTCCTGTACTTATTCTCCTTGCTGGGCGGCGTCGGCGGCGAAAGTGCATTGGCCAGGCTTATCAAAGTCTGTGTTGAATCTGCGCAAGTCTCCAACACCAAGAGGTCATCTCGGACTTCGACCTCCACCTGCTTCTCGCCATCTATACCCGGAGCAACAACGACAGTCACCTTGGCTGACGACATGTAGCAAATGTCCACGAAACCTTGGGCGGACAATGAGACTGCTTGAGGGGATGCCGAAGAAGACGCTCGACGCCTCGTGCTCGAAGAGGGCCGGTAATTCGAAGCGGTTTGCGAGGCATCATCGGTGAGTAGGATTGACGCCTTGTTAACATCCAGACTCACCTTTGTGACCTCGTCCTTGGGAAGGACTACGGCAAGTCGAGCGTCCGTGAACATGAGCACCATCTTTGACTTTTGGTTGAGGGGGTTTAGGCCAACAAGGCAATCTCGGAATGACACATCTAGAGTAAGTGGCTTGCTCTGTTTCGTGGGAGCATGCGTCGGCGATAGGGGCTGCTGGCGTGCCAGGGCTGCGTGAGCTTGATCGCCGAGACTGGCCACCGAGGCGGCCAGACTCTCCTCGAAATCCTGCGGTGTAGCATCATTTGCCAGACCGAGAATATCCATAATCGTCGGAACGCGGTACTCGATGCTGATGTCTTGCAAATTCAGCTTGACAATAGGCTCAATGTCGTCACCGATCATTCTTGCCATGATGACTGGGCCGCGATTCGCAATCTCTGCTGAAGGATATAAAACGGAAGAACTGATAAGCTCCTCCGTCTTGTTGCGTCTAACGGAAATGCCCGATACCGCAACAGCCACCAGCGACGGAATACTGATATGGGCGGCCTCAAGCTCCTTGAGTTCACCGCTCAGTTGCCCAAAGGTACCACCAAGGTCGACGCTCGCGCCCAGTTCTTGCACTTTCGCAAGTGTCATGATCCCAGGCCTGTCATCTTCTGGGAGATACTTTGCTACGGTTGACAGCTTGGCCAGTTCTTCGGTTAGGGTCGGAAGCACCTCGAGCTGAGCCAGGTTCTTCACCCGCACGTTCAATGTTTCCACTCCGACCCTGAGTACCGAGCCTTTTCTTCGTTGCCGTATGAGGGTATCAACCATAATCTCGTCGCTCCCGTGGTCAAACTTGGCTTTGGAGGGCGTGATCAAGCCGAGCAGCCTCTCAAGGTCTGAATCGTTCGGGGTGGTGACAAACTCCAACCGGACGCCGCCAATCTCTGTGTTAATGGCAGGCTTCGCCATCGAGTTCTTGAGATACGGACCAGACACGCGCATCCTGCTGCAGCTTACTCCGGCACCTCGCTCCCTGTTGATGAACTTGATGGCGTTGCTCTCTGCGACGAAGCTGCATTCTCTGCCAACAAGCTCGATATAGGAGCCACCTATGCGCATGTTGATCTTGTTCTCGGAAACGGCAGATTTGTCGTCTGGGTTGATGGGCGTCTCGAAACGCACGCCCTTGGGCCGCTGCGCTGGCTTCGACGGCGATTTTGGTGTAGGCGACGGGCTAGAAGTCATGGAAGCACTCATGTTGAGGAAGCTACTGAGACCTCCGAACCAGCTGAACGTCTCGTCCAGTCGTTGCAAGTCCACATGAACGGCCAATGGCAGCGTCTCAATCTCTGTTCTCACACTGTCCTTGGCTTGTGCCATTTTGATGGCGATATCATGCCCGTTCGAGAGGAAAGTGTCCCTGACAGACGTACTCATTTGTGCAGCTTTGTCGAAAGAAATGATGTCGCCGTTGCTGTAGCCGAAGCGGAAAGTCTCCAGATCAATCCTTGTCTGGATAGCATCCTGCGCCTCTCCAGCCGTTCCTCTAGCCGCATGCGCTGACGGTATCTTAACAGGCGACACAGAGACACCAAAATTGCGCAGAGTTGCATTCAGGAGAACCTCGTGGTCAAACATGAATGCCGAGGGGTCCAGGTGACGCCTAGGGGTGTCTGTCACCCCAGCCAGTCGGTTCAAGAAGTCCACAGATACTTCTTGCACCGTCACTCTGACCTCGGGGGCTTTCTCTTGTTGCTGCTGTGCAGCATCGGCACCTTGATGAGATTTCGCGACCGGATGCTTGCTCTTAACCGCATCAAGAAGCTTTCCCACAATCATCGCAAGCACAAATGCCAGTGACGCATCAAAGCGAATCGAGACTGGCGACAAGTCCACTTCCAAGACATTATCGACGCTCTGAGTCTGCTGCAGGTGAGGTCTGTGTTCGAACACGGAGCCAGACGCGGGTGCATGCACAGAGAAGGCTCCAGGAGCCTGGGGATACACCGAGTTGCTCATAGCTCGGGCAAGCTCTGCAACTGATTCAGACGTATCTTCTTCCAATTCGATATGTGGATGTGTTGTTGGTATGTAAACGGATACGGATTGGAGATGTAGGATTTCCTTGACGACTCGCGTAGGCCCTTTCGGGGTCGCCGTATCCTCAAGATGCGAAGAATTCTCTTCCATGTCTCTCGAATTAATTTCATCTTTCGTCGGAGTTTGTGGAACTGTGGGAGAGCTTGATTTCCGCTGCGCAATTCCGGGTCCGGCTGTGAACTCTGCTTCGGGTTCAGGTACCACCTGAGGCTGGGGCTCTGATATACTTCGCCTAGGTGAATGCTGCTTCTCTGTCCTGGTTGCAGGAGACGCGGCTCTATCGGTTTCCGCTGAGTATTGTGAGGCATCATCATCCCAACCTCCTGGCATGGAGAACGGAGCTGCGGACGGGCTGAAACGCCCTTGAATGGGCTGAGGGGTCCGCATAAGGTCCGTCGTCTCTTCCATAGGCGGCGGAGTCGCTTGTCTATCTACATCCACGGGAGGGACAGTCTGTTCATCCACGTCTGCTGGAGAGGGAGTGTGCTCATCCACACCCGCTGGAGAGTGTGTGTGTTGGTCCACATCCGTTGGAGGGAGAGTGTGTTCGTCCGCGTCCGCCGCTGGGGAAGGGTGCTCATCCACGTCTGCTGCAGAGGGAGGGTGTTCGTCCACATCTGCTGTAGGGAGAATCTGTTCATCCACATCTCCTGAAGAGAGTGCGTGCTCCTCCACATCCGCTGGAGGGAGAATGTGCTCATCCACTTCTGCTGGATAAAGAGTGTGTTCCTCCACCTCCGCTGGATGGAGAGTGTGTCTCGAGGACTCAAGTTCTGAAATATCGTCCGACGACTGGCCCCCTGCTTTTGAGAAAGCACTCATATACATGCTCTCAGCCTCTTCATGAGTATATAGATGCGACTGAGAAAGGTCTTCAATCACATCTTCTGGCTCGGGACGACCGTCGAATTCCGGTTCCGATGGAGGTTGAAGGCCGTAAATACCGAAAGCCTCAAGGCCTTCACGATGCTGCGATGACAAGGACGAGTCTAAGCCCTGCTCATCGAAGAAATCTTGCGATAAGGAGAGTCTGTCATCAAGGTCTCTTCGCAGTGTTGATGAAGAATTCAAGGCAGGGTCCTCAGGCGAGTGGAATATTGCATCCTCGGGGGAGTCGAAGTCTCGGGACTGTGAAGCGCGAGGAGTTGCAGGGCATTCATCCTCAAGCCCGCCGTCATCTTCAAACTCGTACGGAATCCCAAGAGCTTCTTCACTATCTGCCAAAGGATAGTTGGATTGGTCCGAGTCGCGGATATCAGCCCCGCGACCTAGAAAGCTTGCATGTAGCGACTGTATGGATGGGTTGCTGCTACTCGCTTGTGATGTCGACATCTGCTGGCTGTGAACACTGTCTCGAGGTGATTGTTGTGACCGGTCAAGGTACCCTGAATGCGACGGCAATGCTGAAGGCGCGAATGATGGCGCAAAACTGGGCTCGAAGGCAGGCTCTTGAAGGCTCTCTAAGGATAGGGATGTAGCTTGTCTTGAAGGTGGGTTCCGTGTGTGAACAGGCGACGACGCCGCAGATGGGGAAGCCATGGAAGAGGACCGGGTCAAAGTCGAGAAGACGTTGGCTTCAGATATCAAATAGGCGCGAACGTTGTCTAGGGAGATCTGTCGCTTCCCTTCCTTGGGCGCTGCTACCGGCGACGCTCGTGATCCCTCGCTCTTAGTGGTAACGCCTTCAATGTCGATGCCCTCGAGCGCAATTTGGAAAGACACCGGCTCTGTAGCCGACGCAGTGATATCCACCGGAATGTCCATATCCAACTGAAACGCCACGCCTTGGATCTTGATCTGCATCCGATCGACAATTCCTTGCAGAAAGCCGGCCAGAAAGCCGGGCAGTGACAAAGGCTGTCCAGTACCCACGACTGGCTCATCTTCGCTGCTATCGTCGCTCATGGAAGCGGATGCGCCCAGGTCTTGTGTTTCCGCAGCCAACGCCGCTTCGAGTTTCTTTCTCTCAGACGTCGGCTGCGTTTCGAGGAATGACTGCGCAAAATCAACGGTATTCGGGACGGCGGCGGCGGCTGTGTCGTCATCGTCGGAGGTCGTCGTGGTCGGATGGCTCGACTTGGCCTTGGCATCGGGAACTACCACCTTCAGCTTGACATCGACGCCATCGACCTCGATGCTTATGGGGCTCGTGTAAAAGTCCATCGGGATTGTGACCCGGAGGAGGACGACCTTGGCTTTCTGCAGCGCAAACGTCTTGGGCAGCTTCAGCAGCTTCTCTAGCTTCTAAGATGGACGTCAGCTCCGTCATCAAGGGCCCACGAAATGACCCGACAGTCAATCCCACCATGGAAAGCAAAGACTCACATCCAGCTGAACTCCAACGTCTCGAAATTCAAAGACGGTGTTTCTACCCAAGGCAAGGTCGAGATTGTCCATGTCCAACGCGTCAGAGTCGAGGAGCTCCAGCCGCGATAAGGCATATCGCAGCAGCCGCTTGGGCATGCTGGAGCTCCGAAACGACTGGAACAGCCCAGCCATGATGGGCTTGTCTCGAAGCGCTGAATTATCGAGACGGAAAGTAGGTGGAGAGAGGAGAGGCGACTAAAGCAGGCCGGCCGCTGGAGAGGAGGAGAGCAAGATAAATGGAAGGCAAATCGACTCGTCACCGGATCCAGGACGGCCAGCCGAACGCTGAGGTAGGCGCGATATCAACAGACCCCCGGCCAAATGCGGGGACGAGGTTCATGATTATACGGAGACAAAGCGAGGCATGAAAGGCGAAGGGTTCCGTGTCGAGGCAAAGCAGGCGCAACAAAGTCTGGCCGCTCGGGCTGGCTGGTTGGGGGGCCGCTGAGGCGGGATGAAAGTGTCGCCTTGTTATCGTTATCGCAGCCTGAAGCCACAAAAGATTTGTTGAAAGAACAGAGTCTGTCGGGAAGTAAGAGGGAAGAAGGCAAAGGCAAAGGGTGACCTGCAAGGTAAAGGTCAGGTACTCGACTGGGTCAAGGCGGAACCAGAGTCAGTTGAGCGGTCGAGGGGAACTCACGAGCTGCGCAGGCAGTTAAGGCGATACCTGGCGCTCCCCCCAGCGCCGCTATGCCGATGGCGGCAGCGCTATGCCTGCGCCAGAGACCCCCGAGGAGCCCCATTCACCCGCTAGCTCGTGACGCCCGGGGGAGTCATGGCCCCATGGCAGGGCAGAGACAGGGAGCTGCAGCGTCAGTTGACCGCTGGGGGTCGCTATCGATAGCCGTTGGCGACGTCAGTCTGGGGCGGCCGTATTCCCAGCCCGTTCCAGTGTGTCACTGCCTGAGCACGGCACACCGAGGGTACCACCGAGGCTGTTTCGTGCCTGCAATGGAGTGTACGGAGTACTCGGTACGGAATGGCCTGATGCGCATTCAGGTTTCTGTTAGCTATTCTCCGCTTGCTCGGTGCCAAAACTACCACCGTTAAAGTATGAGTACAGGCCAGCAATCGGGTCAATGCTCAACCCCGTCTTCCATGGCCAAAGCAGCGTCCACAGTCCTGGTACTGGATACCTCAAGGCAAGGTAGGGCACATGCGAAAGTACAGGGCAGCGACTCCATCCAACTCGCTTCTCCCTCGTCCAAAGCACCCCCATTCTAGGCATCCTGATAGTACTATCGGCAGTTGCAGCAGCTCAAGCGTCCAATCAACGACCACCGCAGCTGTCCCTATCACGATCATCACAGTCAAACCCAGACAGCGCACGCATCGGTTCCCCTGGCGCCGGTTGGCCAGCCAATGTCCGTATTGCTGGCATATGCATCCAGCAGTGGATCGGCGGGCCACGGGCGACGCCAGAGATACGGCCAAGGCCAACCACAGACGCATCTGCGCATGCATCAACGACAGCCGTTAGGCATCTGAGCATCCAAGTACAGCTGCTGCTGAGATGACCTTGCGGTAGTCGCAACAAGGCAGACGCTGCCTGCGGAATCATCGACTCATTTGTGCTCTCCATGCCGAGACGATTGGCGGCTCATACATGTACCGTCCAATCGAAGCCGCTGCTGCTGATGATACCAGATATACTATATAGCACGAACACTGCGATGACAACCTAATTCTACGACGTATTACCCAAGGCTCCGTACGTACATCAAACGCATTTCGGGTCAGACTCACTCATGGAGCTACCTGCAGACCGCAATTGTACGCTTCCGCTATCCTCTTGCCCACCGACTCGCCGCTCCAGTACGCCCCAGTTGCTGTGCCCAGTGCGACAAACGGCGCCGTGTGCTCGCCAGCCAGCCACAGCCCTTGCACCGGCAGACCGTGTCTCATCGTCTTGATGTTCTCATCGCCATTTGTGAGGCCGACCTGGAAGTTGCAGTAGCTGCCGTGTCCGGCCAGCTCATCGCGCACCCAGTTTGTTGCGAGACAACAGACGGGCTGGCAGTCCGCCGAGTCCTCGGAGTACTGCGGCAGCCTGGAATAGTATGGCTTGAAGAAGTCGAGCAGGAACGCATCCTTCTTCTCCCTGCTTTCCAGTTCGGCCACCTTTGCTGTCAAAAAGTCGGACTGCTCGCCGTAAATGTAGAAGAGCAGCGTCGGGTGGGCGGCTTCAGGCGCGATGCTGGCCAGCTCAACCACCTCTTGATTCCACCCCCGAGCGTTCTCGGCATGATACTTTGGCGCAATCCACTGCGCAAATCCCTGGACTCTGCGGCCATCGCCCTCGGCAGGCAGCCAGAATGCTTTGGGGAAGCTAATGTAGACCTGGTACAGATTAGCGATCTCGTCTCTGCTTTGTCTTTGTCTGGCATTCGCCATCACACAACAGCAGCAATGGACGGGTTCCAAGCACAAGGCAGCTCACCTTTTCAAGGCTCCCGTAGCCGATGGAGCCAATGGCCTTTGTGAGCACCGGCGGCAGGGGAGGGTCGAATGCGGTGAGATTTCGTTTCAGCCACCCCAGCGGACATGTGACAACGAGCTCGTCAAACGACAAGGTCTGGCCGCCCTTGAGCTGGACTCGGACCTCGTCGTCTGGCTTTGTTCGAGAAAAGATCTTGTTGACCACGGAATTGTACGATATTGTCGCATTGGAAAGCGCTGGCCTCGCCACCTCCTGCAGGATCTTTTGGTACGTGCCCGCACAAAAGAGGTTCTCTGTGCTTGGATCAGCTCCCGTCCGATGTCATGGTCATTGTCTGCCTTTTCGAAACAACGCCATCTGCCTGATGCATTCCAGGCCAGAACAAAGCATGATATCATTGTCGACTTACCGCCTTCGATGCATTCCTCCAACCAAAAAAACCTCAAGCTCTGCCGCCCAACAGGGCTGCCGACGAAGGTCCCCCACATCTCCGACATCTGCAGCACTGTTTCTCTCTTCTTCTGGAAGTCTTGTTCTGTTTCTGGAATCTTTTCCACCACCTTGTCTTTGAAAAAGTCCAACAGGCTTAGGTTGGCATCGATTTCCGCAGACGATTTGTTGGAATAAACAAAAGCGTCCTGGATGATGTCCCACACCATTGTGGCATAGACCTCTCCCTCTTGCACCGGCAGCAGGGTGCCCGACTCGTTGAAGACGTACGACGTCAGGTCCCAGGTGCCAACAGCCGTCCCCGTCTGCTTCGCCAGATCCAGCATGGGATTATCGTCGGTGCCGTGAATCCAGTTCGGTCCCATGTCAACCAGGTGCCCGTTTCCTAGCCTCTCCTGGTACAGCCGGCCGCCAATGCGATCGCGGCCCTCGATGATGGTCACTTGGAATCCATGCTGCAACAGTATATCCGCACACCGAAGACCAGACAATCCCGCACCAATGATACCCACGTGTGGTTTGGAATTCGAGCCACTTTTCCTGCGCTGTTTGTAGGCTGTGTGAGCAGCAATCTTTCCATTCGAGTCATTTGAAGATTGGTCCCGTGATGTAAGATGACAGTGAAGATTGCTTTTCCCTGCGAGTCTGCTGCATGACATAGAGGTTGTATAGAATAGCAATGTGTGACGGCATAACCGTGGGCTGAAACAAACATGTTTGGAGGAAATGGCTTATACCTGCTTGAAGCTCTCCATGGCGGCGGCTGTCTTCACCGAACGGTCTGATGCCAGCTGCACTAGGCTGTGGATCCGTGATTCCCAGAGGTCTTGGTATATCCTGGACGAAGCTTGTTTCGAGAGACTAGCTGGGTACATTGCATAAGCGTCCATTTTGAATAGGTAGGCGTGTGAGTACTTGGAGATGTCGGTAGCTGTGTGACGAGCAGAGTCACTTGACTTTGAGGCTCCAGCGTGGATGGAGGCGATGGTGAGACTGAAGCAGAGCTAGGCGGGAGCTGTCCGAATGTGGTATGAGACGGTGAGAGGCAGGAGAATGGGAATGATAAGGACAGGTGCAGGTCTGCTGAGTAGATGTAAGGCACTTGGATAGGGGCAGAAGTAGGCAGAGAAAAATGATGCCCGACGCACTAGACCACCAGCACACAGATGCGAGATAGTGAGGCCAAATTGGCAGATAGTCGAAAGGGGCGCTATTGGTCCATCACGAGGGCCACGAGGCACGACCAGGTCCGGTGACTGGAGGGCGGCCAAACGCCCAGAGACTGACGGCGCTTGCCGTCTCGCATCTGAACTGGAATAATGTGCATTTCTTGCTCATGGAGTCAGGTGACGGGTGCAAACTGCTGTTGAAGCGGTAAAGAAGTCACTGGACTGCTGCTTTGGTTGTGTATTTGGGAGATCCCGCCATAGACCGCAAGGTAATACATTAGAGAGAGGTGGACGAGTTGACGTACCGAGGCGCAAGCTACAGCTGGTCAAGATCCGAACCATGTATGCACCCTTTTCGTAACGTATCTCAGTGGTGAGCTGTCGCAAATCATTGGCTTACACGCGAGTCGAGCCGTGAGTCGGTAAGCCGTAATGCAGTTGTTGCAGAACACGTCTATCGCTTGTATGGTGTTTTTCTAAGAAAAAAGGAAAAAACTTGAGAAGAAGAAAAATAAATAGAGAAGGAGATCGGAACTGTTTTCCGAATGTCGAATAGTTGACTGAGGCACAAGTGGATTTTACGGCTTCGGGCGGGTTTAAGGGTCCATCTGTCTATCCATCAGGCCCTCTTGGCCCTCCCTCTTTAGCATAGCGGCGCAGCAGTCTACCTTATGGCATAGAGCAGCTTTGTGCGGTGCGGGATGTTGGCCACCTACAAGTTCTTGAAGGAGTATTATTGTAGACATAGTTTTCTACAAGTAAGGGCTTAATTAACGCCGTTTGATCAGAAGGCGCAGTTGACAGTGGTAGACGCAATCAATGTGCCTGGGAGTGATGTGTGTTAATGGACATGGCCGTGGATATGACATGTAGGTGTAAGACAGGCATTGCCAGAAATCTAGATACTATATCAAAAGGTAAGCAAAGGATCTACCCTGGTAGGCATCATTGTGAACTCTCCATGACATGTAACCTTGTGATTTGATGCCTGCTTCACCTTCTGCTACTACTGTTACTGGCTTTTAGCGTGAGAATCTCCATTCTCGATTCGCTGCGCAAAGGGGACTTTCACATGCCCCAGACTTGTTGAAGACGGCCAAGAAGCAACCCCACAATCTCCAACTCTCCCCCTGGCCAATAGCCCTCCAACCATCTCCGCTCTGATCTCTTTCCCGGCTGGAGTCCTCCGCCAAGCAGCCTTTTACTAGAAGAAAGCACATACTACTAATAGACTCCAATAGAACCGGCCATGTTCCTCCTTTCGGTGAACGGAGCACGGAACTCAAACGCAGACATCTCCACAACCAACCGGGGGTGCATCAGCAGCTTCAACCCTCCTCCACCAATCACACGCCGCCTATTTCAACCCCAAGCTACCCGCCCCAGCTTCTGCCGAGGCTCGACGGGCTCGACGGTCCAACCAGATGCATCAGCCGGCCGAGCACCAGCTCCGGGGGAACCCCAGCTTAAAAGCAACGTCGTGCCTCTGAAATGCAGCTTCACAATCGAGGCTGACTGTCTTGCCCTTGTCTTTGTCTTGTCCTGTTCTCCTCCTTCTTCTTCACTTCTCTTGAATCTACAGCATCTTATACACCTACCCTTAAACAACAAGACATAGACCTCCTCCTCCTCCTCCTCCCGCAGCAATGGCTCCCCCGGCCAAGACCTTCACCCGCGAAGAGGTGCGCAGCCACACCTCCGAAGACTCCCTCTGGTGCATCATCGACAGCACCGTCTACGACCTGACCGACTTCGTCGACGCCCACCCCGGCGGCGAGAGCGTCCTCAAGCAGGTCGCCGGCCAGGACGCCACCTCGGCCTTCTACAACCTGCACCGCCACGAGGTCCTCTCGCGCTACGCCGACCTGGCCATCGGCACCGTCCAGGGCGAGGCGCCCGAGGTCCTCACCCCGAAGCCCGGCGACCTCAGCCCCGTGCCCTACGGCGAGCCGCTGTGGCTCTCGCCGCACTTCAAGAGCCCCTACTTCAAGGATTCGCACCGCCGCCTGCAGCGCGCCATCCGCCTCTTCACCGACGAGGTCGTCAAGCCCGAGGCCCTCGAGTGCGAGGCCACCGGCCGCCACATCAGCCAGGCCGTCATCGACAAGATGGCCCAGGCCGGAATCCTGCACATGCGCCTCGGCCCCGGCAAGCACCTCCACGGCGTCAACCTCCTCGGCGGCGCCGTCAAGGGCGAGGAGTTTGACTACTTCCACGACCTCGTCATGTGCCAGGAGATGTGCCGCCCCATGATGCGCGGCTTCCAGGACGGCAACATGGCCGGCATGACCATTGGCCTGACCGCCGTGCTCAACTTTGCCCGCGACGAGGCCTGGAAGAACAGGATCGCCGGCGAGGTCTTTAGCGGCAAGAAGAAGCTCTGCCTGGCCATCACCGAGGCCTTTGCCGGCTCCGACGTCGCCGGCCTGCGCACGACGGCCGAGAAGACGCCCGACGGCAAGCACTATGTAAGTCTCTTTATATCATACATCCTCTCCCATGGTGACAACACGATTCTCATCATTTGCAAAACTCCAGATCGTCAACGGCACCAAGAAGTGGATCACCAACGGCGTCTTCTGCGACTACTTCGTCGTCGGCGTCCGCACCGGCAAGGCCCTCAGCGTGCTGCTCATCGAGCGCGGCCCCGGCGTCGAGACCAAGCCCATCAAGACGTCCTACTCCCCCGCCGCCGGCACCGCCTACATCACCTTTGACAACGTAAAGGTCCCCGTCGAGAACCTGCTCGGCGAGGAGAACAAGGGCATCCACGTCATCCTCAGCAACTTCAACCACGAGCGCTGGGTCATGTCCTGCGGCTCCATCGCCGCGTCGCGCTTCATCGTCGAGGAGTGCCTCAAGTGGTCCAACCAGCGCATCGTCTTTGGCAAGCGCCTCATTGACCAGCCCGTCATTCGTCAGAAGTGAGTCTCTTCTCCCACATAAGCAAAGCCACTAGAACAACCTCAACAAGTCCCCCGTCTCAATGAAAAGAAGAAGAGAGCATTAAATTGTGCTGACATATTTCCCACCACAGACTCGCCAAAATGATCGCCCTTGTCGAGGCAAACCAGTCCTGGCTCGAGACAATCACCTACCAAATGTGCCACATGCCCTACAAGCAGCAGGCCATGCACCTCGCCGGCCCCATCGGCCTCCTCAAGATGAGCATCACCCGCGCCGCCCACGAGATCGCCGACGAGGCAGTCCAGATCTGGGGCGGCCGCGGCCTGACCCAGTCCGGCATGGGCAAGTACATTGAGCACTTCAACCGCACCTACAAGTTCGACGCCATCCTCGGCGGCGCCGAGGAGATCCTGGGCGATCTGGGCGTGAGGCAGGCCATGAAGAACTTTCCCAAGGCGATGCTGTAAAAGATGGAACAAGACCTGTATACATAAAGGGGGGTCAGAGAGGGGGGCAAGGCAACGTTTGCATATATTGTACGACAAATCTTGTTCATTTGGGATGGGAATATCTGGGAATTTCGGAGCATTGTATTGTACGGCGTTTTCTTGATTTACATATCTATGTATATCCTTTTGAGGAGAGACAGCTTCAGCCATGTATGGATGGTATCATGTACACAACTTACAGCCATCGGAACAAACAGGTGCTTTATATATCAAGTATATCTGTAACATCCATGTTACGAACTTGAAGCATACCTCAACAATACGTTTCACGCACATCAACCCCGAGTTCGAAATTCCACTATAGAGCCCAACAGACTCAACGTCGAACACTTCATCTAGCTTCTACCGAGTCCTATACTCATCAACGCCCTTTACATCCCCCTCCCTCGCCCAACAGCACACATCATCCGTCTACAAGCGGCGTAAGACCCCATGTAAACCATTATAACTTGTAACTGTACATAATTGTCCATAGCGTGTTCGTCTGCATTGCCTTATTGCGAGATTGTACACAGATAGCCCCCTTGCCACAATAAAGGCCCAGCGACGTGCTAAAATGCCCAGCCTAATCAACACCTTCCCCCTTTCCAATGAAGTCGCCATCCTTCTGTAACAGAGACCGAACAAAGGAGACATAATACAGAATACCGCTATCCACCAACTTCCCTCCGGATGCAGAAGAGACATCAAGAAAAAACAAGTAACAAAGTAGGAAAACTGTACGTGGCTAACAGACCTGACCCAAAACTTTATAGAGAGCGGCGCTGCTGCAAGTCCCGGTTGGCCCGGTTTGAAAAGACGCGTTCTAGAACCTACAAGTTGGCCAAAAGAGGGTGTAGAGGGGAGAGACGGCCAGAAATAAGCGTTATCTGACCATCATGACACTCTGCACCCTGTTTCGATAACATATGTCCATGACATATGGAAAACAGAGAGCCGCCAAATGCACAACACCAGCATGCTCTTCTGCGTATGAACAGCCCGATGCATTAGCCCGTGCTCGTAACACGCGAATCGAATGGGCCCTTATGAAGCCTCCTGAAGTGCCCGCTTGATCTCCAGAGCTTGAAGCTTCTTCTTGTTGAGCTCCCTCATCACATACTCGTATGTGAGCATCGTGACAGTCGCAGCGGGAACGGCTCGCATCATGTTTGTACCCATGCCGGCGTAAAAGGCCCGCCATCCTTCTTCGTGGAGAATAGTCCGGCAAGTCATGATGACGCCCTTATACTTGGGTCCGGACGCCGGCTTAGTTCCCGGTGCCGTCATCTCCACCACAAAGGCCTCGCCAGCTACCGGCCGTCTCTGGGTCTGCAGCCGTGTTCGAATGACCTCGTGCGGATACGTGGCGCTACTGGCCAGTATTTTCGACAAGATGGAGGCCGAGAGGATGCCTGCCCAGTGTGCCTTTTCGCCTTCCTGTACTTCGCCCATGCCCTGTCCGGTGAAGGTAGTCTTGAGAAATTCATACGTGGGAAACTGAACGGCAACGTGTGTCAAGCCGAGAAGGGCCGGGGTGAGGCCTGAGTAAAAGGAGGAAAGGCCTTCCGACGTATACATCTTCCTCGCCGCATCAATGGTCGACCTGTAGTGCCAGTCGTGCATGACCGGCCGCGCTGTCGGGGTATTGCCAGGGCGAGCAAACGCGTGATGGCCTCTAGCCGTGTTCGGATTGCTCTGTGACATGAGGCGAGTCTTGATGACCCATATCGGATTCGTCGCAATGGTGCTGCTGGCGCCGGCAATGATGGAGGACCAGAAGCTTATGAGGTGAGGGTTTTCTATTCAATAAGTCAGTATAACAGTATTGGCAGTTGGACCAAGCACTAAGCCTCTCCCACGCACCATAGTACTGATTCAAGAACATCTTGCTCTTGTTATAAACGGTGAACCACACTGCCCAGGTGGGCAGGTATCCGAGCACAATCGGCCCCAGACCCCGGTACAGTCCGCGAATGCCCTCCTCGCGCAAGATGACCTTGGCTGTTCCCACCAGCCCATTATACAGCTTGGGGTGGCCGACGTGTCGACCCTTGTCCACCAGGGTGAAGCCGCCCTGGGCCTGCAGCTTCGTCTTGATCACATCGAGAGGACAAGTAACGATACCCGACGTGAAGCCGCCAATGGCTCCTGAGAGGGCGTTGAACTGGGAATCGGAGGCGGAGAGTGTCCATCGGTGCAGCGGGGTCAAGCCCCCGGCGATTGCGGGCATTGGATGATCGGCGAGTCGATAGGAAGCTGACGCATGATCTGCAGGCGAGGGCTGAGCTTGCTGGGAGGACTGGTCGTGAGACATAGCACCCTCGCCAGAATCAGGAATGACGGAAGAGAGGAGGAATATGAAGTTTGCGGCGAGCGATGTGGTGATTGTACGCTGTCGGGGAGGCTAGAACTAGGCGCCGACGGTGACAAGGTGTTGTGTCGAGGATTGCTCGTGAAGATGATATGAAAAGTGGCTGACTGCTGGCTGCGTCTCTCGAGAGACTGTCCCCGGCGCTGCGTATGACGTCGAGGACGCCGCTCCGCGGCTGTATCTAGAAAATCTCGAAAGGCGAAAAGAGTGTTCGCTCCTCACTCCGGCTCGCTCTGAATCTCGTAGTTGTTCTTGAATCTGGGATCCGTTCGGTCCAGGAAGTCCGGGTACTGCGGGGAATGCTCCCACGCGCAGTATCCGTCCTTGCCTAGCGAACGCCGCCGGCCATTGACTTGTGCAGCGGGAAGAGAAAGTCGCCGAGAGAGCGCGAGGCTGTGGGATGGATCGCGATGGTCGGGGGCCTTGGGAAGGGCGTGCGAGGAGTGGTGGAGGAGAGAAGGCGTCGAAGATGGACGAAGGAAGAGGGAAAAGAAGTTGGAAGCGAGAGAAGAGAAATGGTGGAGTGGACGATGGAGAGCCGGTTGGCAGTCGGTTGCTGCAGTGCGCCGTAGGGCGGTTGAGACTTGGGGCCTTCAGTGGAGCCTCGAACGGCCACAGTGGGTTGAGCCCAGTAACGCCGACTTCCTTAGCGGTCCAGTGCCTGCCCTGTGCAGTTGATGGCGCTTCAACGTGCTGGGCTTGAGCCGGGCCGGTGTCAATATCCCATTGAGTTTATAATCCTACGGCTGCGCTAGCAATCAAATCAACCGGATACCATGGGAATGACTTCATGGGAGGCAAAGCACCGAGACGTACATTACTTTGAGATCGACATGATGCAGGGACAGAACAAACAAATTGATAGAGAGAGAAAAGAGACGCTACGTCAGAGACAAATGACGCAAGGATACAATGCAGCGCTTGCCGTATCAGACCCGGCCCCGACAGCGCATTGGCTCAAAGACCGTTTTGTTGCTTTGCTCTTGGGCCATGACAGACGGCTCTTTCTTATAGCAGCGCGAGAACACAGAATTCATCTGGTCAATACCTTACCCGGTCTTCACATGCTGCCCCTCGGCTCTACAACTGTGACTGCGACATCACATGCTGACGTATTGCAGGCAAAGAACAAGCAACCGGCCCTTGTCCTGCATCTCCCGTGCAGCAACTGATGGTTATACTACATAGACGGAGTACCTATCTAAGATTACGGGATACCTACACTCAGCCAGTCCTCCAAAGCCCCACATCGGGCCTGCGTCTTCCGGGCCACTCCGCATGCTGCTCTCAACCAGACCGGAGCGGCACAACAAACCGTAAATAACCGCCCACCGTTTCAAACGCTAAAAATCCAGAAAAACGTTCTCCCCCACCAAGAACCGACCGTTCTACCACGTGACATCCCGAGCTCTCCCAACTTTTGCGGTCCCGCCGAATCATCCCATTTCGCGCATATTCCATCAAACGGAACGATCACACTCTCAACGAACAAACAACCCGGCCCCGTTCGCCCTCCCCTCGAAAGAAAAGCCGACACGATGGTCTCCCTCGCTCCTTTCGTCCTGAAGCGGCCTTGGCTGACCAAGATGCTGACGCCCGCCGCCAATTGGTACGCCAACGCTGCCGGATACCGCCAGCTCGGTCTGAGGTACGAATGCCGAAACTTTTGAGCTTTTTGCGCAACTTGGGAGGAAATCTGGACGCCATCAATGAGCCTGAAAAGGAAGAATGTTTTTAGACGCAAGAGCTAGGGAATTAGGGTGGAGGAAGCAGGAAATGAAGAGCTGGGGAGATTGTCTCGGAAACGGGAAGCGCATGAGAAATATCAAAACGGGTTCGCTAACGCTTTCATGCCAAAAGATACGACGACCTCCTCGAGGAGGAAAGCGAAGCCATGCAAATCGCCCTCTCGCGCCTCTCCGCCAAGGAGGCCTACGAGCGCGTCTACCGCATCCGCCGCTCCGTCCAGTGCAGCACCATCCACAAGCTGCTCCCCAAGGACCAGTGGACCAAGCCCGAGGAGGTACAGCTCTCTCTCTCTCCCTTCCTCCTCTCTCTTTTCTACAATTTTTAGCTTTGGGATATGTGGTCACGGGAATTGATATTGACTTTACGTTCTAGGATGTTCCCTACCTGCGAAACATCCTGGCACAAGTCCAGGACGAGCTCGCCGAAAAGGACGCCCTCGACTCCATGACCGTCATCAAGAAGCACTAAATCAACGACAAACATACCTATACACCGAAAATGATGGAATGAAACGCACCTTATCTGGCTCGGGGCGGGCAGCAGGCAGGATCAAGCAGCAATGGCGGCGGCGGCGAAGTGGAATGTTTATTGCTCAGAGGCCTACGCAGGTCTCTTGTATTAAAAAGAAAGAAAAAGGTTTAGACATGCTCTAAAGACCCTCGACTCCCTTTGCTCAACACCTTGAATACCAGCGTCTCCATCGAGAAGTGATTCAATCAAGTCATATTTGATATCATTATCGTACTCAAACTGGCTACTATTGGTACAAGAGTGTAATGCAAATCCTGGAACCAGGAAACACATAACGCTTCCCCCCAAAAAGATGCTTTTTTTACCCTGGCTCAGAAAGCAGCTCCCTCAATTAAAGCTCCAATCAATGGCAGCTCGTACCAAAGCAATCTCCTCAGATCTCCCTGCCCACTTTTTCTCCCCTTCCTCTTGTAGTCTCGACAAAAATCATAGAGGAATCCTGCCGAGACGCCGCAACGCCAGATCTGAACCCGCAAAGACACCTGCCAGCCCACCTGCCACCTTGTCCATCACCCGCTTTTGTGCTTGTTCTCTCTATTACTTTTTCCTCGCCCCTCGCCATAATCAAAGCTCCAAAGGGGGCGCAGTGGTGGGTTATTTCCGTATCATGACATCACGTAAAAATCCCTCGATAATACAAAGCTTCCACTCCATATCCGACCCCCGGCCATAAAACGCATTAGATATCGTGATGGTGTAAAGAGGTACGCAGCGGGATGCTTATATACGCTGATAGAACAAGATGTATGCAACCTTGTTGTCCTTGATGCTGTCCTTGACTTGTTTGTCCCTGGCAGCCCCGTTGGTTGCGCCGTTGACGACGCTGCTCCATTTCTTGCCACCGCTTGTGGGAGCGGTGACTTGCTTCCAGCCGTCTTCATCGCCGGTATCATCGTCGTTCATTGCTCCAAAACGGTTGCTGGTAACATTCGAGGCTGCGTCCTTACGGGCGTCCTTGGCGTCTTCCTCGACGCCACTCTCAGCGATGTCTTCAGGTCGGATGCGCCGAATGACGGTGTCGTCCAACCGAATCCACTCGCGGCCATCTTGTCGCCTCACGTCCACTGTGTAGTGACCGCCACTGGCATTCTTGCCGTGGTGATAGACCACGCTAATGAGCCTGTACCGGGGCATTGAAGCATTGTCTAGGTTCTGGCGGCGTTGTCTAGACAAAGCTTCGCGGGGGATCTCAAGCTCCAAAGGATACCCAATCTTCTTCCAGATCTTCACAGTGCCACGACCTTCGGCGTCGAATTGGAATCGCTTGAGATGGAGAATCAGGACAGGGGGGAGCGATTCGATAAAGACTTGCTTCGTGGCGACGACATCTTTTCCGCGTGGGGAGTTGAAGTCTCCTTGAAGACGCTCGGGCCGAGTCAGCCCACGCAGGGCATCGACGACATTGTTGATGTCGGGGGATCCAATATCCAGCTGAAGGGGTTGGTAGCGCTCGGTCGTGATGGAGTCTTTCAGCCCTGGCACGCGGAATTCGGATCTAAGAAGACCACCGAAAATCTTGGTAATGGGGGTTGACGTGTTATGACCTGACAAGCGAGAGACCGCGGCACGTTGCTTGCGGCCGACCTCGAGCCAGTCGTCAGAAGCGACACCAGATCCGGTCGAGGCATTAGACGAAGGCACCTCTTCGTGCCCAACTGGCAGATCCCTCATGACGTGGGTGCACTCGTCATCCAGTGACTGAAGCAGAAAGCCCAAGAACTCCTCTGCATCTTGTTGATGGCCACGCTACGGAAACAAAAGGTTAGCCACGCCATACCACGGGTCAGTGACAAGCTTATGACTTACTCGCATGCTAGCAAATCGGGGAAGATGCCGGATGGCTTCGTAGACAAACTCGGGGGTGAAAGGCTCGCCGTAACGCTCAAAATCCTCGTTCTTCAGGAGTCGATTAAGCTGCTCAACCGACGGCGCAGACTTGAGCACTTTGAACTCCCTCATAAACATGATTAAAGCGTCAATCAACGGCGTCTCGCTCTTGAAGCTGTGAGCAGCCTTCTTGCCGACTTGATCGAGGAAGTCATAAAAGGGCACACAAGACACGAGCACTTGCAAAACCTGATAATTTCGAATTAGCAGCAGGTTCTTCAGAGGGGAGATGACTTTTGAGGGGGACTTACGGAATTCATGTAACACATATTACCAGTGTTGATGAGTCCGCGCGGCTCGAGGAAGTCTACTTTGTCAATGTTCTCGACTTGGTAGGACTGAATTGCTTGGGCAAGAGAGTGAGCGTTTGACCTCGAGAACGACGAGGCATTGAAGTTGTTTGGACCATCCGTTGAGCCGCCATTAACAGCATCGGCACCGGCGGCTGAACCATTCACAGCAGCTCGCGCCGACGGCTTGGCAAAGAGGTTGGCCCAGCTGGTAGGCGGAGCTCGAACGACGGGGCTTGGAGTACCGTTCGTCTCGTTGGATTGAGGTTCGGCAGTAGCAGCAGCTGCAGAGTCCTGGTTGTCGGCCTTGGCAGCGTCTCCGTTGATGCCCTGCTGATCCTCCGCCACAGATGCTGCGGAAGCGGATGGCTTGGGACTGTGCTTAGGCGGCACTGGCACGACAGGAACGGCGGGCGCAGCTGGGCGAGTAACAGGTGCCTTTTTCTCTTCGGACGTCTTGGAAACATCTGCCGAGTCAGAGGCTGAACCAGCTTCTTTCTTCCCGTTTTGCTGTTGAGCTTGGGTGCTAGCCTCAGGTTTGGCAGAAATCGCAGGCTCTTCGGCGATTTTTTGTTCAACAACTACTACAGGCGGCATAATCGAGCCGTCCTCCGCAGCTAGGAACTTGTTCTGCCGCTTTGATCGAGGAACTCTCTTGGGAAATGGAACGTCGGGGTGTGAGAGCCAGGGCAGCTGTTTCACCGGGGTTAGTCAGACATTCGATTGCAGACAAATGTCATTTCTGGAAGACTCACCGGTGGCCGAAAGGGCTCGCTTGACTCAACAACCAGAGTGACTTCTTCAGTAGCAACCACGGCGGTAACATCAGCAGGCCCCAGCGCCGGGATAGGAGCAACTGCAGGGGCAAGAACAGGAGTGGCCTCGGGGCCGAGAACAGGAGCAACCTCAGGAGCAGGAATAGGAACAACCATTGGGGGAGGAGCATAGTTCATAACAGACGGGGGCACAGCGCCGGATGACTGCTCGCTCCGAGGAGTCTGAGGAGTCATGGGCGTGGGCGGGCGCAGCGGCAATGACGAGTGTGTCGAAGACGGTGTATGAGGCAATCCATTAGGGCCGTAGGCAAGCGGAGTTTGGTATGGCACCGTCGGATTGGGTGACGCTCGATGGTAGCCCGGCGAGACGGCGACTCCCGTCATGGGGGCGAACTGCTGCATTGGCGGCGGGGACCGGGCGTAGTTCTGATATGGCATGTACCCAGGGTGGACTCCGGCCTGGTATTGCGGTGGCGGCATGCCGTAGTAGCCCTGGGGAGCGTACGCCGCATAGTTGGAGTACATGTTGTTCATGTGCTGGTGCTGGTATTGCTGCGGGTGATGGTTCTGGTACTGGTGCGGATGCTGGTGATGGCTCTGATGCTGGTGCTGTTGTACTGCGGCGGCCTCCGTCGAGGGCCGCCCGCCATGTTGCCGCCGTTCATGTCCATGCTGCCGCCAAAGTCTCCGGTTGCCGTCGGTATGCTCTGCCCAGCCGGCAGATGGCGGTTACTCAACCTGCCGGCTTGGGGGATCGTACTGTTTCGAATATCGCCCAGAGCTGCGACTCCCGCATCTACATGCACTGCCGGAGCCGAGGAAGTGCAATGTCAGTCTCACAGCTGGTGGCGACAGCCCTGAAGCGGCGGGCGAGAGCGCAGCGTTGTCCAGAGAGCAAATGCTGCGAGCGTTGTCGGAACTGCGCGACACGGGTGTTTGTCGAGGCGCAAGAGGGTAACGTGACCAGTCGACAGCGACGGTTCTCCAAACGGCGATGGGAAGCAAAAGTTCTTAATACAAGAAGAGAGTCAGCTTTCAAGCTCGAAATCCAGAGCCTGACCACCGTGTGCGCCTTGGAAAGGGTTGAGGCCGCAGCTGGTTGGTGGTGAGGAGGAAAACTGGGCTGTAGAAGCGGACGGCGATGTTTGGAAGCCGCTGCTGGGATGCAGTCAGAGACGCTGTGAGAGCGGCGGTGCCCGGATTTTTATGGCATCCGTGCCCTCCGGCTAGGGGGATCATCCGAGGATTGGCCGGTAGACGCGCGATGGATCTGCTGCGATGGCGGCATGCGTACATGTAGAACGCAAAGTAGAGGTTGGTACTCCGTGATGAGAATAAAGTATAATGGAAGCATATGAGCCTCATCACTGGCCTCAATTCAACGTTCGAGAGACACCAGAGTTGGTCGAATGTACTGCAAAGGGACTTCCATCTCCACGTCGCCATGGCCGCCCCGAACCTTATAACGAGTTCAAGCCACCTGGGCATGCTTAAACGGAAGCCTCAGAGTGATATCAAGGTTCAGAATCAAACAAGGCTGGGTTGCTAATCAACTAACGGCATGGTCCAATTCATTGTATACGCCACCAAGGACTACAAGTTACCCGAAACCAGGACGATTCCAGACCCCAACGCCTGCTCTCTTGAGTGTCAAGCTCATGCTTCTTCTCGTCTATTCGTCCCTGAACAGCCACATGCCACCGGGGCGCATAGCCTCTCTATGCCTCTCCGCAATTGCTCGCTTCTCTCGTTTCAGAGCCTCCTCTTTGTCAGCCGCCAGCTCCTGTGTATTTGGGAAATCAGCGTTCCAGAATCCCGGCGGAGACTGCATGCGAGAGAAGCGATGTCTATGCCTGCCGTATTTGTTGGCCAGCTCTTCGGTCTTTGCTTTAACCCAGAGTTCATCTCGTTCATCCTTCGCCATGGACGCCAGTCGCCACGCATCGTCCCCCAAGTACTCCTCCAGCAGCTTCTGTTCTTCTTGCCGCTGCGCCGCTGTCAGCGGTGGATCTGGCCGTTGTGATAGCGCCAATGCCCTGAAATGCTTTCCACAGCAGTGCATATCAGTGCAGCCTCGGAGCGCTGCCCTTTCATTCTTGTCTCTGACAACTTCCGAAAACGCAAAATCTTGCCCCTCATTCGCCAAGGGGTTGACCTTGAAATCATCAAGGCGGAGTTCGGACAAAGGTTTGTGGCGGAGGCCAGCGGTGGATACTCTACCTTTGAGAGGGGAGCGATCTCGACCAGGAGCTCTTTTATCCATTGTCCTTGAAGGTGTCGCCATGTCTGTAGACAAAGTTTGACGCTTTTTGGTCTGTCGCATCATCTTCTCAAATGGCAGCTCCCGAGGTTCGGGGAAGAGGAGATCCAGGGGTGTGTGTTCACCCGAAGTTCGCTCCGAATGGCGCGCTTGAGGAGTTCGTGAAATAGTAGCCGCATTATCGGGAGTCGAAGTGTTCAGCAGCGTATTCAAGCGGCCTTTGGCCATTGAAGTAGGTGTTTGCATAGCTTCCAAGGCTCTGTTGAGCCTCTCCTTTCCGTAAAAGGCGCCATCCTCAGCTAGTGTTGCGATACCACGGGCCAATGTAGCTTTCGGGGGACCTTTTTTCTCATCGGCAGTCCACCCAGTCATTCTCTTATTGCCGCTTATCGGAGTGAGCACCGATGGCCCCTGGAGACACCCAGCCGGCTGCTGCAAGGTATCCAGACGTGCGTAATCCAGCTTCAGGGCAGTCCTTGCACTTCCATCCGCAGCTGCTAGAGCCTCCAGGTCCTTGCGCTTCCGAGGGGTTGTTATCCTCTGTGCTATATCATCAAGGTCGATGCTTTCATGGATGTCAAAGTGATAGTGCTCCGAGGCAGTAATCGGGCTAGAGCTCGTCGATTCGGCCTTGATTCTCGAATAGGCTGCAACTGCAGGTCCATCCTCTTCCACCCGTCTCCGTTTCAATATTTTTTCGGAAACCACAACCGGAACGTCCGAAGATGGTTCTGATTTGATTACAGGCGCGCCTTGATCTCGGTCATCTGTCGGCAGAAGAGGCAATTCTTCCGTCTCAGATTCGTCAGAATCGCCTTGGGTAGACTGCAACAGTGGATCCACTATGCTGCCGACGTGTTCGCGATCCAATGTCTCCGGCAGAATGGGAGGCAATGTTGGTTCAACACCAGGGGGCGGCATATCGGAAACAGGTCGTGTCGCGTGTGATGCCTCGGGGCGGTCATCCTCCTGTTGTTCCAAGACTCGCATGCCATGCTTCTCCTCAAAAGCCCGAACTTGACTTTCCAACGTCTTTGCCCGTTCCTTCCACAAATCACGTTCGTCTTTTCTTTTTCGAAGAGCCTCCTTTGCTTTCTTGAAATTGTCTGCGAGGGCGTTGAATCTCAGTTTAGATTTGATAAGCTCAGCGTTCTCGGATCCGGTTGAGGTAGGCGGAGGTGTTTTGGTGGCGGAAGAGGCTGGAATTGGCTGCGCGGGTGCGATGCTGGAAGCGGGGACGTCTTTACTCGCCGACGCCTCATCTTCGACGGGGGTTGCTGAGCAGGTTGTAGAGGCGCTGGAGGATATGGCTGCTAGCTGAGCTCGCAGTTTGCGGTTCTCTTCCTCCAGGGTTTCGATGGTTGCCAATTTGCTCTTGAGCAGCTCCTCATCGGCGGCATATTTCGCGGCCCGCCGTGCAAGCTCTTGGTCATGTTAGTCCGCCACGGCCAAGCTTTGAGAGCACATGACGTACCTGCTTGGAGCTCGCGGTCAATCACCTCCAAAGCATGATTGAGAGCTTCGCGCACAACCGGCCGTCCTCTTTCTGCCCAGTCGTCCATTTCAAAGGCCTTGATAGGGGGTTTGACTCTGCCAGGCAGCGAAGCCAGCTGCTGTTGTTTGGATTGTATTTGGCGCTAACGGACAGAGCGCGATCGCTCCCGCCGTTTGACGCGCCACAGCAGCGGGATAAACGCCAGGCCACGTGACCAGCATTAAGGCACCGGTAATTCCCCTGCCCCTAAACCAAACACGTGCTCTACGAGTTGGGGAAGCAAAAGACCTGTGCCTGGAGGGTGAGCTTGAGCTTAATGTGAGCTGCCTTTCCTTATGAAGTAGGTAGCTACTAGGTAGTAGTAAGCAAGGTAGGTCATAGAACACAATGGTGATCCTCTATGTGGATGATATCGAGCTTCCAATGTCGAAAGCAGAACATCTTCAAGTAGTCACCGTATTGAGGCACCTGGTTTCTGCGTCCCGGTACTTTGTAGACTTCGGCACATGAGAATTGGTCCCATGTGCTTTGACCTGGAATCTGCAAGTACATAGAGGAAGAGGTGCAGCTAACGCTCGAATGCGGAGCGCGCATCTGTTGGTTCTGCCTTGAAGAGGCTTGTCACTGCAACAGCCCTGCTACTGCACTCACACGCATAGCCACAAAACCTCACATGCCAATTCAGACGCTGCTTCTTCATCTGCGAGCTTGATCGATGCCGCATATCGGCCTGCCCACGAACTTCGGCACTTCGCGCGCAGCTGAGGCGGCGCAACGTTAATCCGCACAGCCGGCAAGGGCCTCCCACACTCGCCTACGCTCTAGCGGGCCACCGCCCAGCACCGCGCTAGACCGGCCTAGGCTGAGGGCCCCAGTAGCGGTTATCGTCAAAAACTTTTCCCTTTTTCGTCCTCACGTCTTTTTTTCCAATTATCGATTTGTGGTATCAGCATCTTCGTCCCACAGCCTCATCGCCGCTTCATCTCTGACGATTCTCCTTCCCGGTGAGTGACGCTCTGCTCTGCTCTGCCCATGGCCGCTTCGTCTGGACAATTGCCTTCGATCCGGGCACGCGCATGCCCGACGCTGGTTGGCGATGCTGAGATAGCGCTGCCAATGGGTCGCGAGTTGCCCCTCAGCCTCAGGCGCGGCCAAGGGTCCTGCATCTTCTGGACTCACCTCGCAGAGCTTCCATAGTCGCTGACTTCTATCATCTCGAACTCGCAGCTTTATTTCTCTTCTCTCCAATCACCATATCAACCATGGACTACCAGCCCCGAGGAGCGTGTTACTCTTGTGAGTCTGTTTTTTTTTTACCCGTGTTTCATCAATTGCCACTCTGTACCACCTCACTTGAAATGCCCCGCGTTTTTGCTTTTCGCCAGGTACCCTGCATTTTGGGCTTCCTCTTGAGAGGTTCAGGGCAGCCCCTCCAAACTCACTGCACCACACTCATCAGGTCCTGAGACCAGGCATGATGTCCCTTCAAAACGTCAGAAATTCAGGCCTCTAGCCTTTAGCTTGGCCACATTTCAATTCATTCCGTCTATTTCATCTTCAGCTCAATCTCATTTCTCTTCATTTTCCATCACTATCGAGTCAATCAATCAAGTCAAATCGCTAACGAGTTCCTAGGCGGTTCCACCGGCCACCAGGTACGGCAGATTCTCATATCGACCAAGTCAAGTCGACACTCAACTGATCATGTCTAGGCCCGTGACTGCCCCAGCAAAGGCCCTGCTAAGTGGTACGTGATAATCATTCTCACATGGAAATACATCAGATTTACTAACATTCTACTTAGCTACAACTGCGGCGGTGCGTATTATCCAAGACCTGCTAGTGCTGCTGATTCATGCTAACAGCGGTGATAGGCGAGGGACACATCAGTAAGTCTCAGAGATACTGGCTGGTTCTTTGTTTCATCCACTGACTTTCCCCAGGCCGTGACTGCCAGGAGCCCGCCAAGGACAACAAGTCCTGCTACAAGTGCGGCCAGCCCGGACACATCTCCCGCGACTGCATGCAGGGTGGAGGTCCTGCTGCCGGTGGCCAGTCCACCGAGTGCTACAAGGTATGCAAGCGAGTCTGAGCAAATATCGGAGTCTGTGGCTAATGTCTCGTTCTTCAGTGCGGCGAGAAGGGCCACATTGCCCGCAGCTGCCCCAAGTCTGGAGGTGGCTTTGGCAACAACTCTTACGGCAACAGCGGCTATGGCGGCGGTGCCGGCAAGACCTGCTACTCATGCGGTGGTTACGGCCACATGTCTCGTATGCATCACCCACCCCGACTGCCATTGCGTATCATTTTCTGACCCAGTCGCAGGCGAATGTGTTAATGGCATGAAGTGCTACAACTGTGGCGAGTCTGGCCACTACTCCCGTGACTGCCCCAAGGAGTCTGCTGGTGGCGAGAAGATCTGCTACAAGTGCCAGCAGGGCGGCCACGTTCAGGCCCAGTGCCCTAACTAAATTGGCGGAAGCTGTCCTCTCCCTTGCGACTCGCTAATGGAGAGGAAGTTGGCGTGGCAGCTATGATACCCACGATGACGGTCTATTCGGGCTTTCTCTTTTCTTATGTCTTATATTCCGCGCATTTTCCCAGGCGCGGCCAAAAAGTTGATTCGGCATGATCGATATGACGATACATCAGCAATCTTGCAACTCACGTTGCCAGGTGCTTGGAGGCTAGCAGGTTTGAGCCTATGCTCTGGAACACGGTGAAAATGAGACCATCTTGGGGCGGTTACCTTTGATGCGGCTGATGATCTGACGCTGGTGGGAAGACACAGGATTTGCCAAATGATGTGGTTTTTCCGGAGGATATGTAAAGGATGAAACGATATTTTCCTTGATGCGACTCTGCACCCAGACACTACCTACCTTGGTATTCTCGAAGACGGAGGGCCAAAAAGCATGCGATGTACCTTGTTGATAGTAAGACGAAAACTGCACCAGCACTGAAGCTGCTGACGTCTGAACGCGAAGCCCGCGCTGGTCTGGACTCATCTAACCGCGACGCAGTGATTCAGTGATTCGAGGCCAGAAGCAGTGTTGCGCGCTCCCGCACGCTTCGTCTCAGCCTCACAAGCCGCATGTTGCTGAATTGAATGATCCTGTCGACATCGCGATACGATAAGGGCAGGCACATGCCCACATCATGACCAGGCGCTTCATACACCACTTTAGCATATATGTGCCGTTGAAATCAAGTGCCCGGAACTGCAGATGCAAGTCATGACACGGCGCAGGGTTGATGTCAAGTTGCCTCCACTCGTACTGACTGACCTGTAGCTCCCCTAGCAACACCCAACGCCTCCCAAGGTGCTCACCAGGGCCACCCCCGTGGCATTTTCGTTACTGTTGTCAATTTGCAGTCACTATTAAATGGTAGCACCTTGCCCTTTTACTGTCGGCCAAATACAACAGCCACTATCAGGACAGTACGAGTCTCTGGATGAAGGCTCCCGGCCGGCAAGATGGGCGAATCAAGGCCTGGCTCGAGGCGCTACGGCGGCTTCAGGTCTGTCAGACGCTGGAAGTTAAGGCAACCATACAGTGGAAGTCCATCTCGAAGCGCTATCAAATCTCAGACCCCAGCACCAGACCCCAGCTTGCCAGCCAACCAGCCCAACCCCGGTCCACGGCTTTATTCCGCAAAATGGAGCTCCGCGTTAAAGCAACGGAGATGGTCAAAGCTTCGACAAGCTCCTACAGGGCGGTCTGGACCCCTGATTGGCCGATGGGCTGCAGGTCTGCCCGGGCCAATTGGCACAGCTCACGGGGGCGGGTGCGTGTGCTGTGCCTGGCCGCAATCGCAAGCCATGCGACGGCAGAATTTCCATGTCACAACGACCGCCTGGCCCAGACCTTTTTTTTTCCTCCTCTGTTATTGTTTTTCTCCCCTTCGCCTGACCTTAGCTCACTGCAGCCGCCTCCTTGCTACAGACCGCGTTGCGCCTGTACTACGTGTCATTTTCTCGTCTGGTTCTTGAGGAGAGACGCGGCAGCAAGGATAAATCGCTGGGAACTCGCGGCCAGAAAGCACCGCCAGAACCAAGTATCATGCCTGTCGAGCTGCGCAAGCGCAAGGCCCCCGTGGCGCCGCCCGCGCCCGCGCCCAGCAGGAAGAAGGCGGCCACCAGCAAGGCGAAGAAGCCCGCCGCCGCAAAGGCCAAGGAAGAGGTCAAGAAGCCCGAGGCCAAGGCCGACAAGCCTCCCAAGGACGACGAGGCCACCGACACTGCGCCCGAGTCCGCTGAGGAGAAGGAGACGGTGAAGGAGCCCAAGGAGGACGCCAAGGAGGAGCCCAAGGAGGACAAGAAGAAGCCGGCTGCCGCGGGCAAGATTGCCGTTGGCGACGTTCTTGACCTCGAAGAGTTTGGCGGCGAGGTGCAGACCAACGATGGCGAGAAGACCACTCTGAAGAAGCTCGTCGACGACAGCAAGAGCGGCGTTGTCCTCTTTACCTATCCCAAGGCCTCCACTCCCGGATGTAAGTTGTTTGTGTCCTTCTTCCCACGGAGCCTTCTTTGCGCCCCCTTGCTCCCGCATATGCCAACCATAACACCCACCCTCTTGCATTCATGGGACGCGCCCAGCCGCGCGCCGTCCTGGCTCGAAGGATTTTCTGACGCGACGCGTGTGCTGACTCGACAATTCATCAGGCACTACCCAAGTGTGTCTCTTCCGTGATGCATATGAGCCTCTGACTGCTGATGGCCTTGCCATTTACGGCCTGAGCACCGACTCTCCCAAGGCCAACACCACCTTCAAGGAGAAGCAGAAGCTGCCGTACCCCCTTCTTTGCGATCCCCAGGCCACCCTCATTGGTGCCATCGGGCTCAAGAAGCAACCCAAGGGAACGCAGCGCGGAGTGTTTGTCATCAACAAGGAGGGCAAGGTCCTTGTTGCCGAGCCTGGCGGCCCTGCTGCTACCGCGGACAGGGTCAAGGCTCTGGTCGAGGAGTTGAAGGGGAAGAATTAGTCGTCATTTAGTGGCTTATGACCTCGGTGTCGTTGTGGTCTGTCTCGCAAGTTCATCGGTTTTTTTTTTTCTTTCACAAGTTGGCGTGGGAGTTGATGGATGTGAGGGATTGCAAGCGTGCTTTCTTTGTGTACTGGTACTGGGAATCTGTATAGGGCCCATCGTTCTCGTATGTATTGCTCGTCCATGTCCTGAGGGATACTATCACGTTGCCTAGTTGGTTTTCCTTGTTTGACACTGAAGAGTGTGTCATGGTGATACATGATATCTTCAAGACGTGTACTCCATTATCTGGGGCCCTTCTATGTTAATGATTGGTGCTGCCATTGGCGGCATCAGTGGCAAGTCTAGTCTCAAGAGTCAGATGATAAATCACTCCCATGCCGAACTAGATCTGCGTGAGAATCTTGAGAAAGGCTGACGGCAGCCCCACGAGAGGTCTTTGGCGATACTAGATTAGACTCAATCCTCGTATGTAGCAGTGAGCTCTCGAGTCTACTGAGATAGCACCACACAGCCACATAGATTGGTTCTCTGCAATTACGCAGAAACGGCTCGCAGCTTCCAAGATTCGACGCATTCGGCGTCTTATTCTGTACATTTCTGTCAATTGGCTTCACTCGTCGATTTCCTTGTCGACTGCAGGGTACCTGCTTGGGAACGGGAGCCTTCGGCAAAGCCTCGGGTAGACAATCGCCAACACTCCAACCAAGAGATCCAATCAAGGCCGAGCCAATTCTCAAACGACACTCGACATCATCGTACTGAGGCTCTCCCATCGCTCGCACAAGATGGCTTCTCAGGCGGCAGCAAAGGTCGCTGGCGGCGTCGTTTCCATCACAAAGGTTCGAAAGACTCTTCCTTACCCGGCTTACCTTTAGCGAATCGGCTTCGACCTGCGCTTCAGCTTCTGTCTCTTTGCGATCTCTGGATTCACACACACAAGGCTGATCTCAAACCGCGCAGAAACAAACGCTCCAGTCCACCGGCATCTGGGAGACGATCCGCAAGGCCTTCTCCCTCGACCCGAACCGCTCCAACGGCGTCCCCCTGAACCCCTACTTCCGCAACCCGACCCCCGGCGCCCTGGACCCCCAGACGTACGACGACCCCGTCACGCTGCCCGCGGGCGACATCGCCGACAACCCCTACTGGAAGCGCGACGTCCGCCGGGCGTACCCGAAGCTCAGCGTCGTGACGCAGGGCGACGCCGTGTCGCTGCTGACGGTGGGCAGCGCCGCGCAGCCCAAGGTCGAGCTGATTGGCGAGGCGGGCGACAAGGCCCTCGTGGCGGCGAAGCAGGAGGGCGAGTCGACGGGGCTGGCCAAGTTCCTGGAGAAGGCGCCCAAGGACGTCGCCAAGGATGTTTTCGTGAACGGGCTGCCACCGGTGCCGAGCGGACAGAACTTGAAGGCTGGGGGGTGGGATGTGCACGGCTACGAGCTCAATGAGGAGCAGACGTACGGGGTTGGGTGAGTATTGCGCCTCCGACTGTTTGAAAACTGGATTGGTTATGCTAATTTTTGGTGAAATAGATATCCTTGCAGGACGTTCAAATAAGACAAGACAGGGTTGAAGCGTGTAAATACAGATGGATGAAGAAAGATGATAGATTTCCCAATTTCCATTTCCTATGAACTCCTGTTTCCCTAATCTCCGTGTTCAATGCCGTAACTCCACGAATGCGAAATCCCTCCATGCGTTGATGGACCATGAGTACGATGATACCCTCCCTCCAGTGATGATACATTGATGATACCAGACCATTTTGCAAACCAAATCATCTCAGTTGAGCATCCTCTCGATAATCTTGACCTTGCCCTGCGCTCTTTTGACCCGGTCATCGAAATCCTGCACAGCCTCATCGCTGTTTTCCGTAGAAAGTGTATCTGGCTCGACTAAAGCGTACGCCAGCTTGACATTCTTCACCAGCCGTGGATTGTTTGGCAGCGGCGGCAGCGTACATGCCTCTTCTGCGCCCCTTTCCGAGGCAGAGGCAGTGGTCTGCCGAGCTGTGTTGTTGTTGCTGTTGTTGCTTGTAGGGAGCCTGAGTCGGTTTGCCCAGACCAGAGACTTGCCGGCAAGGCGGCCGCTCTCGAGGAACTTCTCAAAGCCCTTTTCCATGCCAAATGAGCGGCCCTCTATGCGGCCTGCGCGGGCGCCATCTTCGACGCCTTGGTTGTAGCCTTGGGCGTAGAAGCGGCCTTCGAGGTTGAAGACGTCTTCTAGAGGATCAGATGACATGTTTGCCTTTGATCGTGGCTTGAATCTGGTATGATGGTTGTTCGAACTTTGAGTATAACTCAAGGCTCTTAATCAACATACATACGGGCTTGACCACCTCCCGAATCGGGCACAGGCTAGCGGCGGCAGAATTTTGTGACACACCCCGCCATTAGCCATAAAGCGATAGCGGGGCAGTGCGATGACTCGAATTGTCCTGCCTCTTATCTTTGCCTTGTCATGTCTTGTCTTGTCATTTGCACATGCGCCCTTCATTGATTTCTGTACCCTGGTCGAGTCTGTCACTTACACCCGCGCGACGCTTCTCTGTGCAGTTCGTTGAAGCTTTATAAAAGAGACAATTGATATTGGCCCTGGCGTTTCGGAGTCTCAGCAGCATCGCAACCAAAAGCATCGAGTTCGGAGTCGCACAAAATCGGCAGCCATGGCGGTTGAAAATCCCATCCTGCCCGTCAAGGGCAAGAAGAACGTGCTCATCACCAGCGCCCTGCCGTACGTGAACAACGTGCCTCACCTGGGCAACGTCGTCGGCAGCGTGCTCAGCGCCGACGTCTACTCGCGCTTCAGCAAGCTGCGCGACCGGCCGACGCTGTACATCTGCGGCACGGACGAGTACGGCACGGCGACGGAGACCAAGGCCCTGGAGACGGGCCAGACGCCGCAGGAGCTGTGCGACGAGTTCCACGTCAAGCACAAGGAGATTTACGACTGGTTCGAGATTGGCTTCGACTACTTTGGCCGCACGTCGACGAAGAAGCAGACGGAGATTGTGCAGGACATCTTCCTCAAGCTGCACGAGCGCGACTATCTCGAGGAGCGGACGACGAAGCAGCCCTACTGCGAGAAGCACGACTCCTTCCTGGCGGACCGGTTCGTCGAGGGAACGTGCCCCAAGTGCAACTACGACGACGCCCGCGGCGACCAGTGCGACAAGTGCGGCAGCCTGCTGGATCCGTTTGAGCTCGTCAACCCGCGGTGCAAGGTCGACGGCGCCACCCCCGTGCCCCGAGACACGACGCACGTCTTCATCCGCCTCGAGAAGCTGCAGCCCGAGATTGAAAAGTGGTTCCAGGACGCTCACAAGAAGTACGGATGGCCTCAGAACGGCGTGTCCATCACGCAGTCGTGGTTGACAAAGGGCCTGGAGCCCCGCAGCATCACGAGAGATCTCAAGTGGGGTGTGCCGGTTCCCCTGCCTGGGTATGAGAAGAAGGTCATCTACGTGTGGTTCGACGCCTGCATCGGCTATCCTTCCATCACGGCCAACTATACCGATCAGTGGGAGCAGTGGTGGAAGAATCCCGACGAGGTCACCCTCTATCAGTTCATGGGCAAGGACAATGTGCCCTTCCACACAGGTACGTGTCATGAGAATCTTGTATTCTGCCACATACTGACGTTCTCAAGTCATCTTCCCCGGATCCGAGATTGGCACTGGATACAATTGGACACTGCTGAACCACCTCTCCACCACCGAGTACTTGAACTACGAGAACGGCAAGTTCTCCAAGTCAAGAGGCATCGGTGTCTTCGGCAACCAGGCCAAGGAGATTGGCCTTTCGCCGTCCGTCTGGCGGTACTACCTCCTCTCGAACCGGCCGGAAACCAGTGATACCCAGTTCGAGTGGCAGGCGTTCCAGCTGGCCAACAACAGCGAGCTCCTGGCCAACTTTGGCAACTTTGTCAACCGAATCATCAAGTTTGTCAACGCCAAGCTGGACGGTGTTGTTCCCGAGTTCAACCCATCCTTCAAGGATGAGACGTTTGACTTTTCCGCCTGGGTCGAGACGGTCAACGGCCTGCTGAAGGAATACGTCGACCTTATGGAGAAGGTCCACATCCGTGCTGGTGTCAAGGCCATCATGGAGATTAGCAGGGAGGGCAACAACCTTTTGCAGGGCCGACTGGACAATGCCAACTTGGCCGAAAACCCCGAGCGGACACACACCACCATCGGCCTGGCTCTCAACCTCTGCCACCTTTTGGCCTCTGTGGCCTCGCCGTACATGCCCTCGACGAGCGAGTCCATCTGCAAGCAGCTCAACAGCGAGCTGGCGTTCATCCCCGACGTCTGGGACCCCACCGCCATCAAGCCCGGCCACAAGATTGGCAAGGCCGCCTATCTGTTCACCAGGATAGACGACAAGAAGATTGAGGAGTGGAAGGACAAGTTTGGCGGCACGGCCGAGACCCGCGCCGCCGAGGAGGCCGCTAAGAGGAAGAAGCAGGAGGACAAGGAGAAGAAGAAGGCCAAGAAGGCGGCCAAGGCTGCCGAAGCTGCCAAAAATGCTGGGGCTGCCAAGGGTGCCGAGTCTCCCAAGGCTGAGGGTGCTCCAGTGGACGCCAAGGCCCAGGATGAGGCCTCTGCCGCTGGAGGCATGGCGGCGTCTTCTGCCGAGGTGACCAAGGACTTGCCGATCCGTGAGAAGAAGACCGTAGACCAGAACTAGAAGACGAGAAATCAAAGAAGAAATAGATGTTGCATCAAGGAGTGTGGGGTTGGTGGTTTCAGGGCGGATTTTGGTCTCTTTTGTTTTTACTCTACATCTACGAGAAGGATAGCAATTGTTTTCTTGTTTTTTCTGTCGCCTTCCTGATATCATCTGGCTGCTGAGTGACGAGTGATGCCTGCTTATCCAGAATATTGAAGTTAATTCGGAGCTCCCAGCAAAAGCGGGACCGGTAGCGGACAAGGCTTTTGGTGGGGGCGTTTGGCACTTGCATTGACTTGCGCATTTCTGCCACTTGCATCAGCCTCAACTCTACCACCAACTCAAGCTCGGGCTCGAGAACGCATTTCCCTCCTTCAACCGCCCTCGACCAGCTTCTCTTCCTCTTCTCCCCTTTTTCATTCCGTATACAAAGACGCACAAGCTCACAAGTAGCCCAAAATGGACATCCGCCTCCTCACCACCGCCGACCTCCCCCTCATCCAGCACGCCAACCTGGAGAACCTGCCCGAGAACTACTTCCTCAAGTACTACCTGTACCACGCGCTCTCGTGGCCGCAGCTGAGCTTCGTGGCGGTGGACGTGTCGCGGCCGCGCAAGGGGCCCTACGACTACCCCAAGATCGTGGGCTACGTGCTGGCCAAGATGGAGGAGGAGCCGACGGACGGGGTGCAGCACGGGCACATTACGAGCTTGAGCGTCATGCGGACGCATCGGCGGCTGGGGATTGCGGAGAAGCTGATGAGGCAGAGCCGTATGTTTTTTTTCCTTTCCTTCCCTCCTCCCCCTTCTTCTCCTCTCCCTCTATATATACACACACACAGAAGCAATGCTTTGAAAAGTAAATTTGACGGGGAGGGGCTGACGAGATGACGAATGCAAAAGAACTCGCCATGGTGGAAACGTTCCAGGCGAAATACGTCTCCCTGCACGTCCGCGTGTCCAACGTCGCCGCGCGGCACCTCTACGAAGACACGCTGCGCTTCCGCAACGAGAAGACGGAGAGCAAGTACTACGCCGACGGGGAGGACGCGTACAGCATGCGCCTGGACCTCGACGACGTGGCGGAGCTGGCGAAGCGGTATGCCGACGAGGAGGAGGAGGAGGACGAGGTTGGCGAGGACAAGGAGGGCAGCAAGAGCAGAAGCAAGAAGACGACGACGAATGGGGGGGATGCTGCGGCGGAGCAGCTGAAGAGCGACGGCGTGGACGAGGGCGACGCGGTGGGCGAGGTGGGGAGGGATCCGGAGGCGGATGCCGCTGCTGGCAAGGACAAGGAGAGGAAGATTCGGGTTGCGGTCGGGAGGGGGTTGGGGGTTGGGGATCTGGTGGAGAAGGTTGAGGCGAAGCAGTAGATGGGGATGGTATAAGAAAAGAGTTCTGGGGTTTTATTTCCTTTCGTTCTTTTGTGTATATTGGGTTGAAAAGATGGATGAAGTTCTCTTTCTGTGTGCTTTTACAGGGGACAATGGATAGATTTCAAGTATTTCAGGTGGCATTGTGAATAGGGTATGGGGGATCACAGAAAAGGGGCGGATAGATAAAAGCAGCTATAGCCTATATTATCAAGCCTTGTTGGAAGGAAGGTAGTAAAAGACGAATTGACCTCATGAATATTGTTTTCTCTTCATAATAGTAACCTTAAGCCAATAACACAAAGAGTCCTGGTATCTATAAAAAACATCCCAACGCTATAATACAAACAACTCAAACCATTGCTCATCTTTCATGCCCCTCCCAACTCCCTCGCATACTCCTCGTCAGCCTCCACCCTCATCGCCTCCAGCTTCTTCTTCATCTCCTCGAGCGCCTTCTCCAGCCCCTCCCGCTGGGAGGACCCCGGCTCGGCGCTCTCCAGCGCGGCCTCCTGGTGCTGGATCGCCGTCTCGACGCCCTCCATGGCGCGGTACTTGGCCGATGCCGCCGGACCTGGAGGGGGGATTACTCCTTGGTCGTCCTGGGAGGGGTCTGTGGCTGGGTGCTTCTTTTCGTCGGGCCAGGAGCCGGGGACGGAGCGGTCGGAGGATGTAGTGCCCTGCTGCTGCTGCTGCTGGAATTGTTGTTGCTCTTGTTGACTGGATCCAAAGAAGCTGTTCGAGCCAAACGGACCGCCACCACCAAAGAGGCCCTTGTCACCAAACGGTCCCCTGCCGCCAAACGGCCCCTTCTCGCCAAAAGGTCCCCCCGGGCCAAACGGCCCTTCGGGTCCAAACGGACCCCCTGGACCGAGCGGGCCGCCGGCGCCAAACATCCCCCCAAGCAGGCCGCCGTCGCCGGGGGAGCCTCTGCCGTGGGGAGGAGCATGGGGAGGACGAGGGCCCCAGCCTCTGCCCCAGCCTCTGCCCCAGCCTGGGCCTCCACCTCGGCCGCCTCTATCCCAGCCTCTGCCGCGGTGAGGACCCTGTTGATGATCGTGATGATGATGGTTATCATGATGTTGGTTATCATGATGATGGTGGTGTTGTCCTCCTCCTCTGCCTCTGCCTCTGCCTGGCCGTCCCCAGGGGAAACCGCCCGTAAACGGCGGCGGAGGCCCGGGAGGAGGCACCGGCGGGACGGGCGGCGCCGCATCTCCGGGATGATGGGGCGGAACGGGAGGTGGCGGGGGAGGAGGTACAGGAGGAACGGGCGTCGTGGCGCCTCTCCGGGCATCTCGGCGGGCCTTTCTCATCTCCCTCTTGAGCTGCCTCCTTTCCTTGCGCTCTGCTCGTCTCTTTTCGCGGCGCTCCCTCCTGCGGGCCCTGCGTTCCTTTCTCTGCTGCTTCTTGATCTGTCGCCATGCAGCCGTCAAGGTCTTGATTTGCGCCCTGAGAGCCTTCTTGTCCATCTCGATGGAGTTGTCCTGCGACTTGGGGATGCTCTTGAGCTCCGTCTTGAGCTGCTTGACGTCCGCCCTGGTGCGCAGCTGGTCTGGGTTCCTGGTCCAGTCCTGCAGGCGGTTGATGTACAGCTGCACCGAGCTGAGGGGAACATCATCATAGCTGGGGAGCGAGCCGATAGATGACTCGGATGAAGAAGATGAAGAGGACGACGTGGAGGAGGCGGAGGAAGAGCGTCTTTGGCCTTCCTTTTCGTTACCACGCTGATAGTGAGCCCGCCCGCGCATGTCGCTGTGACGCTGCTGCTGCTGCTGCTGGTTTGCTGCCGCTGCGGCGGCGCTGTTCTCGTACCGGATGCCGTGCTGATCCATGACCAAGTTGCCAATGCGCAGACCATTCTGATCCGCCACGAAGCCGTTGCCGTAGCGAACGCCGTTGCCGTCGATCTGCCAGTTCCCCCATGAGCTACTACTACTACAGCCCCCAGGCCCTGGACGACGACCTGCCCTCTGCTGAGACTGCGTCGTCGTCGTCGTCGATGGGCCAGGCTCAGCCGTAGACGGCGTCGTCTGATCGAAGTTTGCCTCCCAGCCGCCGGGCATCTGACGCGCCGAGGAGGAGTAAGGTCTCGGGGGCGGCTCGTTGAGCACGATTCGGATGCCTCGCGGGCCGAAGAAGCCGTCGTTCCACTGCTGAACGGTGGCCTCGGCGTCTCGTCTCCGCTGGGCGGATGCATGAGGCGAAGAGGAGGTCTTTTCGTCGTCGGCAACCTGGCCGATGAGCTGGGCTTCGACCTGGACTGTGCCGGGGGTGTTGGTCTTGCCCGCGTCTGATTGTATTTCGTCAAGCAGTTTCCGGTGAATGACGGCTTCGGTCTGCCGTGTGCTGTGATCCGGAATGAGGAAGTTGATAAAGGTGGACCAATCGAGCGCAGTGACATCGCGATCCGCCCATTCAGCCACGTACGGAAAGTCCTCCGGCCTCGAAGCCTCGTTCACATCGACGGTATGAACGACGACGTTCTCCCCCCGAACCGACGACTCGTCCAGGCCCGACGACGGCCTCAGCTCAAAGTACAGCGAGGCGGCGGGCTGCGCAGAGGAGGAACTCGTCGGCGACATGCGGGGCGTCAGGGGAGGCGTGTAGATGGTTTCGCCGGCGGTGGACGAGGCGGCATCGTCGATGAAGGGGGTTGCCGCTGCTGTTGCTGATGGGGTTACGGATGCTGTTGCTGCTGGGGCGAGGCGAGGGGAGCGAGAGCTGCCCGCGTTGCTGAGGAGGTCTGTTTCTGTGTAGGGGGGAGGAGGAGCGTCGTCGCCTTGGACGTGCAGATGGTTGTCGTTGGGGGTGGGATGGGTGGCGTCGCCGCCGGTGTTGTTGATGGACATTGTGACGGCGATGCTTTCTTTTGGTGTTTATGTTGTTGATGAATGAGAAGAGACTTTGTTCTTGAAAGTGTGAAGCTATCACTCTGTGGTAGACAGAAGTTATGATGATGATTCAGTAGGTCTGGCGATGGTGGGCTGTTTTATGTAGGTAAACCCAGCAAACAGCTCCTCGAGGCAGAAAACACCGGGTACTTGACCCTTTTGGCTCGTCAAGCTCCCAAGACTGTCAAGAGATTGATGGACGAAAGACAAGTGGCAAAAGCAGGTGGCAGAAAAGGGAAACGAGCAGCTTCAGCCGTACTTGGACGGCTACCTGGACATACGCACACAACTTTCTCAGGCAGCCAGCCGAATCACGCCAGAAACGAGTCACACTCCCATCAAGCCTCGTTTCAACAACTTTTAACCCATCATCGTCTTCTCTACCTAGACTACCTTATCCCCAGTTCCTTGTCCAACCACGGTCAAGCGGCCCCTCCAGGTACTAGTGCTGCAGGCTGTTCTCTGGGCGATAGTAGTAGTAGTAGTTCTTAGGCCGCGCAGCCCCGGTGACGTTTGCCGTTGCGCTGCCTGTTGGAGTTCTGTTGGCGTGTTGAAATTAGTTCATTGGAGGGGCACGAATCCTTTGGGTGCGGCAGAGAGGAAGATGGCGAACTTGTCCGGCGTCGGCCAATGATGGCGAGGGAAGGATTTGGCTGCCTCTGTTCGCTGACGCGGCTTCGCTTGGAGGGAGGGGTGACGTTTGGGATACGGGCCAGTTGCCTTCGATGAGTCTTGGTAGACTAGGGGCCGGCTGTTTGTTCACTTGACAACATGAGAAAGTTGACATTAGATAGTATTTAGAAATGAATCATCTTCTTATTCCAAGCTAGAACGTTATCACCCGATCGAAAGATGTCATCAGTCACAGAGATAGATGACTTAGAGACGCTTCGTTAGTGACGAAGCCCTTTGAGCTGCTCGACCATCACTCATGCCTTTGCCAGCCAGAAATAGTCTATTCTTGATCCTTGCCTCAAACTATCCATTTGCTTAGTCACTGGATGCTGGCTAATGTATTGTTTCTTTTACTCTTTGTTGTAGTCGTACATCGTTAAATCATCATCACGGCTCAGCCTCCTCCCAGATGTGAAAGTCGGCATCTTCTCGCTTGTAGTGGTCTGAGATCAAGCTGGACAGGTGGTCGCGCGAATGTGTGCCCCTGTTGACAATTAGTAACCGACTTCCCGATTGTACAACAGGGAATGGAGACATACAGATTGGTGATGTAGGTGTCGACGAGCTCCGGCTGGATCAGCTCGGTGAGCGCAGTTCGAATCTCGGCGCCGCACACCAGCGGCCCGTCGGCAAAGCTGACAAAGGTCGACGAGTCGCCCCACTCAATCAGCGAGCTCTCGTCAAAGGGGCTCTCCGGGCTCAGCTTGTACACGCCGCTGAGCACGACCACGGCGGTGCCCTGCTCCTTGGCGGCCCGGGCAATGGCTGCCGAGCCGGCGTCGGCGACGACCCCTCCGGTGGCCACAATCGCCCTCGCGCCGATGATGACCTTGTTGACGCGGGACATGTAGGCCATCAGCCCGCCGTTCATGACGTTGACCACTGTGATGCCCGCGGCCGACAGCTTCTTCCTAAACGTCGCGTGCTGGCTTTCGGCAGAGTGTCTTCTCGGGGGCGCCACGGCGATGAGCACCGTAAACTTGCGCTTCTGCGCCGCGCGGAGGATAAACCGTTCCACCGTCGTCGAGGGCTGGTGGACCAGCACCAGGTCGCCGGGGTGAATCTGCACCTCTGCCGAGGCGGCGATCTGGTCGTCCACCTGGCTGATCTCGTCCTTGATCTCCTCGATTCCGTCAATGACTTCGGAGCGCAGCGCGTGGATCTGGCTCGAGTTGCCCCTCCACGTCGGCGTCGAGGCTCCCGAGTTTCGAAAGGGCGACACGTCTCCGTCGGCGGGCGGAGAGGTCGACAGGAGGTGGAACAGCGATTTGGGCGGGTTGATGGAGCTGTAGGAGGAGACAATTGGGGGGCGCGCGGCCGGGGCTTCCTTGCCGGCCGAGTCGAAGCGTCTTGTCGTCCACTGCTGGCTGCTGGCTGCTGGCGGCACAATGTCCGTCGGGGTGGGCGCATCGCTCGCGGACTCGTCGGCGTTGTCGCCTCGGTCCTCGGACGCCTCGTCGCGGATCAGGCCCAGGACGCGGCGCACAATGTTGCCGATGACGAGCTCGTTGGGCTGGGCGTCGACCAGCTTACGGCCGGTCCGGGAGACGTTGGCCAGCAGGCTGTCGACGTCGTGCCATTTTGAGCGGGCGACGACCTGGAGGAGGATGTGGGCGGTTGCGACGGCGCAGGGCTCGGATCCCTTGATCTGTCTTCGCTTGAGGAGGCTGTACGTTGGAGGAAGCGCTGGTCAGTTACATTGTGCCCTGTGCATTGCTGCGTCGCCCACCCTCTGTCGCATCGCGGCCAATAGAGCAAGAGGCAAAGGCCAGCCGCGCCGCCGTTGCGACAATCTTATCGTGCCCCGCACTAAGTGCGAAATACTGATGAATCACAATCACATACGATATCAAGCTGTTGATGGAAGCTTCCAATGGCTGTCCCTTGAGCGACTTGAGGAACTTTTCCAGGTCCAGCGCGTGGCCGGAGGAGACGGAGGGCATCGTAGGCTGTATGCGACTGTGCGGAGAGGCGTTGCGATGCTGTTCTCTGCTGTGTTGTGGTTTTACGTGTGTGCGATGATCGAGGGGCCGATGCTCGGGGAGAAATATTGTATGGGAGACGATCGATTGGCGCTATGACTCGAAATTTGTGCGACACAGAGAGAGAGAGAGAGAGAGAGGTTCGAGCTGGTTCGATAACGGCAGCGGCTGCGTCGACGCTGGTGAAGCACGGGTGAAAAATCCGACGACGATGATGCTGGCAGGTTTTGATGCTCGTGTCTCTGTCTGAGAATTCCGGAACGGGTGTGGTGAGGTGGGCGGGGTCTGGTTTGGTTTGGGTTGGTTTGTGGGCGCAAAAAGAAGGTGCTCGAGATCGTGACTCAACGCGCGAGGCTGGAATTCCGTACATTCCACGTTAATGCAGTCCCGCTGTGCACTAATGTAAGATGCACGCCTAGCGCAGCAGAGAGGCCTTCTGCCCCGATGTCTGAATGCACATTGTTGAAGAGTAGAATCTACCTTGTTGATGATACAGCATCTCTTGCTCTGATGTCTACTGCTAGATAGCCAGTCGATACCTACTTATCTACTCGTACCTTACATATCATTCCTCCATGTCAGCATCAGCATTTACATACGCAACAAATCCTCTTAGACCCAAATGCAACACCAAACAAACTATTTTCCTCGGCATCCAACCCCGGAACCAGACCTCCTCTCTCCAACCATCATCGACTCTCCAAGCAGAGCCGCGCATTGGGCCACTCTCCCTCAGCATCGTACTCGTACTTGTAGGGCTCCCCCAACAAGCCCTGCTGATTCCGCTGCAAACCACCCGCAACCCCCCCAAAAGCCCGCCCTAGCGTGGGCGGCATCTGACCTCCCAGCGGCCTTGGCCCGCTATTCGATGCTACCTGGCCTGCCTAAGCCGAGCGCTAGCCATTGACTGATGACGACCTGGCCCGATTTGCTTGGGGGGGATTTTCTGGCCTCAACGCTTCTGGGCCGAGTCGAGCTTGACTGTGCTTTGACCAAAGTACTGCAAGTTACATCAAGTGTTCGCTGCCAGAACTGACGGCTTCTTCTGGTGGTTTCATTAAGCACAAGTTCCCCCCAGCCTTTCCAGCACCTCCAGCCATTTCCCGAGCCTTCTCACGTAGCGTCATTTCTGTCTTGTGCCCTTTTTTTTCTGCCATCGCATCCCGTCTGACTTGCGGCTTGTCGCCCATCCGCCTCCGTCTCTCACTTCCCCCTCTCCTCCCCCTTTGGAAGCGACTCACTCATGACACTCGTTTCCCGCGCGCCCTGCGGAGGCTCATTTTAACCCCCCTGGAGCGCGTTGCAGGGCCATTGGCAGCATCCCCAGAGAGCCGGAAGCGGCCCTCGAACGGCCTCGGCATCTGCTGCGACGGCTCCCTTTTCGCTCCCTGCCGTCCGTCAATCCCGCCGACTGCGCAATACCGAGCCTCCTCAGTTCTCAGTTTCCCCGGAGCCGCCGCCAATGCCCCATGGATTGCTCTCCCTGTTCAACATGAACTCGCTCAACATCATCACCGCGCGCGTGTCGCCGCCGCCGAGTCCCACCCACTCCCGATCCAACAGCGTCTCCGCCGGCCTCGACGACGACAAGGCGCTCGACGTGCCCGACGACAAGGCGGATGGACACGAGGCCCAGCCCTCCGCCGCCGAGGGCTCCCCCGCCGAGAAGCGATATAACGACGACCACGACGACGAGGCCGCCTTTGCTACCGAGGAGACGCCGCTCTTCTGCGAGTCCAAGCCCGATGGCAAGCGCTCGAGGTGGTGGCATGTGCTGCCCCGGGGGATCGCGTCCGGCTTCATCAGCAGCATACGCTGGCTGTTGGCCACGCTGTGTGCGCCGGGCTACTACCTGCTGGCCTGCTTCTACGACGACTTTGGCAAGTTTGCGCCCATGACGCAGCTGAAGAAGCTGTTCGGCTTTCACGGCGGAGACATGGGCACGGACAAGCTGTACGGAGCCTCTGCCGAACGGCCGAGCAAGACTGGCCGCAACTCACGGCATCTCGGAGTGCCGTCGAAACCATTTCATTCGTCGAGTACCTCTTCGTCCGGTCTGTCGTCCGAGTCCGAGGACGAGCCTCATGCTACCAAGAACCGGCATACTCGCTCCAAATCAGCCCAACCCAGCGACGAATCCGGCGGCGGCGGCGCGCGGCGCTCCATCCGGATCAAGCTCAACGACGAGGAGCAGCGGAAACATAGAAAGTCGCAGTCCACCGCCTCTCACGGCAAGGGCGACCTCAGCCGAAGCGATCTCTCTGCGCAACTCAAATCTCCCACTTCTCCGATCGCCGCCCTGACCAGGTACCCGAAGACGCCCGCGCCTCCGCGACCCCTGATCCCCCGACGACAGCCATCGTACCTGAATCTTCTTGAGCCTACGAGGAAGCAGCAGAAGACGCTCATCCTGGATCTCGACGAGACGCTGATCCACAGCATGTCTAAGGGAGGACGAATGAACAGCGGCCACATGATTGAAGTCCAGCTCAACACGGCGACGTTGGGCATGAGCGGACAGAGCAGCGCGGCGCAGCACCCCATCCTGTACTGGGTCAACAAGCGGCCCTACTGCGACGAGTTCCTGCGCAGGGTGTGCAAGTGGTTCAACCTGGTCATTTTTACGGCGTCGGTCCAGGAGTACGCCGACCCAGTGATTGACTGGCTCGAGACGGAGAGGAAGTTTTTCTCGGCGAGATACTACCGCCAGCACTGCACATATCGACAGGGAGCGTATATCAAAGACTTGAGCGCAGTCGAGCCGGACCTGAGTAAAGTGATGATTCTGGACAATAGCCCGCTGAGCTATTTGTTCCATGAAGGTGCGTTGTCGACGCCATAACCAAGTGTGTGACCTGGCTAACTCTGCTTGCTTCAGACAACGCCATACCGATCCAAGGCTGGATCAATGACCCGACAGACGGCGACTTGATGCACTTAGTACCTCTGCTGGAGGGTCTCCAGTACGTCCACGATGTTAGAGCGTTACTAGGGCTGCGCAGCGGCGAGTATGGCCATCTCCAAGCATAGAAGGGGTTTATGGGAACACGTTTACATGGGTAAAGATTTGTATTTGGTTTTATTTTTTTTTTTTTATTTTTTTTTTTTTCATGCGTTTTCGTCTTCCATTGTTACTATTCTCAGCTTTTTACACACATAATGCAAAACTGGGCAAAAAGTCAATTGACAGTCTTGTTGCGGCCAGATGAAACGATGAGTGACGAAGCGTGAGAGGTCGAACGTCTATTCGAGCCCAGACGGATACTACCAATTGACCTTCCTTTTACCCCAGAATCGATATTCTCACGTTTTTCTTGTCATGCATGTCAGTTCTCGCACTTCCTTGAGTGTACAGACATACAAAACTTGCATCACCCGAGGTTATCGGAAATGTCGTCAACAGGAGCTGAACGACACAGACGCGCAGCCCCACGGCAGGGATAGGATAGCATCCGAAGAAAACGAGCAATCCATACATATGTACGAATCCCCGCAGTGGAGCAATTCGGGATTTTGAAGTTTGGTGACTTTTGGCTTGAAAATTGTTGTTGGGGCTGGAATCGGACGACCTCTGACTTGATGTCGTGGGAATGGCCTTGGCCGAGGTTAACGGTTTACATAAGACACCGAAGTAAGAGGAAAGATGGCTAGCCCCAGCTCATGTAGATCAATTTGCCCTGCAGACACATCCTTGCGGCAAGGTTCCAGGTTGTTCAATAAGACGCATGCATTACATACATACCCGGCACTCTAAGTCAACCCGGCGAGTACATACATGAACGTGTCCGAACGGATGCAACTGTCGGAGCAGGGCTAGAACTACTACATACCTATGGCGACAATAGCCGCTACATTAGATAATGACGCTTGGCCAAGATCTCAATCGGTCTACCAAGAAACGAAGCTGACCACTTTGCGTACCGTATAGTACAATTACCCAGCATTCACGGTACAGCTGCTAGGACAAACCACAATGGATCCGGATTCTTTCTTGCAAAATGTTGAAATGATTCAAGTTCGTCAAATTGACTCAATCAAGCCCATAACACAGTGGAGCCCCGACCAACTTCCAGCTCGCCCGTTCAGAGCCCACAAAAGCTGGAAGAAATGAATTTCCTCATCCGGGCGATAGAGGGAAGTAGTAGTTGGCAGTACAAGTAGTAGCACAAAACCAAACTTGGTGAGCGTAGTGGTGACATCATCATCACGGTGACGAAATGCTTTCGCCAGGACCCAAACCCAAATCAACCCGCCCCAAAAGCGGAGGAGAAAAACGTACCCAGCAAACAAAGAATGAGGCAAACATGGCAGCTTGCCGGAACAGCAGCTACGAACCTTGGCTGTAATACTGCTACTAGCTGACTAGTACATGCCTGGCTGTCTGGGGTGAGGGGCAGCCAAAGACGTAATTGATTGTGGTATGTGGGAAGGAAGGAAGTTCCAGTGTGGCTTGCGTGATGATGTAAAGGGGGCGGCAGCAGAATACAAATAGCTGGGCAGGTGCTGCCGGTTGGTGATTCATCTGGTATACTTCTTTGACTGGCATACCTGCTGCGAACACCATTGTAACTGAACGACGACAACCTTTGACTCTTTCATCATCCTCTCGAGACTCTCCATCACATCGCATCACATCGAATAGCATCCATCACAATGTCTCTTCAATGTGAGTCTTGCGCCTCAATCCCGTATTCATGCTCGTCTTCAGCTTGACCATCTCCCTTCACTCGATTCGCCACTCTCCTGTTCTCTTACCAAAACCGCCCAATTGCCATCATCAGATTCACCACGTAAGAGATGAAACTAACCATCGTCCAAAACGCAGACTTCCCCGCGGTCAAGCCCTCGGCCATCGCCCTCGGCACCTTCTTCAACCACGGCGTCGACCTCGTCGTCCTCGCCCCCATTTTCGGCCAGACCTACCACCGCGCAAAGGCCTCCAACACCAAGGAGGAGTTCATCCGCTCTCGCGAGGCCAGCGGCGCCGCCGTCGCCTGGGGCACCTCGTTTGTCGGCTCCGCCCTGCAGAGCTACGGCGTGGGAGCTCTGCTCAACGCCACCGGCACCCTGAGCCACAAGGGCGCTGCGTACCTGGGTGCTTTGATCTTTGCCGCCACCTCTGCTCCTACGGTATGTTCTCTCTTTTGGTTCAGTTTAGCATTGAATTCGACGAGATACTAACCGTCTTCGCAGTTCATCACCCAACTCTTCAGCGAAAAGAGGCCTCTGGACACTGTTGGCGTCAACATCGCTGCCAAGTTGCTAGAGACCATCGGCCTGTCCTTGGTTCTCAACTGGTGGGGAACCAGGACCAACCCCTTTGCCTAAACGCATAGTTAATGATTCTTTTCCTGAGGCTGGTTTCGGGAGGAGTTAATGGAAACTCATGATCATGTCAACGCCATCACATCTGGTGGTGATTAGTGTATAACATCAACCTAGTATTAGTCAATTCAGTTCGGAAACATGTGAAACGTCTTCTCGTGCCATTGTGATGCAGATCAAGATCGCTGAATCAAACCAGGCGTATCAAAAACGAAACGATTCCATTGATCAATGCAGTACTTTATATACCTGAACGCCGCCGTTGTCCCAGCAGTCTTGCTGCAAGACAATCATTCCCCTCTGGTATGGTTTTTAAACGTACACCCAGATTACTTTGCATCAGCCGCCATTTCCCACAACATCAGAACCTTGACACTAGTCAAATTCTTGCGCAATTGGTCTCTCTCTCCCACCTTTTTTTCCCCCTTCACGCCTTCGATTCACCCTTTGTCCAAAACGCCTGCTTGCTAGCCTCCTTCTGCACGAGCTTGACGAGCGAAGCGTAGCTCTCGCTGTACGCCTCGCCGCTGTCCTCCTCGTCATCCTTGTCGGCCTCCTTCTTGGCGGGCTTGTTCTTCTTGCCCTCGGCCTTCTCCATGATCATGACGACGCTGGTGGGCCGCTTGGTCTTGGCCGCGGCGCCCAGCTCGGCGCGCGACGTGACGAAGATGAAGGGCACGTTGTGGTCCTCGCACAGCACGGGCAGGTGGGAGATGACGTCCATGGGGGAGATGTCGCCGGCGATGACGACGACGCCGGGGAAGGAGGTGTAGCCGGGGGCGCTGGGGGGGGACTTTCGGAGCGTCTTGACGACCTCCTTGACGCCGCGCTTGAGGGTGCCGTTCTTGGCGGCTATTTTTCACAACGTATCAGTAAGCGAATTGCCCAAGATTGTCTTTTTTTTTTTTTTAAGGGGGGGAAAGCGAGAAAAAAGGGTGAGGTTTTACCTTTTCGGATCGTCTTGCAAATCTTCTTCTGGCCCTTCTCATCCGCCAGCGGCACGGCAAACGGCACGACCTTGCGCTCGAGAGGGAGCTGCTCGGGCTGCTGCTTGTCCTCTTCCATGTCGGATGCTTCCTCCGAGGCCTTTGCGGAGGTCTGCGCGGCGACGTCCTGCTGGAGCTTCTCGTCCAGCACGGAGGCGAGCTTGTCCTTCTTGTCCTTCTTCTCCTTCTTGTCCTTCTTGGCCTTGGCCACGCCGGCCTCGTCGCTTCGCTTCTCCTTCTTCTCCTTCTTGTCCTTCTTGTCGGAGCGTTCGGAGGCCATGGCTGCTGCTGCTGTTGTGTATTATGCGACGAAGAAGAGCTGTGGGAATTTTAAGAATGAAGATGTAAGGGGATTGGAAGGGTATAAAAGAGCCCGAATAGAGGATATCAAAGTAAAATAAATACTTTAATAATGCGGACAGACTCCAAAATGGGTTCAATTGCACCAATTGAACGACTTGCGCAAACTTTGGTTGCGGTTTTGATATGATATTGTCTGTCGTCCTCCCACGGTTTTTTGAGGCGCTTTCAAAAAATTTCCTTCCGCGACTGATAAACTGATCTATTTTTCTCGGTGAAAGGGACCCGCTTTTGAAATCTTCGGCGGTTTGTAGTGCCGCACGCCGAGCAATTCTTCTCCGGAGCCAATTGGGATCACGTGATGCGTGCATTGGCCTATCATGATGGCTGAGATTTGGATGACTGAATGGAAGCATTGGCTCGCGAGTTGTCATTGCTCGGGGAGCGTAGAATTAGACAGTAAATGGCCATGTAACTGAAAGGCTGATGTCTGGAAGTAGAGGGCATATCATCAAGTTCGGGTCAAGAAGTCATCCTGCATTAGTGACGTCTCTTCAACGCTCTTCTGTGCTATAAGGGCGTCACTCATCGTATCAACCGAATGGACACATGTGAAGCAACAAAGAAGCCAATTTCATGGAGTCAACCGTTCTATTTTCTCCAGTCTAGACGCTGATGTACACTGTCCCCCGGACGTTCATTTTCCAACAAGCCCCATGCACCGTTTTACTCCTCCTCGTCGGCAAACTCAGCACGGCCAGCCTTGGAGTTGAGGTAGTGGTTCCTAATCATGCCAGAATTAGCAATCACGCCCAGCAGCAACTCATAATATCCCATTCCATTCATACCTCTCGGTAGCCCAGCTCAGCAGGTAGTAGCCGGCCAGCATAGGGGGGAGCCAGTAGAAGATCTGAGACTTGGTGCGGCGGAAGGTGTTGAAGATGGCGTCGTGAGCGGCACCGGCAAAGGGGTTCTGTCGGTTGGCGGAGATGCCAAACGTGACGACGCCCTTCTGCTTAGCACCACCTGCATATCATGGGTTAGCATGCGAGTCGACTCCTTCAATGCCCTTCGATGTCGTGGTTCGTCCCGAGGTTCCTTGGCCGTAACGCATCATCCAACTGCCATCCTTGCCGCATGCGACTCCCTTCCTCCAATTGCCTTTGTTCTGCTAAACGAGCCATCCCGTTGTCGTAGTCGCTCGTGCGCCATCATCCCGTTGTCTTCCGTCTCTTTCGCGGATCGTCCATCGGCCATCGTCCATTGTATTCGATCGAGGATTCAGGTAAACTCACCAAAGGAGCCCCAGTCGCCGAGCCAGCTGTTCAAAGGTGTCAGCATCATGATCAATTCCTCGAGCATCATCACGCAGACGCCGCATCGTCCCCATCGAACTCGACCTTCGCATCTTGTGGAAAAGCCGCAAACTCAATGGTACGATTCCGTCTGCCCGGGACTAGGCACTTACTGGCCGATCTTGGGCTGGGGAGCACCGCCGCCCTGAAGCGCCTGAGTAGGTCTCATGGTGTCTGATGTACAAGGATTTCGTCGAGTGCTGCGATTTCCGTTTCGTCAAAGCCGGGAGAGAGAGAGAGAGAATGCGAGGGTGGAATGAGTCGGAATTGGTGAAAAGGCAGAGCATCTTCGCGGGTCCTGCCGAGCTTGCCTAACGTGGCTTAGCGCGCTTTCCGGAAAATCAGAGCAACCTTCTAGCAAGTGCGGGACAAGGCTCGAGTTACAGGCAGGTTCGAGCTTCATCATCCATTCGCAACAGGGCGTTTTCTCTTCTTCGCCCTTTCGGAACAGCTGCCGCCTCGAAACCTCGGAGGGTGCCTAATTCATAACTGGGAAAATACCTGCGACAAGAGAACCAACTACACCATGGCGGCATTCGCGCGAACGCTCAACCTCATGTACCGCATGGCCATCCCGGCCTCGGCGGGCGCATTCCTCCTCTCACAGTCCATTTATGACGTCCGCGGCGGCACGAGGGCCGTCATCTTCGACAGGCTGTCCGGAGTCAAGGAGGACGTCGTCAACGAGGGCACGCACTTCCTTGTCCCCTGGCTGCAGCGCAGCATCATCTTCGACGTGCGCACCAAGCCCAGGAACATCGCCACGACCACCGGCAGCAAGGATCTCCAGATGGTCAGCCTGACGCTGCGAGTCCTGCACCGGCCGGACGTCAAGGCCCTGCCAAAGATTTACCAGGTGCGTTGGATCTTTTCACTACCAACGGCTTGGGAGAAAGGAAAGGTGTAACATGTATGGTGTGTGCTAACGGTAATTACAATGCAGAACCTCGGCGCAGACTACGATGAGCGAGTCCTCCCCTCCATCGGCAACGAGGTCCTCAAGGCCATCGTCGCCCAGTTCGACGCCGCCGAGCTCATCACCCAGCGCGAGGCCGTCTCCCAGCGCATCCGCAGCGACCTGACGCGCCGCGCCGCCGAGTTCAACATTGCCCTCGAGGACGTCTCCATCACGCACATGACCTTTGGCCGCGAGTTCACAAAGGCCGTCGAGCAGAAGCAGATTGCCCAGCAGGACGCCGAGCGCGCGCGCTTCATCGTCGAAAAGGCCGAGCAGGAGCGCCAGGCCAGCGTCATCCGCGCCGAGGGCGAGGCCGAGAGCGCCGAGACCATTAGCAAGGCCATTGCCAAGGCCGGCGACGGGCTGGTGCAGATCAGGAAGATCGAGGCGAGCCGCGAGATTGCGCAGGCCTTGTCGGCGAACCCCAACGTGGCGTATCTGCCTTCGGGAGGCAAGGGAGGCGGCGGCAGTCAGTATCTGCTGTCTGTGGGCAGGGTGTAAGTTGGCGGAGAGAGTTGTGTGGGAGTAATGGAAAGATGGGAAGCCTGAAAGAACACCCCGCTCATTGCTGGGATACGGGAAGGAAAAGAAGATCCCAATCACGACGAACAATCTTGTACTTTTAGCTATGAGAGGCCGAAGAAGCCTTGTGTAAAATGAGAGAAACTACAGCAATTTGCTCTCACTCATGCTTGCTGCGTGTATTGTAAGGCTTGTCTCTGCAAAGACTATCGTTAAAGCTACGTGAATCAAACTTTGCGTGAACGTTGACGCAAGATATCCCAACCCCCCACGGCAGGCAATCCCAAAAATAGGCGGCACTCAACTCATCCCATGAAGAGCCTCAGTGACCACTCTCGATAAACGCCTCCGTCAACCCCCCCTTCTCGCCCTCGGGAGGCGTAATCTCCCCGTCCACAACCCGCCAGCCCTTCCTCTTCATGTCGTTCCACACATCCATGACCCTCAACCGGACCAGCTCCCCCGCGGCCCTGGCATCCTCCCCCGAGTCGTGCCCCAGCATCTTGGGCCCCGTGTCCTGCTGGATCTTGCGGTTCATGTGGACGCTCATCAGCCGCTTCAGGCCGAAGCGGTACGGCAGGCCCATCTTGTGCGGGTACAGCAGGACGGAGTCGACGACGGTCGGGTGCACGACGCGGACGGCGTTGAGGTCGTTCTCCAGGCCGTGGCCGATGAGGGGCGTGGACGGCGAGATGAGCGAGAAGAGGAGGTCGCGGGCGACCTCGGGGGAGGATACGATCTTGAGCTTCTTCTTCTTAGGCTTGAGCTCGCCGTCTTCGCTCCCCTCTTCGCCTGCCTTAGAGGGCGTGAGATCGTCGTTGAGGGACCAGGGCTCGGCCGAAGCAAGGTCCTCGGGCCAGACGCCAGAAAAGCGAGAGTTGAGATCCAGGATCTCGCCAATCGGCTGGACCAATACGTCCAGCAAGTCCTCTCCCGTAGGCCATGAGGTGGCGGTCAGGCGTACCAGTTCGAGTCCGTGAACCGTGTAGCACATTTCGCAGTCGAAGCAGACTGCTCTGTCCTTGGGCGCAAGGGGATTCTCAGGCGTCTCTGCAAAGTTGAGAACAACAGCCAGTCGTTTCGCATCGGTCGCTTTAAAGACGTGGTGGTCGTGAGTGAAGCACCCGGCCGATTCGCCAACCTCCTGGCCACAGCAATGGTATCGTTTGGGCACTCTTGTTTTGTCTCCGGGCAGCTTGTCTGGGACGTAGGTTTTGCCCCAGTGGAAGTTGCATGCTCCTCCTGTCGTCAGGGCGCCGTCCTCCTCCCTACGCCCGGGGAAGACCTGGAACCGTTGCTGGCAGCGGTCGCACTTCTCCCATCCCTTTGCCGCTTCTAGACCCTCCCGGGCCGACTGGATTTGCTCTGGAGTGGGAACGGCTGGGACATAGCCATGGTTAACCAGGTCGTCGAGCGGTGTGAGTATTCGCCCCAACAGCTGCACTTCCTGGGCGTGGGTGAGGCCAGTCTCAATCTTTCTGGGCTCTCCGTCGAACATGTCGTCCTTCCGAAGCTTCTGTTGAGCTTCTCGTGTCTCTTTGGTCCTGCTTTCTCTCCACTGAGCCGTGGTCATGCGCTTATATTGCATGACCTTGTTCTTCATCACGTTGGAGTACACAGCCGGCTTTTCAATGGCGCATGCCTGCTCTTCATCGAGGGCTCGAGTAATGAGGTCCTGGTCGGATAAAAGAAGCTTCTGCTCTTGGTCCTTGACAGTCTTTTTCAGTTCGTCGTTGAGGCGCTTAAATTCCTGGTGGACAAGCCTGAGGAGCTTCAGTCGAATCTCATGGCTCGCTGGAGAGCTCTTGAGCAGTCGAGGGTTCAGCGACTCGGCCTTCTTGGGCTTCGCCGGTGCAGCAGCTGTCTTGGGGGCAGAAGAACCGCTGGGCTTCACGGTCTGCTGCTGGCTCTTTATAGCTGGGGAAGACGCCGTGCTTGCGTTTGCGGTTGGGCCTGAAGCAGTAGACTTTCTCCTCAGCGGAGGCGGAGAAATTGGCCGCGTGGCGCTCTGCAGCGTCACAGTTTGTTTCTTTGGATTCTCGGATTGCTTCTCGGAGGCTACACCAGACTGCGTTTGCGATGGAAGAGGACGGCTTGCGTCGTCGACCTTTAATCGCTTGCTTGGGCGAGGCTCATCTGGCTGCGACAGTCGCCCGTCCCTTGCCGGCGCGGCAATGCTGTCGTCGTCGACTTTGGCCTTGTCTTTTTCATGCCCAAAGATGCACTGGAAGGCGGTGCATCTGTTGCCTGCCGGGCAGGGGATGTGTTTGAGGGAGAGGCTCATGACGAGCCTGCTGGAGGCGAGAGCCTCGGGAGGGAGTGAGAGGCGAGAGATGCACAGTCTCTATCTGCAGGCGGAGGTGTTCTGCTGTGGTCGTACTAGGTGCAAGTCATGCGTATTGATATTTGCTTGACTCTGTGCTCGCTCCCCTCTGCGAGCATGTGATCAAGTGAGGTTTGAGCAAAGGATTGGACGTTGTTTGATAGATCTGAGTTTCGGCTTGTTTTGATGACTTGAGGCATGGCTGGATGCACGAGGCGTCTGGTCGATATTAGGCCTTGCCGGCGCTGCAGGGGCGTGTCAGGGGGCCGCTGCGGCCGGTGTTTAGGCGTGAGGCTGCCGAGCCACAGGCGGCAGGGAGCCACTGGGGGCGCTAAGCAGCCGGGATGGGGCGGCGGATGGAGCCCGAACTGAAACCTGAAGCCTGTGTGGATGCAGGAGAGCCCTATCAAGAGTTGTCGTCTTTCGATACAATAGAGACAGATCACAGGAACAAAGCCTGAAGCATTGATTAGGTGAGTTGGCTAGCCTTCTTTTTACTGTAGTAGGTGGCTGGCAAGCGCTGCTTTTACTGCGACTTTACGGCGAGAACTCGGGACAAACTTGGATCATCCACTCGCCTTATGAACCACATGTCCGCTTCTGGTCAACAACCGCATACGAGTGTAAAGCGCCGCTTCTTGCTTGTGATGCGGTTGAAATAGTCTTCACACTTATAGCAGGAACTGTCTGAATCATAAGCAGAATGTTTGGACAGTTGTAGGACAAGTCACCTGTCCTGACAGCTTGGGATACCAAACACGTGCAAGGCCCAGCTGTAATTTTTGCAGTATGTAAAATTGTACTATCTACAACAAGACTCTGCTGCTCGCTATCTCGTCTTGTCCACGTCTACCTCATGCAGTCAAATCCTCCAGGTCATCCACCTGTTACAGTCTCCCGATAAGCAAAAAAAAAAAGCTAGGCTTGATAGCATTCAATCCTGTCTCAATGCAACTGCTTTGGCGGACTTTGCCATCAGCCCATCGTTAGCTCTGGCACACGCGGCCCGGCTCTGCGCGGAAATACATTGGCTGTAGATTACGCTTCTTACTCAATCGGGGCGTCCCAACACCAACAAAACGTGGAACTATCTCCGCGATCCATTTTTCCCGAACCTACGTAATGCGCCTCCCCCATGTAACGAGTAGAAAAAGGACCTCCGCTGCCCTGCGCCCCTAATGTCTGCTCGCCTGGCCGGGTCACGACTCCTAGGCAGAGCTTTCAGGATGGATTTCGCCGGCGGGAGCAACAAGGCGGACCACCTCTGCGTCCTGGTGCACGGGGTGAGTTTGAATGAATGGTTCCCAGGAGTTGCTGTGTCGAAACTGCCGCGTGTTTGTCACTGAAGCTAACTTGCCGGTGCTGTTGACGAAAGCTATGGGGGAATCCGAACCACATGAACAACATCGCAAAGACGCTACGAGCCCAGCACTCTCCCGACGAACTCTACCTGCTCCTGGCCAAGCGGAACAGCGGCAGCTTCACCTATGACGGCATCGAGCTGGGCGGCGAGCGAGTCTGCGCCGAGATCATAGAGGAGCTGCGGATGATTGAGAACAATGGCGGCAAGATCAAGAAGCTGAGCGTCGTGGGCTACTCTCTCGGCGGCCTGGTGTCGCGGTACGCGGTTGGTCTGCTGTACGCAAAGGGCATCCTCGACTCGGTCGAGTGCGTGGTAAGCAACGCGCCTTAGTACTTCTTGGCCGGCGAAAGACGATCTTCAATGGCTGATACCCGAGAGCAGAACTTTGCGACCTTTGCCACGCCGCATCTCGGCGTACGGACGCCCCTGAAAGGATGGCATAACCACATGTGGAATGTTCTGGGCGCGCGGACGCTGTCCATGTCGGGCAGCCAACTGTTCATCATTGACAAGTTCCGCGACACCGGCCGGCCCCTGCTGTCCGTCATGGCGGATCCCCAGTCCATCTTTATGCTGGGGCTGCAGAAGTTTAGAAGGCATACGTTATACAGCAACATCGTCAACGACCGAAGCGCCGTTTATTACACGACATGCATAGAAAAGACGGACCCATACAGGGACATTGATCGGATCAAAGTCAACTATCTGAAACAAGACGTAGAAGGCGTCATCCTAGATGCGGCGCATCCATTTTCTCCGCGACCCAAGGTTCCCGCGCCAGTCACATTGTCGTCGCTTACCGAAACGGGCATCCGGTGGATGAGGGGCATCCCGTTTATGATTACGGTGTCGGTCCTGGTGCCCATCGGCGTGGTGGCCTACCTCATCAACTCGGTTTTCCAGACCATACGGAGCACGAAGCGCATCAGGTTGCATGAGGGCGGCATGGCAGGCATCAACGTTGCCGAGTACCGGGTGCCGATCCTGATCAAGGAGCTTCGCGAAGAGGTCGAGCACGCCTACGAGGCGCTGAACAGCTCGCAGAACCAGGAGTACCTGGCGGACGAGGACGAAGATGAAGAGACGGGCATGAATGCCGAGGACAGAAGCACAATGGCTCGGGAGAGGCGGATGTCGATCCCGACACAGCCAACGCTGGCCCTGGCGCCGTGCCAGTTCGAGATGATCCGGTCGCTCAACTCACTCAAGTGGAGGAAGTATCCGGTCTGGATTCAGAACGATCGACACACGCATGCGGCCATCATTGTGCGTTTTGAGAAGAAGACGTTTGACGAGGGCTGGGTGGTTCTGAGACACTTTGCGCGCGAGGAGTTTTTGATATAGATGACCTGGATGCGATGCGGATGCTGGTAGTAGTAGTATTGCTGACGTGGGTGGTTCGGGAGTTGAGTCGGATAGAATACGGTAATTCGCCGACACATTAGTATTTTGTTTGGGACTTGTTTTGATTGTTAATACAAAGCGATGCTTGCACATGATAGCGCATAGAAACGAGATGGGAGTCTGTGGGATGGTGTGGTGTGAGTTGTCCGTCGGCGGAGGAGGAGACTAATGGCGCAGCACCCGACATGCGGTTAGCAAACAGGCTGCGGCAGCGTCTTCTGATTGGCCGTCCAGAGCAGTTGAGAGATGCCAATTGGCTGTTTGCCACATTATCCGATGCAACATGTGTGACCAATGCGACTTGTCATCATCATATGTAAGGGTAAGGGTAAAGCCACGGACAAGCCAAGGCTGGGTGAGTGTATGTTGGCGGGGTACTAGTTGTAATATTCCGCAACTCCCAACCTGCAAAGCTCAAGATCAAGCTCACAGGCGACGGAGGGCCGGTCACGTGCAGCTGCAACCCCGGATTCAGGCCACCCTGCAGCGCTTCCCCTCACCAGTGGCCAATCACCAGCCCCGCCGCCCGCGTGCTTCCCAAGGCAAAAAAGTCGATGCTCGTGCCACTGCCCTTCGCCGTCAGTCGATTTAACCTCCCCTCTCGCCAGAGGCCTCGGATCGCCTACTTCACCCCCTGCTTCTGCACTTGAATTGTGTGCTTGTCCTTCTTCTCTTCTTTTCTCTTCTCTTGTATCAACGATTGCCTCCTTCGCGGATTTGCCCGGAACATGCGGATGCCGGCTTAGCAGGCAACCTCGACGGACCCCAGGGAGAGCCGACAGAAAAAGCCATTGAATCTTCGAAGCATCAACCTGACGTCCTGAGCCGCTGAGCCTCTGGACTTTTCTCAGTCGCAGCAAAGCCATTCGATACCGATTCTTCCTCCTTCTTCTCTCCTCTTTCAATCGCAAAACTCTGTAACAACATTCACCATGGTTCTCACGCACTCCACCAACCACACCTACTCGCATCCCTTCCCGACCGTCACCCTCGCCTACTTCCTGCGCTACTCCTCCCCTCAGCTCAACCCCTTCGCCGCCCACGTCCTCAGCACCGACACCATCTCCAGCCATGTCGACCCGGAGACCCAGCGCCTCTACACGACGCGGATCCACCTGAAGAAGAGCCGCATGCCGAGCGCAGTGTACAAGCTGCTACCCGCCAGCGTCTCTGGTGGCACCTCCGGCGAGAAGGCCTCTTACATTCTCGAGACCAGCGTGGTGGACATCAAGGAGGGCTGGATGAAGACGGAGAGCCGCAACCTCAACTTCACCGGCGTGCTGTCCGTCGTGGAGAAGCAGCACTTTAAAGTCCCCAGCTCGGCTGAGGCCGTGGCCAGGAACGAGACCGACGTCAACTCCAGCGTCATGTTCAAGTCGCGGCTCGGCGAGAAGATCAGGGGAAAGATTGGCCAGGCCCAGCAGGAGAGCAGCGGCTGGCTGCCCGGATTCCTCGGCGGGCTCGGCGCAAAGGGCATCCAGCGCAGCATCGAGAGCCTCGCCTCCACCAAGACCATTGACCAGCTCAGCAAGAGCCGCGACGGCATGCGGCTTGTCCTCGAGCGGCTTCGCAACGGCGGCGTCATTGGCGTCATGGAGAAGCTCCGCCAAGAGCGCCAGAGACAGGCCGCTGCCATGTAACAACAACCAACGTGTACCAACAGAGGAAAACGAACGGGCGACACACAGCGTTGTGCCGGACTGAATGAACATCGCCCACACGCAACACCAGCCCTCATGATGACGGACTTTGTACCCCTACCTGTATATTACCACTCTTTCCCTTTCCTGTTTCTCCCTAGCAAGGCGCTGTGTTTGTATTTCTTTATTCGGCGTTTATCATTTTTTTTTTCACGGGCGTCATGAGGGCCGCGGGAATTGGCCAACGGGGAGATGCGTGCTGTTGTCGGTGTAGCGGAGGAAATCCATGCGGACAAGGACAAGGTCACGCAGTAGGGAAAACGTGTGACATCCCCTCTCTTGCATTGAGTCGAGAACTCAGAAATAGCAATACAGTATTGTTAACTTCTGTAACCGGATTGCCTACCTATGCAGCGTGATGTGTTATTGCACTGCATGTGGATGTGAGAAGTTTGAATTGCACTCGAGGAGCTGGACATTAAGTCCTTTCTCTAACAAACTTGGAATATTCATTGTGAGACACGGACTGAATTAAGCTGATACACAAGACAGACGGCCTCATGCTAGGATGGCGATCTGGGTGATCAGTCCGGCGGTAACACGGGAGATCATCTGGTAGGAGGTCGGGCGGTTGCCGAACACCTTGGTGGCGATTCACCGTTATCCAGGCCCCGGTGCGGTACCGTACCATGTTGCGGCGCGGCATCAAATTCTGAGAAGGCGGTAGTATCTCTGCAAGTGCTTTGCTTTCGAGGCCTGGCGGGCAAGGATGAAAAGCAGAGATATCGATAGCGTTGGTAGGTGTACCTATGAAGGAGTGATGACTTCTGGTATTGCTGACTTCACAAAAAGTCATTCTCTATGGCTCTTGGTTCGATGTCGATATTGATTGCCAATGAAGATTAGTATTCTGCAATTCGACGTCTTCCCATATTGAGCGGTTGGAGAATGCTAATACGCCTGGCCCCTTCTTCGTTTACATTCCACTTCTTAAAAAGAGATGTGAATGGCAAGCTTTAAAACCCCTTCGATGCCGTTGCTCTGTCAAACCATTCTATATTCCAGTTAATGCCATATGCTATCTACCCACCCCTATATTCCCGAAAAATGCTCTGTATTCCAGATCGCCATCTAGGCATATAAGTCTCCTTATATCATGCATCTCGCATCTTGCATCCCCAGAAGGAAGGGGAAGGACAAACAATGTGTGTGTGTGTGTGTGTGTGTGTGAAGTGTGTAGGGTATCAAATCCCGCCCCCCCATTTCCGCCTACTCCAGTATGTCATCATCAAAAAAGGGAAAAAAAGAAAATCGTAATCTTGGTTGCTGGCTGACCCCCCCCTTTCTTCTTTATTCCTTGTTGACAGCCGCCCCTTGCTCGTTGACCACTTCTTGCAAAAAGTTCTTGGCAAACCGAGAGCACTGCTCAAAGGCCTTGTCGAAGCCATCCTGGCCGCCGTAATAGGGGTCGGCGACCACTTCGGGCTTCTTGGTGCCGCTGTATTCGCCAAAGAGCATCACCTTGGCCTTGGAGTCCTTGTTCTCGCGCTTGAGGCGTTCCAGATCGGAGAGATTGGAGAGGTCCATGGCGAAGATGTAGTCGAACTTTTCAAAGTCGCTTCTCGTAATCTAGGCAAATCATCTGTCAGATCAGGTTCCAGTCGACAGTGCTCCTTTAATGCCATGAGAAGTAGGGAATGGCAACTTACTCGTCGCGCATCGTGGTCGTAGTCGAAAATGTCGTGCTTCTCCAGCGTCTCCATCGTTCGCGAATCTGGCGGATCGCCGGCATGGTACGCAGCTACACCACCTCGTCGTCAGCGCTCTCCGTCTCATACTCATATTCATGTCCATAGCCAGCCTTTTGCATCGACTCACCCGTTCCGCAGGAATCAATCTCGCCAATCTTGTCCTTGTACTCTGGCTGCTGCGCCAAATGCCGAAAGATGCCCTCTGCCATTGTCGACCGGCAAATGTTGCCCAGGCACACGAAGAGCACGGAGATGGGCTGGCCAGGTAGCCTCGTCATGCTGGGCATGCTGCTGTGTCGCTTGTTGGCTTGCTGTTGGGCGGCAAAGGACGCTGTCCGGTTTGGTCGTACGGGGAACATTTGCACTGATGTCGTCGCTCGTTCTGTTCGCTCGGGCCGTGGAAATCAACGGTCAAGGAGAGGGATGAGAGATTCGATTACTGAGGAGAAGAAGAGAATGAAGGGAATAAAAAGCGAAAAGGAGAGTCTTCGCGATAGAAGGGGGTTGTCAAGGAAAGGCTGGAGGTTGGGAAGTTGAGCCTCTTAATAATGCAGCATTGAGGCCAAAAGCAAGCATGGCGAGCAGCAGGAACAAGCCGAATCCATCGCCTTCTCCGTCAAGTCCGTTGCCATGAAATGACGATGCCCCCACATTAAGCTGAAAAGGCGCGGGCAGGCGCCGGGTTTAAAATTACCGAGCATTAACCCTTGTGCCTGAGATTGCCTCCTTTCCGTCCATGTACATGTCGTTCAGCACGATTTACGCTGTGTTTCTTTGTACTCACGCAGAATACAAACTGTTCCCTTCTGCCAGTCCGGCTCCCGTGTTTTGTAATGCCTAATTAGCAGAGGGCTGATGACGGCTTCGACGGGTTATTTATGGATCAGGCTGCGATTAGCCCTTGTCTGACATTGACGTGCCGGTCCGGGATGCGGGTCCGGGAATGGCTGCAGCTGTTGGGAGCCGACGACAGGCATTTCTGGGAAGAGAGTCACACAAAGAGATGAAGATGATGACAGTCAAAAGTGTTTTCAGAACTAGCTGGACTATCTGGCTGAAAAGAGTGACATATGGGAAAATGCAAGGGCGGGATCTCAGTCCTTATATAATACGTGCACGAGGCATCAGTATCAAGCAGTTTCATCAGATTCATGGGGTATCTTATATCTCTAAGTTGTCGCCCCCTTCTCTGACAACAGCAACTGAACCTCGAGATTCGACATGATAGAGAATAGACAAACTAATAGAAACGGAGACTCCAGTCGAGTATCTGCCCATGATCCTGCTTTCTAGGAGATGATGAGGGAGCACTCTTCACGAAAATTCATCCTCTTCCTCAAACTCGTCCCATTCCTCAAAATCACGCTCTCTATCAAAAGCATCCCGACCCCCTTCCGTTGGCATCGAGAATGAGTTGTCATCTTTTAGGAATCTTCTCAACTTTGCCCTCCACCCATATGAGGGCGTCTCCCAAATATCACGGCATACTTTCGACAATTCATCCAGAAGCATCCTTTGCGCCCGTTCGCAGTTGCGGCTTTCTTGCAATGCTAAAGAAATACCTTCTCCCCGCAGATACAGATCTTTCCCCCCATTCGAACACTGCGGCCTGAAATGGCTATTCCATAGGTAGGGCATGAGCTGTTCTGGAGGGCGCAGTCCAAGCAACCTTCCAAAGGCCAAGGGTATATCAGTGCAAAGGCAATCCAGACTTAACGGAGACTGGCCTGCTATTGTTCTCAATTTTACCTCAAGCCATCGAATCTCTTCAGCCTCTTTATAAAAGGCAATTTTGATTATCTTCCTCATTGCCTTCACCGATCGCTCTCCCTCACGCAGGTTCTTCAATTGCTGCAGGCCCTCATGATGTGCCCGGTGGGCTACCCCGTATCGCACCTCGGCCCATATTCGCAATACTTCGTCATATTTGGCGTTAGGTGTTAGTTCAGACTCTGGATAAACAGGATACACGATCTCGTCGCCGAATTCCAAGGTGATATTCTCAGATTGACTGCCACTGGAGCCACAAATTATCTTCCGAGGCCGTCCCAACTCTGAATCACTGACTGACACTGGCCCCATGCATCGCTTATTGAAATTTAGAGCACTGGAGAATTGTCCAATGATGATTTCAGAGCTGTTTGATAGTTTGCCGGGAGCCGTAAACAGCTTATCGGTGACGCGCCTGGGCAATATCACGGTAGCGTATTTGGATGTTCGTTGGATGGATTGCATTCTTGCTGGCCTTCCGTCCTTTGAGGTGTCGGGCCGAATGTAACTGTCAAGTCCAAGGTATTGAACATCTGGTAGACCCGTGAGAGCGAGAGGTACTTTCTCTGGGCGTCGGACCATGGGCCCGAACATGGGTGGCATCATGCTCCCGGGCATATGGCAGGGCATGATCTCGACCCGGTGAGTTGCATCCATCAGAGGGACTCGACTTCTTGCTCTGGCGATAAGTGAATAGACTCGGCCCTGATCGATACTGTCCGGATCTATTCCGATAGCCTCGTTATCCATATCCGACTTTACGGCCTGTGACATGAATCGAAACGGATGTGGAAACTCAGAGAGGCCCATCCACTCAGTCCATTTGAGCCAATGCGGGTAATATATCAGACAGACCGCGAGAGGTATATCCGGCACTTGTGGCACCGTACTCTTATCTTCGCGTTTCTCCATAAATCGTTCCATGGATAGCGTCCTGTGTCCTGTAATGTCTGCCCAAAGGTGGCAACCAAGGAGTAACGTTCGCAGAGGCAGAATGTCCTTTGGATAAAGCATGGCGAAGTCCTTCAACATACTCAGTAATTCATCTGGATACTCGAGGGATTCTATGAGTGCAACGTGATATCGATATCCAGAAAGCACATCATCTTTGCCTTGTCGAGCTAACAGCGTAGCATCACACGCAATCTGGAATAATGGTCGATTGTTGTCACTTTGGTTCCGTGATTCGTCTTCTAGCATCTCTCTGAGGTCCCATCCTGGCATCAAACGGTGACGAATATCAGGGTCCTTATAGACGAAGGGCGTCAACAGATTTCCAGTTCCAAGATTTCGAACAAGTCTCTGGACATGGCGAAAATACTCTTTGATCTCAGTGTGGGCCCGAAGAACCTTCTCCAAAGGGGTTCCGGTCAGCAGCCTCTTCAGCACGTCAATGTTGGCGGACGACATCATTGCAAAATGTGGGATAAATCCCTTTCCCACTAGATAAGACGCGGAATCACATTTGAATGCCAAATCGTTCAGGTCGAAATAGTTGTCTGGCTGCTTTGGCCCGCTTGCTTTGGTTGATGCGATCATACTGGGGGTTTCTGTAGGAACTGGATCTTTGGCTCCTCTGGCAAAAACAGGACCTCGCATGCAGGAGTCAAAACCGATGTATGCTGTAGTGACGAATGTCTCCTGTCCAATTGTCTTGCCTCTCAGCTCGGCACGTATCTTCTTGATCACGCTCCCTGACGTTCTGCCGGCAGCCATTTGAGAGTTGGCTTGTGGACTGCCATCCACTAAGTGTCTACACCGTCCCATCACCATGAACTCGGTCATTTCAACATCTTGAACGTTTTGCTGAGATGGATGATTGGCGAGCGGTCTTTCGTGAGTGGTTTCCAACTGAAGCATTGTGTCCACAAGCACCTCATTGTTAGAAAGAAGGACAGAACATCCTCCATCTGGCTTCCTTCGGAGAGTACACCCTTTCCAGGTACCGCCGTCCGGAGGGGCAATGGGCACGATCCAATGGTTGCCGCTATTCATGGTGACCTTTTGCTAGATACATTCATCTTCTTCCACCAAAGACGGTACAGAAATCTTCGAGGGAAGGTAGAAAGAATGCGTAATGGAGCTGGTCCTGGGCAAAATATATTGCGTTAGCGATAGCTGGAACTATGAGCAGAAGCAGGCAAAGTAATACTCAGTGGCTCGTGTGAATTTGGCTCGCACGATTCCTTGTACTTCGGCAGAGAGAAGTGGCAATGCTCTCGGGAGTGTACGCGACGTAGTGCGCCCAAGAGGCAATAGTTCACGCCGTCATGCAGATAGAGCTCGTCTTTAAACGCTTTTAAGTGAGTGATGAAGTGAGGGAAAATGATGAGGGAGAAGGAAAGAACACAGCAGAATGAAATGCCGAGGAGAAGGCGGTGTTGTCTCGTTTTTCAGGCAGAAAGAATGCAAGCTACATGAACTGCCTCGCACTTCGACGACCAGCATCAGCTCTAGGCACGCATGATGGGCAGTGAGGCATTCACTGAAAATGCATCGAACTTGAATCTTCCCTTGACTGATTGTATAGGAGTACATGCTTCGAGAAATAGCCTCTGAGTCTGTCGAGGTGAAGGTGAGTCGGTTGCTCCAAATCGAAGTGCACAGCTACTTGATCTGCAATGCAGTAGGAGCATCGAGATTCGCTTTTCGTCGCATGATATCTGAGCTGCTCTGCAGGGCGCATTCTGAGGTCTCCTTTTACTGTCTCCGGGATCTTTTTTTGGACACCGAGACGATATATTCAAACAGTGTTATATCGACGACTGGTAGTGTTCAATGGAAGGCATTTTGACGCTTCATTTGATCAGTTGCTTCATCAGTCGTGGCCCAGATCAGACGCCATTGACTTCGAGACTCCAATGCGGCAGAATTCGGCTCAGCTGTTCTCGTGAGTTCTTTCATGATCTGATAGCCGTTGCTGTGCGTCTCTGCCCCGCTATCCAGTGAGAACTCTTTTGGACTGCCAAAACGCCAAGTTCCGATGCAGTTCGACATCGAGAACCGCAATGAGCGCAAACGGTTCCTCGCTCTCTCTTTTCTTTGACTGTCGCATTACTTTGAACCGCGGCTTGTAATTGACCAAACGAGGTTGTAAAGAGTCAAAAATTGCCAGGGCTGCCCTTGCTACGACTCGTACCTTACTGCGTACCGAGATAACTGATCCGAAAAGCATGTGATACAGCTCCTTCATAGATGTTTCAAGTGGACTCGGTTGGCGAAGGACTTGACCACGATATAAACCCATTTAGTACTTACACATTGATAGAGGGTACCAAGAGAAGAGCATCCAGCATGGCAACAAAAGAGCCTCCATTTGCAGACGCCAAGGCCAAGGGTCTCTCCAACGGGGAAGCCGTCGCCAAATGCGCGCGGCTAGAGTGCCGGGCCTCGCTCCATCACATCTTGGGGTAAGACGCGATTGGCTGCGGCGGGAGATGCTCAGCCCAGCTGCGGAGGCCAAAGAGCGTCGCGGCGTTGGCTCTGCGGCCGTCCCCACCGTCCGCTAGCCCGTCGTTTGCGCTGGACGGCGCAGCCAACCACGTCGCTGGGATGTCGGATGAAGAAGTTGTGGTGCGCGATGGCCAGAGGTGGTGATTCCTGTGCTGTGCTGTGCTGTGGTGGCCGCGTCGCCCTTCTCCTGGACTAACTAGTTTATTACGATACTCTCCTCTTCTTCTCTTCTTCTCTTCTTCTTCTTCTTATCATAATTACTCTCTCTCCTTTTCCTTCCTTCTCTGAAACCAGAGCAGACCCAGCACAGCTCTTTGCCTGCGCCGTGCGACCCAGCCGACGCCTCAGTCTGTCGTCCATCGTTTCAGCCGTCCGGCCTCTCCCTCGTTTTTCTTTGTTGCGCCAGCTACAGTAGTATCAGCCCCTGTAGCACCAGCACGGCACTGAAGCACCCCCTACAAGCACCGAAACCCACAGCGGCTCGCCAGCTGGAGAACATAAACCCCTCTCGCCCCCCACACGAGAAACCCAGGACATCAAATCTTCACGCATCAAACCCTCAGCGCAGCAGCCATGGCGGATCTCCAGGGACGAAAAGTATTCAAGGTCTTCAACCAGGACTTTGTGGTCGACGAGCGCTACACCGTCACCAAGGAGCTGGGCCAAGGCGCCTACGGCATTGTCTGGTGAGTTCCAACCCGGGCGCTATTCGAGTCATAACTTGGATCAGATGGGAGCATTTACACACCCCGCTTGCTGCCACTTTGCGAACCCCCCGCCGCCACCATTTCGAACGAACCATCACGGCTTTGCTTGCTTTGCTTGCTAACCATCATCCGTGACAACAGCGCGGCAGTCAACAACCAGACGAACGAGGGCGTCGCCATCAAGAAGGTCACCAATGTCTTTAGCAAGAAGATCCTCGCCAAGCGCGCCCTGCGCGAGATCAAGCTGCTGCAGCACTTTCGCGGCCACCGCAACGTGGGTGACGACGATTTCTTCTCGATGATACATAGGCTGACGCTCATGGGTAACAGATCACATGTCTCTATGATATGGATATTCCGCGACCCGACAACTTCAACGAGACATATCTCTACGAAGGTCAGTACGAGCCGAGGCGTCGCGGGACGATCGATGAATAGGGGTAGCACCACAATGAACCGCAGGCTGACGATTCTTCAGAGCTGATGGAGTGCGACTTGGCGGCCATCATCCGATCCGGCCAGCCCCTGACAGACGCTCACTTCCAGTCCTTCATCTACCAGATCCTGTGCGGTCTCAAGTACATCCACTCCGCCAACGTCCTCCACCGAGACCTGAAGCCCGGCAACCTGCTCGTTAACGCCGACTGCGAGCTGAAGATTTGCGACTTTGGCCTTGCCCGCGGCTTCTCCGTCGATCCGGAGGAGAATGCCGGATACATGACGGAGTACGTCGCCACGAGATGGTACCGCGCGCCCGAGATTATGCTGAGCTTCCAGAGCTACACTAAAGCCAGTACGTTGCGCTTGTTGCACTTGACGACACTGTTTTGGGTACATGGCACTGACTTTCTTCGCAGTTGATGTGTGGTCTGTCGGCTGCATCCTGGCCGAGCTCCTGGGCGGGCGCCCCTTCTTTAAGGGCCGAGACTATGTCGACCAGCTCAACCAGATTCTGCACATTCTCGGAACCCCGAACGAAGAAACACTCCGCCGCATCGGATCCCCCCGCGCCCAGGAATACGTGCGCAACCTGCCGTTCATGCCCAAGAAGCCCTTCCCCGCCCTCTTCCCCGACGCCAACCCCGACGCCCTCGACCTCCTCGACAAGATGCTCGCCTTTGACCCCTCACAGCGCATCAGCGTCGAGCAGGCGCTCGAGCACCCGTACCTGCACATCTGGCACGATGCGTCCGACGAGCCGGACTGCCCCACGACGTTCAACTTTGACTTTGAAGTGGTCGAGGACGTTGGCGAGATGCGAAAGATGATCCTGGACGAGGTGCTGCGTTTCCGACAGCTGGTGCGCACGGCTCCTGCGTCCGGCAACCAAGGCGCACCCCAGCAGATTCCGGTCCCGATGCCGTCAGCCGGTGGCCAGTGGACGGCGGAGGACCCGCGACCCCAGGAGTACATGGGACAGCCCAACGGACTGGAGCAGGAGCTCCAAGCAGGCATGGACATTAGGAGGTAAATCCGTGTAGAGCGCGAAAAGCTGGGTTGAAGCGGTGTCTGTTTGTCTCTGGTGCATTTACACTGAATGGCGCGTTACTTTTCAACGACATGCAAGAGCACAGAAAGAGGCGGATCGATCAAGACAAATGGAGTTTCACTGTATTGGAAAGTTCCTGGCGCTGGATATAGCATGAATGAAGCGAAACGGGCACGTTTGCACGAAGCCAAGGAAAGGAAAGAAAAAGACTACAAGGGACTGATGTATACAATACTCTACAAGGCGCATGCGAGTATAATTTGCCGAATATCAAGATATGCCTTTTTTTTTTTTGCTGTTTGCTCTTGGGGAGTCTAATAGTTCTTTCGGTTCCTGTTTGTGAGATGTGACGAGGCTCACACCCACACGCCTTGCCATGTACCAGGCAGATGTCACCCTAGATTCTGGCTGGCATGATCTAACCGTAAACTGGAAAAGTGGTCAGCCATCTCATGTTGTTTGTCTGAATCTAGCGTGTCGACCTAATACTGTGGGAATGGGGAAACCCTTTCAAGATACTAAGGGGATTTCGGTGCGTAAGAGCTAAGTTGGGCCTGAGAACAATTGGCCTCACTACAAAGTAGTACGCGGGCGGGAGCAGCTGTGAGATTTTAAGGCAAAGACGAACATGGGGGTCATAAAAACAGCTTGTGTTTACGAATCGGTGGTGGTGTGGGTTGGACGTGGGTTGCCAACTCATTATGCAATGGGATGTATTTTTAGAGAGCCGTGAAAGAAGGTGTTTTCCGACAGGGGGAGCTATATTTGAGAAAAGAGAGTTGAGGATGCTTGAATAATGTTCTTCGAATTGATAGCAATGAACGCCAAAGTAAATCAATTCTATGTGCAGAGTAGAAAGATGGAAGAATCATATATACAATTGCCTTCCTGCCTGCCTTGAGTCCGTGTCCGCGCCCCTGAGAAGATGAACCAAAAACTGTATAGTGAACCGAATCCTTTATATAACCCTTCCCAATAAGCTCATCTAAGAAAACAAAGCCAAACTTGATATTAAATGTTAAAAAAGAAACCCAGACAAGAGGGATAAAGCGAGGAAAGCAAAGTTATGCCTTGGGTCCGTAGAACCAGTACTGAGCAGCATAGCTCGTGCTATCCTGCCCCGCCGCCTTTGCGCACCCGTGGGAGTTGCCCCCGGCCGTCTCGACGCGGTAGACGAGCGTCGCGCCGCGCGAGTTCTGGTTCCCGTCGAGCGCGAGCCAGGCCACGGCGCCCGTGCCCGCGGGGCCGGGATCGGCGCTGCCCGGCGCCGGCACGGAGGCCTTCTTGGCGGCCACGACGTTGAATTTGCCGCGGGCGAGGACGAAGGTCGGGCTGCCGTCCGTGTTGAAGAAGTGGTGGCCCAGAAAGGGCAGCTTGCCGCCGTTGCCGTCGCCGAGGTCGAGCGGCGCGGCGCGGGTGAAGGGCCGCGTGAGGGAGGCGCCGGGCCCGTCGGCGGTGACGCGGCCGGCGGCGGAGTCGTTGAAGTTGAGGGGCACGGCGTGGTGGTTGAGGGCGAAGGCGGGCAGCTGGTTGAACTTTTCGAGCGTGAGGGCGTTGGGCCCCGAGTCCGGGGCGAGCAGGCTGATGTCGTAGAACATGGCGAGGGCGCCGGTGGAGGCGGCGTCGGCGCCGACGGAGGGGCACGAGTAGTTTTGGATGCCGAGGCCGAGGGCGATGACTTTGAGCTCGAGGCCTTCGGGGACGGGGGGCAGTTCGGTGGCTTTTTTGGAAATTTGTTAGTTTTGTGATGTGAATCGAGTGAAATTGTTGTTGTTGTTGTTGCTGGACTTACCACCGCCGGTTGTGGGCAGGACGGGATCGGGCATGGGGGCTCGGCAGACGACGGGGGAGGCGTAGCTCAGGGCCGCCGAGGCGAGCACGAGGAGAGACTGGGCGAGCATCTTTGTGGTGATGATACTTGACGGTGAGGTAAGATTGAAGATTGGTACTCCAGCTGAAGAGGCAACAAAGGTGAGAAGGATGAGGGAAGAATTATTATATAGACAGATCCGGACAGCTGTAAAGGCGTGGGAAGCTCGCCGACAGTTATAAGCCGGGATGGGGGAAAAGGCTACAGGTAAGCTAAGCTAAGGCCCATGCACTGGCACACACGCACACACATCAAAGGGCTAAAAAAAGAGACCCCCCATGGAAATAGAAATGCGAGCTAGTCCCGAGTCCTACAAGCACAGAATGGTGAGCCTCGTGGGTAACGCATGGCCCGGGATCAGACGCTGGTGGTGGTCGAGAAAGTAGGCCGTGCCAGGGGTCTCTCCGCTTGGGCGCTTAGAGCGGCGGGATGCAGTAGTTCCGTGTACGAAAACAGTTGGCGACGGCTCTGTTTGCGAGATCCGAGAGAAAGAATGGGGATGGGTTCTGGAATCAGCTTGGGCAATGACGGAGGATGACTGTGCTGGATGACGGATGATTACAGTTTCATACCTTGTTGTTTGTTTGGTCTTTTGCGTCATATCCTCGAAGCGAGAAAAGGGAGGCGAGATCCATCTAGCTGTCGAAATGTTTAAGACACACAAGCAAGCAGCAAGCCCATCTGAGACTGCGTTGGGCTGAGATGAGATTCAGCAGGGCAAGGCCGGGAACTCGGATCCCAAGGGGGATCCAGTTGATTTCCAATGTTGCTACTACTAGTAGTAGTAGTACTGCGCGGATCCATTTGGGTACATGCAAGTAAGAGGCAGGCATCTGGAATCTGTGTGGCTGGCTGGATGGCTGGACAGGTGGGCCAATTTCTGGACTTGTCGCCTGTGTGTGTCTCTTGTTGTTGCTGGTTTTCGGCTCGTTGCATCCGGATCAGCATCCCAGCTTTTCCCCTTTACCTTTGGACTCTTTTCTTGTTTTACTGAAGATTGCGATGAGATGACACATGCGGAAACATGCAGCCAAAAGGGATTCATTCAATTCCTTCGAGCCCTTACTGCCTGCTTGATTTCTTGGTTCATGTCGTACAGCCGGTGAGTCGCAGTCGCCTTCGTCAGCCGAGAAAATCCACGGGCTTGTTTTTGGTCCTTGATTCGCCGAGTTTGACATGCGGTGGCACGCGAAGGCGTGAGATTACCGGCCCCCGGGTTATAGAGATGGGCGAGTTGTTTACAGATTCCAAGACTTCATGGCGGGCGGCAAAGTCTAGGTAGATTTGCTTCCGTTAGTACTACTGCTGCGCTCGTTCTTGGTACGACCATGTGCCTATGTAATACCATTTCCCGCTATTCTCTTTGCTGTGTTGTTATGAGAATCACCTGATTCTGCAATCGAGGCGGTGGATGAATGAGCCTGGGGCGTTTGGTCCGAGTTGGTTGATGAGAAATAACAACATCGTGGCTTCAGATGTCATGAGTGGCGGTCATCCGGATCCCGGACCAGCCTTCCCCGACGGGACGATGAAGAGGTTGTTTCGGAAATAGACTGCTGAGTGGCTTCAGCCTCGTCGATTATTTCCCAGTTTTCATAGATTGAAGTCGTAGTCATCATTTTCAGCTCAGCAATCTTCTTTTTCTTCTTTCTTCTTCTTCTTCTTTTTTTTTTTTTTTTTTCACACCACAACCAAATTCGTAATTTCTACAAGTTGTGAGCCAAGTCCAGCCGCGGCATCACCCCACGTCGCGGCTACCAAGAAACAAAAAGGCCTCGATGGTAATACATACTACTACAACTGATAAAAGCCGGGAAAGCCCTGGGATGGAATGGAACAAAACACAAAAACGCACGGATTCCTCCGCCAAAAAGTTCGCGCCTAGCAGCTGGGCAGCAGCTCGCAGGGCTTAGCAGGGGAGCGGATCCCTCGCGACAGGGGACTGCTTGCTGCCTCTCTTCTTCATGGCTAGGCTGAAAGGGAGCAAAGGTCGTGATTCCAAAAAACGCCGTGGCGCGGGTGAGCATGGGGGAGCGGAAGGACTGATTCCCGCAACACCGCCACATGGTTTGCGGGCTGGATTTGGGGGAGTTCTTTTGACTTGGTGATTCTTATGTCATGGAAGATGGAGAAGGAAAGGAGAAGCCTGTAGTTTTGGGATCAACGTGAAATATTTGTAAGTGTTACTGTAGGACTGTAATTATACTGATGTGAGAACATGGTTGCACTGAACCTCTTTGTGCTCGGTATAATCTCTTTTCCCTCGCTCTTCCGTGTCTGGGTAACAGCAACACGGGTATGGAATCCATCCAATCCCTCTCCAACTTTACATCCTCGTCTACAGATACCCATTCCAACTTGCAGTCGCATTCCCTCCGTTCTTCAATAAAGTCACTCAGACCCAATGCCGCGCTACTCAATAAAAGACCCCGTCAACCATCATTGCGCACGCATCTATTTATAGATACCCCATTCAATTTGGGGTTTCGGCGGCTTATAGAAGCGCCTCTAGGCTGGAAGCGGACGGCCGGTCTCTTGAGCCGTCAGATGAACGAAAGACGCCGGCTGTACCAAGTAAAGAAAAAAAAAAAAAGGAAATTGCGCTGTTACCCCGGCCGGAGTCTAGATTGATTCCTGGCTGCTTTGCGGCTTGTGTTGTATTGCGTGCGTGTAATACTTGGTGATAGATTCAGTGTCCCCTCTGTTTTGAGCTGCCTGAAGGATGAATGATTGAATGAGTCGACGTTACTGTATGGGTTGAGGCTAGTGTGAATAGTTCATTCTTGTCATCCTTCCAACTAAACAAATTCAGTTGATGCAATTCCATTGTCTTGGCAATTCCCGACCTAGGTCCTGCGTCTGAATCCTCTACTCATTGTACTAATCGATCAACTAGCCGGCACGATTAAACGAGCCGGCTCCTATATGTTGCTTCATAGATCAACAAGGCTTTGCGGCTCTGAGTCTGCCTTGAACAAGCGCGGCCACCTACTCTAGACCGCCGGCGGCTGTTGAGTCCTCATCGTCGTAGCCGCTCTTTGGGCTGAACCAAGTTCACTTTAGCCACGGCTTCGCCTCGAAAACACTCACTTGGATCGCAAAGACGTTGTTGGTTGATATTGTTGGTCAGCCATGAATGTCAGTGCTGTAATACCTAGATGGGTCATAGTGGGCAATATGTATGCCATTGACGGAGCATCCAACACGGGCACTCTAGCTGCTATCCGAGCCAGGAACAGTGCTCTACGACTCCTTTGAAGGATTCATGGATGATCAGCACTGCCATCATGTAACAATAATCCGCCGGCGTATGTAGGATCGATGGCTCACGTGGGGAGCAGTTATTGACATAGAAACAGAACTCGCTTAATCTCGTGAGCATTCAATGTATTTGTCGTCTTTCTGAAAAGAGGGCAACAGGCCCGTATATATAGGCATCATTATTTGCTGCAAAAACGCTTCCGCTGCCTTTGTGTGTTCTCCTGGGGTATTCCTTTCCTTCTCTTCCCGACTGTACACATGCTGCCCTGGTGAAGCCATTAAAAAGGCCAATAGTCGGCTGATACCATCTCAATGTCAACAAGCTGTAGTTGTCGCTGAGTCTGATGTCCCATCTGTGCTTCAATAAATTGGTGGTATAGATGTTGAGACATTAATCCCACACCGTCATGTCGGCCACATGGGCACTTCTGACCGTGTCAAAGGCTCCCTGTACGCCTGACTTGGAACTTGTTTGCGAGGAATCTTAAACATGGCCGCTGGATTCCTCGTGTTATTGCTCTCCAACTCGGCCCGCCTTGCATTTGCCGGCAATTTCGTGTAAGGCTCCGATTGCAGTTCTGGCACTCCAGTGTATCTATCCCAAGCATTGCCCTCGTCCAGCTCGGGGATGCTCATCAGCGGATGTGAGCTTTGATCTGTGTTTCCCCATCGTCCAAGTGCAACTGGGGCCTTTTGGGAAACCTTTGGAAGTGTCTGGATATCCGCGTCTGAATGGGTGATTGTTATGGCCTCGTATCCCAGTCCGCTGTACTGTTGAGAGGGCAGTTCCAGCATGGAAGCATGCGGTGTCCCCGGCTCCGGCACATAGCTCGGGAATGTATCGGAATCCTTGTCTGATTTCCGGCAACTGAAGCCATATACGCAGAGTGCTATCGCAACTACCAGAACCAGCACCCCCAGGGCGATGCCGACCTCCAGAGCAATCTTGGCTTGGGGGTCGAGGCCGCCGCTGTCGGTTTGGCTCTGTGGCTCATCTGTCTGTGTGGCAAGCGGCGTGGATGTAGTGTCTGTGGGAACTAGCGTATGAGTTGCGAACGTTGTCTGTTGCGCTGTTGTTTCGACCAGAGTTGTGCATAGTTGCGGTGGACTGGTTGTGGAATCTAGGACAGATGGCATCGCTGCGACGAGAGTCGGCTAGTGCCATGGAGTCTGTCTCAGACGAGAAAACACACAACTAACATTGTCGAGAGAAGAGTCCCGTAAGAAACTAGTTGACAACATTGCGAGATTCACAAGAGACTATAAAGCGACCAACTCGGCAACTGCGCAAATCCATCCCACTCAACCACCGAGAGGCTTCGTCAACTCTGCCCCTGCGGCTCTGCTCTGAAATAGAGCAGATGGTCCACAGCAGGACATTTTCGAAACAAGGAAAGTCAGTCTATATGTCAGACTATCCATGGACGCGGCCCTGGGATGACTCTGGATTGGGTGCTGGAGACCTAAAAATATGCTGGATAGCGGGGATGCTTGAAGGATGCGATTGAATTGGGCTTGGGGCGTCATGTAGCGTGGCAGCTGATGGCTTTTCCGTGCCGATTTGGCGTGGGATGGACTATATTCTGAGGGTTCATCAACTACTGAAAACAGCTTACTCTATTCATAGAACCGAGATGCGGTGAACTGTACCTTTAATCAAGAGGTTTGTCTGAGTTGTTGAGTTTACAACTGGGTGGAGATGGTCCAAGCTCAAGCTCAACCGCCCCCACCCAAACTTCCTCAGATCGCCATTGTCAGTTGGAGCTTCAACCGTCATCAACTCGCAACAAACAAACATCCTCCCACAACGCCAAAATGTCGCGCCGTCCAGCAAAAGGAGACTACATTGAAACGGTAACAACTCTCTCCCCTCCTCAACTCGACCGTCACCTTTCGTCTTCATCATCACGCTGGCAAGCATCAAACTAAACGCGTCTCCAGGACACCGGCAACAAGGTCGCCCGCAAGGCCGTCCTCGTCGGCACCCAAAACATCATGCTCGGCGGCAAAACCGTCATCCAGCCCGAAGTCATGATCCGAGGCGACCTCGTCCGCACCGCCGCGCCCCCTCCCTCATCATCATCGTCATCCGGCGCCGCCCCGCCAAACACCACCGCCGTGGCCATCGGCCGGTACTGCTTCCTCTCGCGCGCGGTGCTGCTGCGCCCGCCCGGCCGCATCTACAAGGGCGTCTTCACGTACATGCCGCTGCGGATCGGGGACCACGTCTTCATCGGGCAGGGGACCGTGGTGCAGGCGGCGAGCATCGGGAACCATGTGTATATCGGGAGTGGGTGCGTCATCAACGAGTTTGCCATTATCAAGGACTATGTCAAGGTTCTGGATGGGACGATTGTTCCGGCGAACATGGTCATTCCGAGCTTCTCGATTGTGGCGGGCCAGCCGGGGCGTGTTGTGGGCGAGCTGCCGGACGGTGCGCACGAGGAGTTTGAGCTGCGAGACTTGTACAAGACGGTGGGCAACAATCCGCAGCCGGCGGCGGCTTGAGCGACGTTCGGCATTCTGAAGATACCGTCTCTTCAAGGGAGCTGTCGAAATGCCGAGAGGACGTACCGAGACCGAGGTGCGATGGTCAGCAGATGGACCGGGGCAGGCCCTCGACGTTATCGCCCAACCAGTGGCCCAAATCGACAACCGCCTGCTTGGAAGGACATTGCTTGCAACCGAGCCAAACCCATTCAGACGACACAGCACCTCGATATGCCATTCGCACGCACTCGGAGATTACGCGGGGACATCGCACGCTCTTACCGATGCATGTGTTTATGCGAGGGAACTCGGCAATATCTCAGCCATGACCCCGAGAATCACTATTCACGTCGGCATGATCTTCGGCCCTTCGGCTTTCGCACGGCAAGCTTTTGGGGGTCGAAGCTCGGTCAGAAGGCTCAGAGCCGGTTATGCCTCGATTGTGGAATACCAGGAGGGCCTTTTCGAAGCCGTCCACTCTGCCACACCTCATCTTTTGCAGAGGAACTCGCCGTCGCCAGCTCACAATGCCGAGCAGGCGAAGCTCGGGACTCGGACTATGAACAGGTTGCCAGTTTTATTATACGCCCATAATAAGGTCAATAGAAGGAATCTAGGGCACCGAGCGCCATTCTTAGGGCTTCCCAGGCATCTCACGGTTGGACAGGGGAAGAGCTCTAGCCTCGTCGGAAACAGAATGGGCTGACGTGACGAAGAGAGACAGCGGGAAGCTGATGCGGCCAGGGATATTCCACAGCTATCAGAGCAGCATCATCACAGAACTTCTGGTCTCACGTCTCGTCCTTATATGCAATCAACTCAGTTTACGTCCAACAAATCACAGCCCTCTATGGGCCGCCTGCTGCTTCGCACACTTTGGCCAACTAGGTTCAAGGTCACTGGAAGTCGTCTGTGTCTTGTCCTTATCCAAAGAGAAATATGTTTACAAAGGACGTATATATGAAATACAACAAGGGTATAACTCAATGATAGGTATCCTATCTTCTAGACTTTCACCTCCCCTTTCATTCCTAAAACTCTCGCGGACACTTGCCCGTCTTCCTCGCATTCTGCTCCAGCTCCTGCACCTCCGCCTCGTCGAGGCTCCTCTCGCTCGCGGGCTCAAGCCAGCCAAGCGCCTCGACGCCCCCAAAGTTGTGGTGCCACCGCTGCTGCGCGTGACACCGCGCCGCGAGGATCTGCATGAAGTCGTGGAGCTTCCGCGCGGAGGGCTTCTGGACTAAGTCGTCGGGGCGGAGGGTGCCGAGGGCGGAACGGCCTGAGCTGAGCCAGTAGAGCTGGCGGGCGCCGTCAAACTCTGGGGTGGGCCTGTGGATGATGCTCTGGCTGCCGTGGTTGAAGGATATGTCCTCGCTTTGCATGATGTTGAGAATGGTGCCGGGGGATGGTTGGCTTATGCACTTCCATGGCAGCATCCTTTCGCCCTTTTTGGCTGCTGGGCAGCTCCAGTGGATGAGGCCATCTGCCCAGTTGCTCACTGGCTTCTTGATGTCGATGTTGGCCGTCAGCTGCATGGTTATGTGATTCGTGGACCAGCCCTCGACGATGAGATAGAGCTTCCAGATGCCGCGCGGAATGGCCTTTGCCTGATGGACCGGCCCGTGCAGCCTATTGATAAACTCTGGAATCATGACGATCTGCGCGGCGTCGTCATCGGCCTCGCCATCGTCCATGGGCTCGAAATGCGTCATGGACATGAGCTCCTTGGGGACCATGACGCCAATGCGCCTCGCCGCTTGATTCGGACCAGGAGCCAGCGAAAAGGCATTCCCGGGCGGAAGCTGGGCGACCTGCACCGGCGGGAAGCACAAGACGACCAGGTCATCAGAGGGGATCCAGTCAAAGGTTCGAAAGTCGGGCGGCCTGCCGGAGAAGTTGATGGCGCCCCCGGACAGCGGACAGCGCACGCCACGCCCCCGACAGACGTAGTACATTTCGACGACGCCGCGCGACTCTCGACAGGTGGAGAGGAGCGCGTACACGGCCAAATAGCCCGAGTCGCGCTTCCTGGTGGCGCGCACGCGGAACTCCTCGCTGGACCAGGACGGGGCGAGATGGCGCTTGCGCTCGCGGTTCAGCACCTCGAAGAAATGCACGCTTGGGCTCCTTGGCAGCGTCTCGCCCCAGACGCGCTGTCGAATCTCGGGCGGAAGCCGTTGGAACTGCGGAAAGGCTGTTTCGGCTTGCTGCTTGAGACGGCAGAATCGGCTTCGCTCCTGAAGACATGCGTCTCGTCGTTCTCCTTGTCGGAGTTCTTCCTCGATGAGGGGCACCTGGTCGATTGCCCATCGAAGGAGCAGCTCATGGCGCTCTGACCTGTCCATGGCAAACCGGTAGGCATGCGTCTTTCTTCCAAACTCGGAGATGGCGTTTACCCGGTTGTTGATGGCTTTGGACCTCAGCAGTGCCTCTTCATACTCGCACTCGGATTTTTCCCTTTGCTGCCTCTGACCAAGGGAATCAATGTTTGCCATCCGTTTCTTAGCAGCCTCACATTCCTCTTCGGCCTTGCGACGCTCTTCCCTTTGCCTGGTGACTTCCAGGCTGGAGGGGCGGCAGATGTCGCTCGTGGGCGTCCGGACTTGTTCGAATGGCTTCAGGACCCCTGCGTCTGTGAGTCGGGCCAGAGCAGCGTCGTAGCCGGGCCGACAAGCTTCGAGCCACTTTTCGTACTCGTCACGCCTGCTGAATTCGTAGTTGACGTATTCGATCCAGGTGGTTAGCTTGTTCTGCGTCTCGACATTGAGGCTGAGCCCATTTGGCGGATTGCGAAAGCCGAGTGGAAGCGCAAAGCGGTGGCGTTGAAGTCGTTCCAGGAGGTCCTCGACGTACTCCTCGTATCGATCAGGACTCCGAGACGCTCTCTGGTGGGTGCGGAACGCCTGCCACCTGGACAGCTGCTTGTGGAAGACCTGCCACTCGTCTGACCGGTCCTGCCAAAAGGCGAGGATGTCGCGGTACTTGCCTGGTGAGGAGGTGATTTTCTCGAGGAGGGCTAACGGATGAGACGGCCGCCCTCCGTCTTCGACGAGGGTTTTGTAGGCGGCGGTTTGGAACTGGCGCGTTTGAGGCGTGGGCTCATTGTTGAGGAGGAATTGCATAAACGCTGCGGAAGCCGTGGCCGTTGGCTCTTCGGTAGCAATGGGGTCCATTTCGTCTGTCTCCCAGAAAGGCTCAGGGTTGTAGGGGGGTGTTGAGGGGACGGAAGCCATCGTTACATGGGCATCAGGAAGCCGCCGAGAGTGTAAGCCAGCATCGATCGATAGGCCATCTGAAGCAAAGAACAATCGAGAACAGTTAGCTGGACAAAAGTGATGTCGGGATCGTGCTCAGATAGAGGGACACGAAGATGGATTGGTATTTTCTTTTCCTCTCCTGCTCTGCAAAAAAATGGGAATTGGAGAGTAGAAGGCGGTTTGAACTGATTCCAAGTCGCTGTGAGGCAGGCTTACTCAGTTGATGCTGATGTCGTCTTTAATCCGGGTGTCGCGGGCCTTGTGGATATGAAATATGAGTGAATCTGAGTCAGGCTGAAGAGAGGGAGAGAGAGAGAGAGAAGCAGAAAATGTGAGAAATCTGGGTCTGACGGTTCATTAATATGTATGGACTCGCATGAATAGAAGAGAAGAGGTGGACCTTTCCCCCCCCTTTCGGGAGGCCTTGATGTAACTTGTGCTGAGAAACGAGGAGACAGAACTCGCCGTTCCTAGTGTCGACAGAATAACTTGATTTAGACTTGTGTCACGGTGGCCTTGATTGGATGCTATAAGAGAAGCTGCAGATCGTGTGTCGTTCCTTTGTGCGGAGTCGGCAGACGGGCCCTCTCTTCACGCTTTCACTTTCTCCTCATACTAATCAAACAAACGACATCTGCTTCTTGATTGAGACACAGTGGGCATTGATCGAAAAAGCCTCATGGCTGTTGGTGGAATAATGTCCCTCCCCCAAGGAATAAATCAGCTGCTGCTCCAACATCATCATCAGCATCATCGGAAACGATACCGCCCAAGGTCAGAACCCCCCCCTGCATGTCATCTCGCTGACAGATCTTCCATCACAAAAAATGGCAAATTTTGGGCAACTTTGAATTCTAGCTGTAGAGCCCGGTTAAAAAATTTGCAGTTCGACACGACTCTATCCGGATTACTCAACGTTTGCCCCATGCCTCCAGACCAGCCCAACCCCTGATTACTATTCACGTCAAATCTCAAAAATCCTCTACCGGGGCATCACTCCAACCCGCTGATGAAGAAATCCACCACCTTGGGCCCGGACTCTCTCAAGCAGTCGTACAGATCAAAGTGGTTCCTGCCCGGCACCACAAACAGCTCCTTGGGCCCCCTGGCGATGCCCACGGCCGTCCTGCTGTAATGCAGCGTCTGCGCCTCCGATCCCGCAATCATCAAAAGCGGCCGCGGGGCAATCAGATGCTGCAGGTTGAACGAGTCGTAGCTGACCATCAAATCGTAGGTCTGCGGCGGCACCCGCTGCGTGCTCCGCTCGTGCCGCCCCCGTCGTGAGCCGTAGTAAGCGGCCGCGTCCCGGAAGAAGGGGTCCGGGTTGGCAGCCGCCTTGGCCGGGTCCGTCTCGAACATGACGGGCGCCTCGGGCCTGGCCGTCGGGTTCTTGGCCGCGCTGAACCGCGCCCGGGCGGCTGCCTCGAGGGCCGTGGCGATGGCCGTCGGGTTCTCCCTCTTGTCCTCGTGGACGCTGCCGTGGCGCGTCATGCGGCCGACGCACGCCGCGCTGACCGTGGCCAGACACTTGATGCGACCGTCCGACTGCGTCGCATACGAGGCGTACCCCCCTGAGGCGCAGATGCCCAGCAACCCGATCCTGTCGGGGTCGATCCGTCCGCCGAATGCTGTGAGGTAGCTGACCGCCGCCTTGATGTCCTCGACGCGCTGGTGGGGGTCTTCCAGGCCGCGCGGCTCGCCGCTGCTCTCGCCTTGGTACCCGGCGTCGAAGATGAGCACAAAGAAGCCCGCGTTGGAGAGCGTCTTGGCGTAGTTTGTCGACGTCTGCTCCTTGACGCCTGTCATGGGGTGGCTGATGACAACGGCTGCGCCTTTGCGGTTGGGCGAGCCTGGTTCCGGGACAAACAGCTCGCCGCAGATTTGCAGCTGGAAGGATGGGAAGAAGACTTTGGTAGGGGGAGTCGATGTCTCGATGTAGGACAGCATCTTGGGCAGTGTAGGTTGACCAGGGATCCAATTGCGTCGGCAAGATTGAAGAATTCCTTCAAGTGCTTCTTTTCAAGGTGAGCCTTCTCAGGCAGTCCTCTAATCCTGGAATCCAACCCCAGGGTCGAGAGTTGGATCTCTTTTCTCCATATCCAATTGTACGTTGAGGTGACGTCGGTGGTGCTCGCGTCAAGATCAGGAGATTTCGGGGTATCACACGGAGCTATGATTAAGGTTTGCGCCACTGCGAAGAAAAACTTGAAAGCCAACAGGAAATAGAACACCGGATATAAAATCCCTGATGCAAGACCTCGCCGAGAAAAGGTTCCTCTGATTAGTGCTCTTTGGGTTAACGGGTATTTTGATTTTCGTATATGCTTCGAGACAAGGTAAGAAGACGGACCCTCCCGATGGAACGGCTCCGTGTCACTGTTCCCGAGACTCCACTCATGCCGATGCGCTTCCCCACGAGATCGGGACGGGGTTCCTTTAGAAGAGATTAGCGCTGGTGAGAATAGCCGATTACGACTGGTGAAGATGAGAAGCGCCGCATGGACCACTCTTTATCGCATGGCCCGGTTGGGTAGCTCTCCCACGATCCAGTCTGAAGGTACCCGAGATGGGCGGACTTCTCTGTCGGGTTGGACGGAAGTGACATCAACAGTGGTGTTGGCATGGTCTTCATCATGCAACTGAGACGTTTGATGAGCGGCAGAATTTCGGCGAGCCTGCAATCAAGGGTTAGCATGTATTCGACATGTGTATTTTGGAGTGGTGGTATGTTTGTACTCACAGAATCAACCATAGGGATGTCTTCAATTGTCTCGGCGCTAGAAGCGGGAGCCGACCCATCGTAATAGGAAAAGGCAGTGTCCCGTTCAACAGCGACGTGCTGCTGTTGAAGGACGGCAGAATCTCCAGGAGAGTGCAGTACCCATGCTCGCAGGGGACGATACTGCTGAAGCTGCCGACGAGCGACAGGATTTCCAGAAGCCTGCAATAAAACCTTAGCATGAAATCGGCACTTGCAGGCTAGAGCGGTATAGATACTCACATAATTAACCACGGGGACTCTAGAAGCGGAAATTGGGCCAAGAGGAGCAGTGCCCTGTTCAACAGCGGCACGCTGCTGCTCAAGAAGGTCAGAATTTCCAGAAGCCTGCAAGAATAGGATGGTTAAAGTGCTAAAACACAGCAAAAAAATGATAGAAAAAATATGAAGAATAAAAAAAAGGTTGTGGTATGTAGCTGCTAAACGGCTGCCAAGTCCCCAAGCCTTCGAAAAGGCGAGCCGGACAGAGAGAACCTAGAATTGTCACGTCGTTAGATGCGGAGGGCGGATGATGGGCGTGCAGTAAGCGTCGCGCGCTTCCACTAAGCCTACCTACTTGTTGAATTGGCGTGTCAGCGCAGCAAAGAGCAAGAGGCTGGGGAGTGAAAGTAAGAAACAGCCTGCCAGAGCCTTGATCATGCAAGCTGGTGTAGCCGCCAAGGGGCTACTCAAGTAAGTGGTGACCAGAAGAACGCGGATTTCAACAAAATTGAGCACACAAGGCGGCAAGTATAGATAGACAAGATCTGCAAACGCATCTCTCAAAGAGTGCTGTGGTCGCTGATTGTGCTGTGAATATTCATTTTGCGGTCCGCATTTGGTCTTGGTCTCTGATTGCCAAGTCCCCAAGCCAGCGAAAATAGGCCGACCTCGAGCGCCTTGTCGTAATATGTAGTGGCCTTCGATGAGCAGCGTGCTGCACGAGCGTGACGGGGAAGGGGTGAACGTAGACGCTGGAAACTTTGCCTTCACCTCGTCCTTTGCTGTGGCCGGCGCCATACATCAACCATTGGACATCCTTATATAGAAAATAGCGTGGGGGCAGCGATCACGGCAGCCTGCCAAGCCAAAATCGAGGCCTGCTCAACCCCTGCTCACTCTTCAAGCACATCCGTTCAGGATCACTGCAATGCTCGCAGAACTCTCCGCATATATCGAGGAGTAGCTCATCAGGCAAAGTCAGGAGCCCCGTCGATGCCGTGGGTGTGAGATGGCTACCAGCAGAGCACTGCCCTAGTAAAACAATGTCAGAGCTGCTGGTGAACCTAGAAGCCTAGGTCTCTGCGTACCTTTTAGATTTTGCCTCTGATCTTAGACATGGCATGGTGGTTGCAGGCGTCTGAAACTGCAAATCCGTTGGCCTGCGGATCGATCCATTTAAGCTAAGGCGTCTGAGGAGGCTGTGTTGGCGAACTCGAGTAACAATTCTGCTTCAAATGGCAATGCCAGCGCGCAGGAACTGCCTAACGTTCTGCACATCTGCTAGAAGCTTCCTATTAGCAACTTAAATCAGAGCATCTTAAAAAGAGTCGTTGCACAAACCCGTTCCTTAAACCTGGCCCTTAAGCACTCGCAATACCAGCGTTGAAAGAAGAGCCTGCAAAGTCTGAGGTCCCGCAGCTTTGCTTGATCTCAGGATGAAGTGGATGAGGTTGCGAGGAGAGAGCCTGGACTACAACAAGCTCCTTCTCGTTTTATCAGTGGCCTTTCTTGTCTTGCAGATTGTCTTCTTCGAATCTGGCACGTTGAGGATGATGTCGTCGGCATCGGTCACGGCGATGACTTCTGATCCTGGGCGTTCTGGTTGGCGTTTGAGGCCTCTGCCTCTGCCTCTGCGGGCGCACTCAAGCATGCTTTCGAGAGGAGAGGACGACAGTTTTATATAACTGCCTGCGCAGGTAGGTGAAGGCATCATCTGGCTTCTCATCTGCGAGCCACTGCTGTCCGGATAATCTGTAAGAGAGCGTGTGTTCGTGACTGGTCAGAGTGAAGCCTTGTGATCCTGACGGATAGCGGGTGGAATCATGCCGGAATCGTAAAAGGTGCGTAGTACTTGGGTGCCCAAGTCTGTTTCTGTCAGTCTGTAGCGGGTGAGGCCATGCTGGAATCGTAGAAGGCGGTTGGTCTATTTCCCTGCAGGATCAATGCAATGTCCACTTGTGATGAGGAGTAGCCCGTTGGGCAAAATCGGGAACGTTGTCGACGCCGTGGATGAGAGAAGGCTACCACGAAAGCACCGCCCTACTGGAATAAAGTTAGAGATGCCAGTAAGCTCTAGAAGCCTGAGATTCTGCATACATGCCGATTTTGTCTCTCGTCTCAGTCGCGTCTGTGGAGATCCTCAGGGCAGTGTTTGATTTATGCCTGTCTTCGTCTTGCTCATTATCGGTAGTCGATCGCGTCAAAGTCTGAAAGAGCCGGAGGACCGAGCTGCCTGATACTTGAGGTTGGCGAGCCAAAGGCAAAACGAGATAATCGAGAGTGGTTATCCAGTTGGCCAAAGTTCTGTCTGTAAGGCAAAGTGAACAGGCCGCACCAGATAATGGGAATTCGTCAGTCCTTTTAAAAGCAAAGCTAAAGTAAAACTTTTGATGAGGGAGTTCACTGGGCGAGTCCGTTAAGGTGAGTCAGTTGACGTCTGTGATGTGAGAACAAAGTGAGGAGCGAAAAGCGCCAAAAGTAAGTGAAGGTTTGTATGTAGCTGCCCAAAGGCTGCCAAGTCTCCAAGTCTTGGGAAAGACAAGCCAGACTATTGAGATGTACCTAGAAAGATGAATTAGAATTTCTGGCCTTGTGGATAAGGAAGGTTGATGAGTATGCTGAGTAGGTAGGGAAGTGTTCTCCTTGATCTGAATGGTACGTGTGAAAATGGTTTGAGCTGCCACAGAGTGGATTTCCAACCCTGCACGACTGAAAAGAGAAGCCAGACTATTGAGGGGCTAGAAAGGTGATTCGGATATCTTGGGTTGTAGTTGAGGGGGTTGATGGGTGTGAAGACTATTGTAAGTAGCTTCCAAAGGCCGCCAAGACTCCAAAAGACAAACTAGATTGTCGAGAGGTACCCAGAAAGTTGACTTGAGTATCTTGCATTGTAGATGAAAAACTTGATGAGTAGCCTGAACAGCAGGTAGAGTAGTTTTCTTCATGACCTGAAAAGTAAGTGTGCAAATAGTTGTCACAGAGGGGGTCTGTTATGAGGTTGGTTGATCGATGCATTAGGGCTGATGTAGCGCGACTGCGGAACAGGTCTCGAGAGAGTGGATGTGGGATATGTGGTATGTAGCAGCTAAACGCTGCCAAGTCTCCAAGTCTTCGAAAAGACAAGCCAGACTGCTGAGAAATTGTCAGCATGCAGAAGAACCGGATGTGGCATAAGACCTACCTAAATATCGCATCCAGGAGTCGATATTTGACTTGCGGACGTCACAGGTAACCTGGTAGTAAGGACCGTCACGTAAACTCCCGAGGAGAGGACCCCAGTGCGCAAGCCAGCCATGCTTCCAATTCTCAGGAAACACAGCCCACCAGAAAGAATAGTCGCCGCGCTTGATGTTGGAGAGGACACAGCAGGGCTCACACGTTCAAACATATCATTATATTTTCCCCTGTCCTGCCGAAGCCCAAACGAGGCCAGGTGGTCTGGAAGGTTCCTGCAGTGGGAGTTAGCGAGAGTATCGCGGAAGCCAGGTTTGGGGGAGACGGGCATGACTATCAGGCAGGCTGCGAATGTGCGCAAGTGTCATTGTACTGAGTTCAAAAGTGCATGGTAAGTGAAGGCTCTGTGTTGGGCTTCCCGCGTCGACCAGCATGTTCAATGCGGTAGCCAGGAAGAAGCGTTTCTGTTCAATCGAGGCGAAAGTACTGGCTTCGCCAGGGATTTGGTGGCTTGACGCGGCGTGCGGGAGGCTCCAAACTGAGACTAGATGGGCACAGCGTGCTCCAACTCACGACAGGGGTGAAAGACGAATGAGAGGGGCGAAGGCAAGGATGATGCGGACGGGAAGAGGAAGAGTGGAAGCTCGGAGAGGCTGACGGGCGGGGGAGTTTTAGGTACCTACAGAAATTTGCACAGGGTGTGGCCCACTAGGGCTGTTCGGCTAGGTGCGCTAGGGCCGAGATAGCGCGATCGTGGAGAGGCGAGAGGGTGAACTTGGGCTTGGGTGAATGCAAAAGCACGGGAGTGTCTCTGCAGCTCTTGTCCATCCTGGCAGCTTCAACTCTTTTTACGTATAATCGTTGCCCAGGAAGGCTTGGACGCCCGGGTACACGCCCCTTACGAGTTCAGCATGATCCCACCCGCCACAGACTGACAGAAACAGATAAGGCAGAAAATCCACAGATACAAATTGCATGCAGATGCTCCTAGTAGTACTAATGTTAACGCAGCTCCCAAACGTACAGGATATACAGCTCCTAACATACAGAATCTAGCTATTAGTGTAGCTTTAAACGTGAGTACACATACCTAGGAAGCCTTGGCCAAGCTCAAATCCGTCAAGCGTCTCATTCTATATCCTTATGATTGCCCCCTTGGATTTGATCGTCTGGAAAGCTGGAGAGATGACAGAGAGCATGTCTTTAATGCCTTGGCTCGCTCTCCCCAGCTACCCACACTGTTCATTATCGATACTCAATGTTCTAGTCCCCAGGCCGTTGCAAAAGGGAGAGGGACTACCGGGCTCTCTTTACTTACCTAAGGAAGAGAGCTCAGTCGCCTGCAAAGCGTCGTGGCAGCAGGACAGCCGGATTTTATTGTTGCCGGCAAGACTGCAACACAAACGAAGGACTAGATGTAAGTGTGGAATAGTGAGACTGTTTCCAAGTGCGACATAAAAGGAGAATTGGGCCTTGACATGTTGCATTCTCAAACCGTACCCTAAGTTGAGCTCGTCATCGAGACCTACATATCGCAATCTACAGAATGTACTGGGGAAGCCTTCCCGAGATGTCCGAGAAGGGAAGCTCAAGCAATATATAGGATGATAAAACTGTTCCTAAGTGCAATACAGAAGGAGGATTAGATATCATCATGTTGCAGTTCTCAAGCCGCACCCCAAGGCAAGCTCGTCTCGTTATTTAAAGCCTGGAAAGCGTCCAGCCAAATACAACACGGTATGCTCACACAGGCCTCCTCTACCGATTACGCAGCATTGGTTAACCTTTCTCTAGCAGTCAAATCGCCGAACCCAAAGTGTCAATGCACCCATTTGACCGTCCTGGGTATTCTGATGCCAGCTACTGTCCTGATTTTGGCCATGATGAGGATATCAGCGACGCTCTTGAATTGGAAGATGACCCTGAGTTGCCGCTCGAGCTTGTGCTGAAGAACCTTGACGATACTCCCGCGCCGTCAAAGCTCAGCAATCTCGAGCCCACTTTGAAAGCCTTCGATTGGAGTCGCGAATCTCACCAACAATCTGGATTGGTCAGAAGTTTTATACTCTGCAAATGATGGGAACTTGGGACTCCAACAAGGTCCCCGGCACTTCATCAAGCGGTATGTTATCCATATACTTACGGCGTGAAGCATATGCTGACCTTGCAAAGGATCAAATAGATCTCTCATCCGAAGTCAATCATGGAGACATTTGCCTTAGTGGACTATATCAACAGGTCGAATTGGCAGGCGAATTATACTTCAATGAATGCACTTTGGGAGAAGTTTTTCCAGGGGATCAAACCCCTTGATGGGAGTCAATGCGATGTCACACCCCTCGCAAATCCCTCTGGCCCATACGTCTTGTTTATAAGACTCGAGCAGCTCAAGCCTATTATAGCAGATGAAGAGAGATTGGCTGCCACAGCAATGTATTAGCTTCATACAAGATTCACTTTCCCAAAGTCCACCCTACATTTCCTGACTAGAAGCCAGCCAAAGCACAGAAGAGCCATAGGCTTTATATGTAGTTAGTAGGCGGTTAGAGCAGTTATATCAGCTGTAGCTGGAGTTATAGATCACTGTTCCTCTGAACCTGGCTTCCCTTATTAGCCCTCCAGAAGTGGACGCCGGGGGCGGCTGTAATCCAGCGATTATCGTGCCTTTGCCATTGTCGCTGGAGGAGCTCCGATTAATGGCCTCCTTTCTCTTTCTTTTGCAATTTTGTTATGTGGTTATACCATCATTGGTAGGGTCGTATCATATTCATGGTAACTCAGTATATACGACAGATGAAGCATGCCGAGAACGACCACGTCCATCTCTGGCACATCGCGCCTGCAAAGAGTTGACTACTGCCAGTATCACGCAAGGGGCAAAGTAACGCAGTCTTGAAGAAAGCAAGACAAGTCTATGTCACACCCTGGGTAGGTAGGTAAAGGTATCCTTGTTGATTGGGTCAGCTCTGTTACACTTCACCTATTCTATGGTAATGCCCCCCTAGGGCTTGAAGTGAGCCACCAGTTGCTTAGAAAGGGCGTCAAACAGTTTGGCCCTCTTCGCCAAAAAGTCGTTGGTATCCTCCAAGGAAGCGCCGTTCACGTGTCCGACGAGAATCTCCTCCTTGCCTTCGACAAGCCCGGCGTACGCTTTTTCGGTAAACTCTGCAAGGGGCATGCCCAGGGCTCGGCCGCGCTCAAGACCCATGTAATCATGGAGCTCAGCTGATTGAGAGTAACCGTCAGTTCTGCCTATTGCCACGGACAAACAGAGATTGTAGATTAGGAAGCCATGGATTACTTACTTTGAACAGCGGGAGGCAGAATCTCAATAAACTTGATCTTTGAGACACCCTGGTATTGTCGCCGAACAGATTCGAAAAAGGCCTTGAGCGCCGCTTTGGACGCGCTGTATGATGGCAGAACAAACGCGGGGATGACAGCGAGAGTAGATCCTGTGACAATCAGGGCGGTCGGGTAATCCTTCTTCTGGAGGTGAGGCAGAAACCTGAGGATGAGGTTCACGATGGACGTATAGTTCACCTGGAAGTCGTAGTGGAAAGCTTCGAGGTCGATTTCTTCAGACTCAGTGAGATTCGGCCGGCTTTGGGTGCCCGAGTTGAGGAAGACGCAGTCCAGGTCAGGGTATGTCTGGACGACACTGTAACGATAATTCAGCGTTTGTCCCGTGGTACGGAGGAGCTCTTCCTGCTCACTTGTTGACAAAGGCATCGAGGCCAGCCCTGTCGGTGACATCGAACCGGATGGCGCTGGCTCGCTCCGGGCCGTGCTTGGCGACAAAGGCATCGAGACGCTCCTGACGACGGCCGACGGCGATGACATGTACATTCGGTCCTCCCTCGGTGATGAGCTTGTCCGCCAAGGCTGCACCAATTCCAGAGGTGGCACCGACGAGGAGGATTCGCTTGTACTGGAAAGCCATTGTGGATAGGCCTATGCTGATGGTTTGAGAAACTAAGTCTGTATGGTGAGTGGCTCCGCGCTGTTGCTGCTCATCGTCGCGACAGATTCCGTCTCTGAGGCCTCTTTATATAATGGGCGATGCCCGGACTTAGGAATTGCGTCAATGGCCCAAGGCCGAGTTTTTCCCTCTCCGCGTGCAATCCACCCCATCCTGTCACTTGGTGAAGTCATCGTGGATCGCCTCCATCGCCTCTTTGGGGACCCTGCAAGGGCCAAACGGACCACATGTTTTGTCTGGCGCGGTCGCGGTGGAGAGCCTGAGGTTGCTTATGAATGCTCGGAGTGAATTGCCACTGGATGCCATTGATTTCAAACCAGTCTTTGGTACCTGGTCAACAAAAAGAAGAACAAAAGAAGCAAAGGTCAGAAGCCAAAGTGTGTTTGCTGCGTAAACTCGCATCTGTCCGTGCCCGTGGATCTTGAGTTCTGACAAGGTACAAAGGTAATAGTAGTAGTACAGACTCGCGCTGCTCCCTCTGGGGATGGTACGGGACCCACCGATCTAATGCTCCGGAACGCTAGCCCTTACTGGACTAGTTCAGACAGATGCGCGGGTACGTACTCGTAGGCTATCTGGGCCCATCTCTCCGGCACGCGAGCTTAACCCCGTGGCCCCGAAATGCCACCAAACATCTGCAGGTCTCGAGGCGGCAGATTCGATCATGAAGCTTCTCTCTTCGACAAGGTTCACAACTAATGGAGTGCCTCTCACTACCATTCAGAGCGTTGGCCAGTCTACTTGGCATCTACCCAGTTCACTCTGTGTTCCATCATCCAAGGCCGTATCTGGGATAGCCGAGACTTTCCCCCTGAGTGACCTCGCAAATGGTTTACAAAGGGCCATCGCGAGACTGCTTGCCATGCCGGAGAAGAAAATTAAAGGTGAGATGACGACATCAGGAGGATAACGATTACAGGCTAACGTGGACTCGCTCATAGTGCGATCTCCGCAAAGATGGATGCGGCCAGTGTCTTCGGGCCGGCATCTCCTGCTTCGGCTACCGGGACTCAAACGACCTCGTCTTCCGGGACCAGACGCGAAGCGTTGAGCGCAAGATGCTGGCCGCCAAGGCAACGACGGTGTCTCTGCAGCTCGGCACCCTGGATCATGTCATCATGCGCAACGCCGCCGGTCTTCCGCCCCGGGTCTATCAGCCGTGGAATGTCCGTGCTCGCCATGACTTCTTTGCTCACTATGTGTTTGGCCTGTCAAGCAGCTACAACATTCTGCCATTATTATACGACAAGGCGAAACCGGATGATTGTCTAGTCGCTTGCGTGGATGCTGCCAGCCTCGCCTATGTGGCAAATAGGGAGCACGCGGCTTCCAAGGAGCTTTTTCGCCTGGCGGCTCAGCACTACACCGTGGCCCTACGGCGCATCAACGCCGCTCTTTCCAATCCTGAACTCGCCCTCGCCGATTCCACGCTCCAGTCAGTTCTTCTTCTCGATCTTTATGAGAAGATCATGGGCCGTGACCTCGAGGCGGCGGCGCCTTGGCTGGCGCATCTCAATGGCGCCCTGGCACTCATCAAGGCTCGTGGATATAACAATCTGGTGGAAAGTGACGTGAGTAGAACACTCGCGAATAAACTCTTCACCACTCTACTCATCAGCTGTTATATTGCTTCTTGCCGTATACCAGATGGCGTCGTTGAACTAGGTCGCAAACTCGACATGTTTCATGACAAGGACGATTTCAAGTGGCGCATCTCAAAGATGAACCAGAAAATGATCAACTTCCGGATCGACATTGCTGAAGGAAAGCTGTCCAGCAGTCAGATTGTTGAAGAGGCCAAACGCCTGCATGATGCCTATCGCGAGATTGAGGAGACATCGTCCCAAAGATGGCAGCCAAGGCAGGTCATGGCTTCGGAAGAGGACCCAGCAAACAGGCCGCTCATCTTTGGAGATCATTACCATGTTTACAAAGGTCATTTTGAAACTCAGGTGCGTAACACCACTCGAATAATGCACCTCCAGCTCCAGGCCTACATCCAGAAACACTTGGAAGACGACGGGTCCGAGGAATATACCCGGGCTCTCGAAGAATCACTGAGACGCACGGAGAATTTCGCAGAGAAAGTCATGGCCTCGGTGCCTCAGTTTATCATACCCGGCGTTCACCCCAACAACAGCATCCCATTCTCCAGTGTCCAGACACTGAGATGCGGCATCGTTCTCCCGGCTGTGTTCATAGCGGCCGGTGCGTCGAAAAATCCAGACCTTCGCCCCTGGGCGATTCGCACATTGAGATTCATGGCGGCGTCGGGGAATATAAGGTCGGCGTCGATGACGGCCGACATGTTGGAAAACCACCCGGGGCTGGACTTTCGATTTATGTACGCCAAACTGGGCGGTTATGCATTCACGTCTTGAGGCGATTCCTCTGACTTTATCTTTTGTTGAGCAATGATAGTTGGCGAGTTGAATATACCGCACTTGTTTCCAAGAGCCCTCCGACCCTGCAAACACTTATCGCGATAATTCGGCGATGACCATGAGAAGTCATGCTATCAGTTGTTATAAAGACCGTTGCTAAAGTCCGAAAATGAGGGTCTTGATTGGGCGTTCCGACCTTCACGGATTCGGTTACAAGGGACTCGGTTGATGTATAACAGCGAATTCCGTAGCTAAATCTCACGCTGATAACAAATTGATCTCAGAACAGCATCAATTCTCTCATCGCATTGAAGCTCAACAGTGGCGAGAGCTTCTATGAAGACGACCGGGCGTTAAATGGCTGACAAGATGGCCTCGGGATTCGATTGGCGGCAAATTGCTGCAGCGAAGCAGCAGCAGAGGCAGGCGGACATTGATGCTTTTGTCGCCGATCAGGACCCAGCGTTGACGGATAGGATCACGGCCATTGACGATACTGTTGTTTTGGCGAGAATGTTGGCTGGGGGAGAGTTGACTAGTGAAGATGTGACGAGAGCCTACATCACAAGGTAGTATTTGCTTGATCATGTACCCTGTGAATGTGGTCTTGACGGCTGAGTACTGATGCGGAAGATATTGAGAGCTATCGAAGCTCATAGAAAGGTGAGATTTTCCATCTCTATCTGAGCGTTATGAAAGACACAGCTGACCAGAGCTTCAACAAACAGACAAACTGGCAAGCCCTCACTCACCAATCGTACTCCTTCAACGAGAAACCAGCAACTAACGCACTCGCACCGAACAGCCTCACAGATGTGCTCTTCTCCGAAGCCATTCAACACGCTCGACGTCTAGATGAGCACCTCCGAACCAGGGGCAAACCCTTGGGTCCCTTCCACGGAATCCCAGTGACGCTCAAAGACCAATTCGACGTCAAAGGCTATGATTCCACCCTCGGCTATACCTCACGGGCATCCAAACCTGCTTCGCAAGACGGCGTCCTTGTCGCAATGCTTCGCGCCATGGGGGGCTATCGTGATAGCCAAGACGAATGTCCCTCAGAGCATCATGGTAGGGGGGGGCTGGGTTTACTTCTGCTATGACAGCGGATCACAGCTGACGAGAAAACAAGTGGGGGGAGATGGACAATCCTCTCTGGGGACGGACTACGAATGCCCTCAACGCAGAGTATACTCCGGGAGGTTCGACGGGAGGTGAAGCTGCGGCGTTATACATGAAAGGCAGCATCCTGGGATGGGGAACGGATATCGGCGGAAGCATTCGCATCCCAAGCCACATGATGGGACTCTATGGCCTCAGATGCAGCGTCCGTCCTTGAAGCGACCACGCTATATAACATACAGACAGCTAACATCTCACCGCATCACAGGCGTCTCGATTACCCCACTGGGGATGCGCCGTCTCAACAGACGGCCAAGAACACTCGCCCTCATCCGTCGGTCCTCTCGCTCGCTCTCTTCCCACCCTCCACCACGCCCTGAAGGAAACCATCAACCACGAGCCTTGGCAACACGACCACTTCGTCTCACCGATCCCCTGGCGAGAAGACATTTACAATGAATTCTCGATCAAGAAGTTGACCATCGGGCTGTTCCTCGACGACGGCATCGTAAGGCCCCATCCACCCGTCACGCGAGTCCTCCAGAAAGCAGCCGCCGCTCTGCGCGCCGCAGGCCACGAAGTCATCGACTGGCCGCCCGACCTGCACGCCGAAGCCATCGAGCTCATAGACGAGCTATTCGCCGTCGACGGCGGCCAAGTGATCCGTCGTGACATTGAAACCGGCGGCGAGCCCGTGTTACCCGCCCTCAAAGGCCTCGTCTACGGCAACGAGCCCATCTCCCTGGACGCCTACTGGGAGCTCAACAGGCGCAAGGCCGCCCTGCGACAAGCGCACCTCGAGAAATGGAAGTCTGTCACGTCACCCGCCACGGGACGGACTGTAGACGCTCTGCTGATGCCCGTTATGCCTCACGCTGCGGTTCCGCATGGGGCAACGCGGTGGACGGGGTATACCAAGGTGTGGAACTTGCTGGACTATGTCGCGCTGGCGATGCCGGCGGGCAAGGTCGAGGCTGAGGATTGCGAGGCGGAGTGGGATTTCGAGCCCCGGAATGAGACGGATGAGTGGCTGGGCGGGATCTGGAGGGATCGCGGGGAGGAGATGGCGGAGTTGGGCTTGCCTGTGGGAGTGCAGATTGTTGGAGGGAGGTTGGAGGAGGAAAAGGTGTTGGCGGTAGGGAAAGTGTTGGATGACTTGTTGAGGGCGTAGATGCGTTAGGAGGGGCTTGGATCTCGAGAGGTACGCCGTCACGGCCTGGTGGCAATGCAGGCAATGTTCTTCAGCTTTCTGCTATCCATTACTGTCCTGCATTCTTGATTCTAGAATCTCGAGCAACTTGCTGCTGATAAGAGAGGCCGTCTAAAGGCCAGGGCATACATCTGTACAGCAAACCTGCATATACTTCACGCGCCAACCCACCAGAGGCCACATCTCTGCTCAAAACGACACTCGCCCAATACATAAGCCCCAAGGAATAGGCCACAAGGGACCCTATCTTCTGTGCCACCATGATAAATTACATATCGTTGAGGTGGCCGCTATACACAGCATCCAAGCAGCTGATCCCGAGCAAATATAAACACATTTACCTCCGAGACATAGCCTATGTGCTACGTTACCAAATATAGTTCCCCGAGGCCCAGCCTGGTCCATGGGCTGAAGCCAGGGAGGCAAGCAGCCGCATTGTCCTCGTACGGCTTGCATCGGCCCCTCGGGATCTGCTCTGCAGAGCCTGCGGGCGAAGGATTCAGAAGCGAGTCGTGTCCAGTGGAGCGATGTTCCGTTCTCGACGCTTCTGGGGGTCTGGTTTAGACCCAACACAGGCGATGCAGCGTGGTATCTGATGGCTCTCCCCGCGATTGACTCTGCTTGTAAACGCACGAGAGCAGCTTAAAAGCGGGCTGTCTCGTCTATGCAAAACACATTATGAGTGATCGGCCGGGCTAGGGCTAACAATGCTAAGAATACAACCTCTACTGATGCTAGCAGTACTACTCCGTATCGTTGATATGCTCATGCGAGGCGGACTGTGGCAGATGCTGTGTAGCATCCGAGATGTCTTCGCGGAGTCGCATGGGCCTCTCTCGAAGCCTGCACGCACAAAGGAACCTCAGGCTGACCACGCACATGTATGGAGTGCATGACACTAAAGTTCTGGAAGCCTGGAAGCTTACACAGTACCGTTTGCCAAGAAGCGAGTGAGGAGGAGAAGGGCTGCTAATCTCTGCTTCTGGCTGGACCAGGTACTCGTACACAAGGTGTCACTTGGATTGCCTCGGCGTATGGAGTAGTAAATGATAAGAGCCTTGGCAGTATCTCCACTCGCGAAGAATTCTCCAGAAAGAAAAGACGGTGTGGTTCAGAAACGGCGAAATAGATAGAGGAAGAGATAGTAAGAGAAAAGACTCATCAATCTGATTCGTTCTGTTTCCATGACCGTGCTCGAAAGCCGTCAATGGCCAAGAGGTGAATGGCCTAGCAACACACAACAGTCGGAGAGACGCTCGGAGAATATGGATGGGGTCGACGCTCCAGCGGCCCAAAGAGGAGATATAGTATCTATTGGGCAGACGACAGGGAAAAGACACGAGTTGCATCGTGCGAGCATGATACAGCGGTAGCAGCAGTGCCAGTACCTGGACCTGCAGCTGCCGAGAAATAGACTCTCTCACGGATTCCGGCACGGATATATGTCATCTGCAAAGGACTAGTAGATGGCGAGCTTTGTCGATGGAAAGGCGTAAGATCCCGTCTGTGGCTGCGGGAGCCAAGAAACTGGGGCCTAGGCGACGATGAGGCTCACGAGGGCGAGCATCTCGTTGATACTCGGTAATCTCTGTGTTGTTTCTGACGGTTTCCTTTTGCCGTCCGTGATACTGTCTTGCTGAAGGAGAAGAGCACCGGCAACCAAAGCAACCCAGATCAGTAGCACCGCCCAGGCCTTCCCCTCACTCAGCTGCGCAGCGTTGGTCCTTTCCAACCGCTTCCTTGGCTGTTTTATGCATATGGACGAGCCACCCGGCGGCCCTTGACCTAACGACCGGGGTAAATCACGTCAAGGCCCGAATCAGGCAGGTCGAAATGCTTATCCTGGATGCCGACGAATGGGAAGATCGGAGAGTCGCGTAGTGTGGCGGGTCCAACAACCTTAAGATAACCTAGAACCAGGGCCTGGTTAGTGCGGGCATTCGGAGAGGGGGATTTGGTCCTGTTCGTGTTCAAAGAGCGAGTCGTGATGAGAATGCGTCGAGAGGAGAGGAGTTGATGAGGGACTTGTTGTGTTGTTTGTAGTTGGATGGGGAGCATGCTAGTAAAGAGAGAGGATTTGAGCAGACGACGTGAGTGATAAGGGAGATAAAGACAGATAAGGTAAGGATAACGATGACAAACGGCAAGAGCAGACGCCAACTCGAGGACATCTGCGCCTACCTAAATCGAATCAGGTTGAGTGCCGGACTCGCTACGAGTTCGCGCTGCTTTAGCGCCCAAGCCCGCTGGAGTTGGAGGCCCTAAATGCCCCAAGTGCAGCCCGGGCACCTTATTCCTGCCAGCCCGCTCTTCTAGAAATCTTCTGCGCCACTACAACTACGTTCGGTCAACGGTGTTGGCTGCATTCTGTCCCGGCCGCTTATCTTCCATTTTGGCTTCAGCCCAACAATCCTCCGGCCAGGCACCAGCGTCCTTTTAATTCTCGCAGAAAGTCTTGGCTCGCTGGGTGAATGGGCTCGGCCGTCTATTCATGAAGCCCGTCGATGCTTGCGATGGCGGGTTCGTTCGTGTCTTCCCCTCAGGATTCTCCCAGTTGCCACCCCGGGTTTTCTCCACGTAACAGAATGACAGACTTGTGAGCTGAGACCTTGGCTGATAGTGTTTCGGGAACAAGGCAGACGAGGCCAGTTACCTGCTCAGACATCAATGTATTGTCGACTCACCTGGTCGGTGTCAGCCGAGGCGCCGTTTGCGGACCAGGGCACAGTAAAACGATATCTCACCCTTGGACGCACCAACCCCAGCCCCGTGGCAAACTCTAGGCCGTCTCTGAAATGTTATCGGCTCACGGTCCCCTTTGCGCCCACGGCCAGACTCCCCCGACTTTCGTCTAATCTGTGGGACGAGGTTTGATGGGGCTTGGGCCCCGAGAGTGCGCGTGTACGAAGGCTTCGTACAAGGGCAAACCGTTCGATGAGCGAGGCATTACGATCCGCCCTACGAGCACGAGGCTTGTACTTGTTCGAGGGCTTTCGGTGTCTGCCGTAGGTATCTGGTCAGCGCCTAGCAGGAGCGCGGGTGTCACACAAATGCTCCCCACAGCCTCCATCTACTCATGTGGTGAGTGACAAGGCAGCATTAAATCCAGGCGACAATATTTCGGTGCTTCTTCAATGTATACAGGATGGAATAGAACATATTGGACTCCGATTATTGATGTTGAAGGCTTACACCGAGGCGAGGAAACCAGACTCGAGAATGAGAGACGAGCAGCTTGAGGTTAGTACATGTTGATGATGACAACCCCAGACGAGGTGTGATCGTGGGTCTCCAGTTTTCTCTAGCGGACCACCGCATCCGCACGAAGAATGCAAACACCTGCCCATCAATTCACACTCTCAAGCGGGTATTGATGACCCTTCGCTGACCTCAATGGAAGACCTGGCTCCAGCAACGGAAAAATGCGGCCACACCATGCGCCTCTCTCCCACAGTCTCAATCGGCTAGCCTAGCCTCAGAGACCTGGTCCCGGTCCGTGCAGACCATGAGCAGCCATGAGGCCATGTCCCTTGCCTCTCTCAGCTTGCTTCTCCACCGTCAAATCCCCAGGTTGGGGCGTTTCGCTGGTCCTCGCCGTTGCCCAGTGCGGTGATAGGCTTATACTATCAGGAGGAGTCGAGATATGGACTGCAGACGCAAGCAGGCCAAGGGCTCGGAGAGACCCATTCTCCATGCCTTGGCGCATGGCTAGCCTCGGGGATCCCCTGCTCACGGAGCCTGGTACTCGTACAAGCGCAGACACATTGGGGCTCGCCGGCAGCACCAGGCACAAGGTATCGATGACAAGATAGCCTTACCTGGGATGGATGCCGATCGCAGGGTGGTACGAAGCACCAATAGGGAATATATATCACCCACAGAGGTCCCTTCCCCGAAGCGATCTTTCCTTCAGCTCACCACCACTCTTCCGCTCCACGCTTACCATCCACCGTCGTCTTTCTTCGCCAATTCACGACCTTGGTGGTCTGGCGCGTCTGTTTCGTTTGAGGCATTGTCGCGCTGAGTGGTGCCATTCCGCCTCTCTTTTCCTTCTCCCCTCGATTATTTCCTGCTCACTTCGCCAGCATGAGCGATCGCGACGATGGGCTTTACGCCGACCAAGCGTCCCCCGTCTACGGCCAAGACCCAGAGAAGAACAGCACCAGAGCCGGCAACTACGAACATGTTCATATCCACGGACTCGAGACTTCACCTGACACGTCATTACACCGCGGTCTCAAAGCACGCCAAATTTCCATGATCGCCATCGGAGGTGCTTTGGGCACCGGTTTGATTATCGGAACAGGGAAATCCTTGGCCCAGGCTGGACCTGGTAAGTGCCAAACAAGTTATAACATGAAGACTCCAAACTCGAGGCTAATGGATATGGAAATAGGAAGTCTCCTCATCTCATATTTAGCCATGGGATTCCTGGTTTCCATGGTGATGGGATCTCTTGGCGAAATGGCGGCTTTCCTTCCCCTTGCGGGCTTCTCGAGTTATGCCTCGCGGTACTGTTCGAGCTCACTTGGATTTGCGACCGGCTATACGTACGTATTCGTTGAATCTCATTCCATCACAGAGCAGTGCATATGTACATTGGTACCTCGGTACCTACCCAAGCACACCTGGCATCCGCACATCCATATAACCTCAACACCAAGAGCATTGATGTTATCACAAACAAGATTGCTAATGAAATAATGAAAACGAAACAGATATTGGTTCAAATACATTATTACGACCCCCAATCAGCTGACTTCTTTGGCCATATGTTTTCAATTCTGGGTCCCACGAGAGACCGTCAATCCAGGTGTTTTCATTGCCATATTCCTGGTTCTTATCGTTGTCATCGTATGTTTCTCTTATAGTGACCCTTTAACTAACAGGGAATCACTTCTCATCTTCTACAATGCTCTAACATTGCCCAGAACTACCTCGGAATCGAGCTCTTCGGCGAGTTGGAATTTTGGCTCTCCTCTTTCAAGGTCAGTACCTTGATCATAGATCCGAATATCTCAACCTTTTTTACTTACATGGCAAAATACAGATTATCATTCTCCTGGGAATTATTCTTTTCTCCCTGGTTATTGCGTGCGGGGGAGGTCCAAATGGGGACGCCCCGGGCTTCCGATACTGGCATAATCCGGGTGCCTTTGCAGAGCTTTATGACACGGGTGCCTTGGGCAAGTTCCTTGGCTTCTGGTCCGTCATGGTCAATGCCACCTTTGCTTACCTTGGAACGGAACTCGTCGGTGTCACTGCTGCTGAAGCTCAGAACCCTCGCCGAAACATCCCCAGAGGTATGTGTGATATGCCCTCTCCCCCCTTTACCCCTTTACCCCTTGTCCTTGAAAACAGAAACTGAACTAAGCAGCAATCAAACTCACCTTTATACGAATCTGCGTATTCTATATCCTCAGTGTTTTCCTCCTTGGCATGATTGTGCCCTACAACAGCCCCGAACTTTCATTTGCCAACAAAGCATCGGTTGGAGCGAGTGCATCACCATTTGTTGTTGCGGCGTCCGTCGCGGGAGTAAAGTTCCTGCCGCATTTGATAAATGCCTGCATAATAATTTTCGTATTGTCCGCCAGCAATAGTGATCTTTACATTGCCAGCCGGACGCTCTACAGCATTGCGTCTGACGGGAATGCTCCCGCTATCTTCAAGCGTACGAACAAGCGTGGGGTGCCGTACCCAGCGCTTTTCCTCTGCTCAGCCGTTGCGTGCTTGGCGTTTCTCAACGTTTCCACGAGCTCAACAGTGGTATGTCTTCATGTTCGAACGGCTCAAAGAAGAGGGTTAACACGGTTATTACCAGGTCTTTGGGTACTTCGTTAACCTTGTCACCATCTTTGGTATTCTAACTTGGATCTCCATCCTCATCACCCATCTCTTCTTCCTCCGCGCCCGTCGCGCCCAAAACATTCCCGACAGCAGCATGCCATATGTCGCTCCCCAGGGCTACTGGGGTACCGCCATAGCCCTCTTCTTTACCATCCTCGTCAGCTTGACCAAGAACTTCGACGTCTTCATCCACACTCCTGCGCGCCAATTCGACTACAAGAACTTCATCACCGGCTACTTGGGGATTCCCCTTTACATCCTCCTCTTCTTCGGCCACAAGCTCCTTACCGGGAGCAGGATCCTGAAGCCTCACGAGGTTGACTTCTTGACTGGAAAGGATATCATTGACCAACAAGAGAAGGAGTACTTGGAGGAGCAGGAAGCCAAGCGCGCCAATGCCGAGGGTGCACACAAATTTTACGACCGCTATGTGTCATGGCTGTTTTAAACTGAGGTGGCTGCAAGAGATGCCATGTTTTATGCATAGATGTATATATTTATTTCCCGTAACATCCTTGGCCTTCCACGTCGTCATGCTTCCTGCGGTCCGCGAACATATATAAAGCCTCCACTGACTGATTCCTAAGTTTTTGCGAATTTGCGGTTTCTGTAAGACTTGAATAGTACTCTCACTCTCTTTGTCTCTCTAAGCTTTCCAACCTTGTAAATAAAGCTTCTAGACCTGCTGTAAGTTCTATCACTTGGAGAAAGAAACAACAGCCTGATAGCCGGCATCCCCGATTGTCGTTGCAGATGAAACGAGAGGGGGGCCCTGCAACGAGGGACCAGGAAGCTTGCTCTCATCAACCCCAACTGGCGCGATAGGGGTGGTAGCTGGAAGAGACACCCGAGCCGGAGGAAGGTAGACCGGGGAGCTCGCTGTCAAGTCCCCAACTGGACGTGAAGTTGAGTCTGGAGGCCGCTGAGCGCTTTGCGGAGGACTCGCCATTGCTGCAAAATGGGGCCGCTGCCAAAGGCATTCAAAGAGTGTCGTGTGTTGCACAAATTGACTTTGGCTTAATTTCAGGGCGGTAAAGATGTTTTGTTTCCTATTTCTCGTTTATGCTTGAAGGGGAAGCGCAACATGAAGCGAGTCTGAAGGTCCTTCTACATGAAACGGGCTGCACATGCCACGACGTGATTTCGGCATGGGATGGATCGCCAAGCCGTTAACGCTAATTCAGTATAGGTACCTGTGAGGAATGCTAAGGGGAAAAACTGATTATAAGCTGATGCGCGAAGGACATGAAGACGGGTTGCGAAGAGGTAATGAATGAAAGCTAGTAGCTTACATAGATCAGGTAAAGTAAAACACCTAAAGTAAAATAAAGTACCTACTACTTGGGCTATATAATAACTGCCAGCAGCGCTTTATTCTTCTACTCTTATAGATAATTATAAGCTTTTATATAAAGTTAATAAAGTAGATATATATATATATATATATATATAACCTCTACTACTATTTCTATTCTCTTCTAGTCTTAAGATTTAGAAGTATATCTAGGAATGGCCACGTTCCTCCGTCAATTCATATACATGTTTCAAAGGGATACAATCTCGCCGTGGGGTGGTCTGCCTTATATTTTCTCACACGGACATGAATTTAGGATCCCTGTCACTGATCAAGACGCTGGGTATTTCCCAGTCGCAGAGCAACAATCCTCGAAGGAACACCAACGCCCATTGCGCAGCTGTGTACTGTGTTGATCCTGGAATCAGCAAGGTTTGACGCGACCACTTGCAAGTTGCAGTCATCAATGCGTTTAATGGGTAGTTGCAGTCCGGCAGCCTCCAGAACGACCGCCCTTCCACCGGAGGCATGGCAACGGTGAAATCAATGGCTACCGTGTGGAATGGCTGTGCTGGGCCTTCGATGGGTTGCTCCCAACGGCTTTTGCGTGTCCGTCTTATTCGTCATACATATCGGGCAGTGCATTATGTACTGACGGAGCTGCTTGGCAACCCGCGGTATGCTGAAACCGTCCAGCATGACCAGCGCCCTTTTCAAGCCTGCGTGCGCTTGGTTGTCATGTACCTTAACCTTATTCTTACTTATTAAGGCAGATACCTATCTGGGAATTATAGGGGCTCTGCAAGCCTAGCAGCCTTGCGCAACTGGTGGTAGGCTTGCAAAAAAAGCTATGCCTTGAACCTCGTGCAAGCTTGCAAATTGCACTAGGCTTGCAGACTGGACTAGGCTTGCAGGAATAGAAATACAGCTTCTGATTGGCTTGTCTAGAAAGAGAAGAGGTACCTGGAAATACTAGGGAAAAGCTGTCTGCATTACTTGTATTTATTCTATCTGCCTACTGCCTTGCCTATCTGCCTATTTACACACGCTGCCTTTGCAAATTTCACCCCAGCCATAGCCAATCCAACCCAGCAGCCAATCTGACCAACGGCGGTGGCGCTAATAGCGTGCGTGCGGCGCGGTTGTATAAAGCAAGATCTAGAGGCATACTAATGTGTTAGCATTGTAATACTGCTGGATGTGAGGCATTGACTGACCTTGTGATGCATGCAGGCTTGCAGCTTGGATGAAGAGGAAGAGGAAGAGGAAGAGGAAGAGGGAATAGAGAGAAAATTCGTGAAGAAAAGGCCTGCTGGTGCCTGAGGCTCTGAGAAAAAGAGAGACAGAAGCAAGAGCGATACGACTACAGAGGCAAGGGCATAACTTCTGCAAGCCTAGAGGTGTTTTGCAAGCCTAGCGATCATTCTGCAAGTCTAGCCAAATCCTGCAAGTCTAGTATGCACAGAGGTTTTCCCAGTAAGGTAGATTTAGATAGATACATAGCTTGTAATATCAATCTCGAATTATCTACTGCCTCTTAGACAGCCATGTATATTTAATCATCGTCAGGAACTCCTTAGCTTTAGTTCTGTAATAATCTACGTCCAGTCTATCTAATGTACCATCAATCCGCAGGTAGTTTTTGATAAGAACGGTAGAGCAATATGCAGCGAGTGAATGGGGATGTGATTGTGTAGAAGCTAAGTTGCTGTAGCTCAGGTAGTTTGCCGCAGAATAGAAAAACGGTTCGCCTGGGCCACGTTTTGCATCTTTTTCCCGGCACCGGTGATAAATGCCTGCCACAAGGCACTGACTGAACCACTTCGTCTGGCAGTGTGAGCAAAACTCCATCTGATGAGTCCATCTGCGCCTGTTACGTGCAGATGAGCTGCTGGTCAGAGGGTTAAGAGCAATTGCGCCGAGATCGTCTTGAAAAGGAATGTTTGGCTGGGCGGGCTCCAGGATAGTGTGCATGGGGGTCAATCGCACAAGCCTGGGAGTGCAGTGATGAGAGTGTTTGCTAGGAGAACGACATGTTAAGGTCGTAAGCGGCGCCCTCAGATGCAGAGGCTTCATAAAACTGGATTGCTTGGCTGGGCTGGGCTGCTTGACTGGCTTCGTTGCAATCTTGGCAGTACGGTTGTTCATCACCAAAGGGCCGTAAGGAAGTGGGAACGTGGATATTTCTGGCCACAGCGAAGACAGACCTGATACTTCTGCGGATCGATATCGACCAGTTGGTCTTGCAGTACGCAATCGTCTCTTGGGTGGTCAGGTTAGGCTGGAGTTTGTCGTTTCCCCTGTCTCCTTTCTGGGAACGGCGGTACCTGTTCTTCGACCAAGCTGCTGTTGTATTCAAGTTCCAGCGATAAACTCGTCGGCAGCAGGCTGAGCTTCATCTGCGGCGGCAATATCGGGCAAAGGCGTTGCTTCGGTGTTTGAGGTTCCAACGATAGACTCGTCCACAGTGTCGTCGTCCATTTGATGGATCTGTTTGAGACTCCGCTGGGCCTCTTTGAGTGATCGCTTATAATATAGCTTTGCTACTTTTCTGAATAGCCGTCTCTATCCTGACTTTGTTCTTCTGCCTCCGGGTATTGTTCACTCTCCTGGTTCGGTACCCTTTGGCTGCTTTTTCTGTAGGAAATGCAGGGCGAAAGATATTGTCGAGTGGGCATGAGTGAAGCAAGTCATGCGAGTAATTCAGCGGGCATGGTCGCCTTGGCAGAAGCTGTAGACAAGGGATATTTGGCTCCAATAGTCTATGGCTGAAGAAGACGGTGCGTGCAAAACTCAGTCCAGCCAGTTGTCGTAAGCACGCAATCACGAGTCTTGAGGTAGTGGTGCAGGTCTGATAAAGCTGATGAGCCAGGCGGGAAAAACCTCTCTTGTCCAACCATTATAGTTAGGACCTGGGCGCGCGTAGTCGTGACCGCAAGTCGTTTTTCGTCGGCAATAAATCTGATCGCACAACGTTGCAGGTGACGACGAGTCCGGTTTGATGGCCGGGAGTCGACCGTCCCGATGTCATCAGATAGTCTGTCAGTAAGTGACTCTGTATGCGGAGCTGTCTTTCTATAAAAAGTCCCAGGCTTCTACCATATCTTGGTGTTGATCTGGCTTGCTCAAGCACTGAGCTCGCAGCTGGGATGAGAGGGAGTCGGGATCGCAGGGCGGGCTGCTCTCCTCGTAAAGCAATCTTCTGTGGGCCAAGGGTTGCACTGTTCTCCAGTGACTTGCGGGCCAAAGTCGGTGCCGGTCGCTTCCTTCTTGTGTAGTTGACGCAATAAGTATCAATCTCGTCGTCTTCAGCGGCAGCAGCAGAGCCCGAAGGGATAACCGCCGTCCGATCAGCGTCGCCCTCATCGGCGACATCAGTTGTGGCTGCCTTGAGCTTTCGAGGATCGTAGACAGCGAGCAAACCGTTCGCGGTTGCAAAGTTGTGTAGCAGAGCGTCATAATCATTCAGGCTCCGGACGTGACCGCAACCCGGTCTCCGTCAAGCATGCTGATGATCGCTGTCGCCGCGAAACGTGTAGTGTTTCCTCCAGATCGATCGTGCTGCCGCCAGCGGTTGCAAAGCAGCTTATCCAAGCGTCTGTGGCGATATCTGAGGGTGGTGCTTGACAGGGTCCGTCTATTCTATGTCTGTCTTTCATCTTGCGTCGTTGTCAGTGGTCGAATCGAGAAGGCTTTGCTGCAGTCATGACTTACTCAGATCACTCATGGACGCTGTCCGCTATAAGCCCTCCTGTCTGTAACTGCACGTCGCCATAGGCACGGTGAGTTTCCCTTCCACGGGGATTCTCACGCTCAGGTGGCGGATTGAATGCGCTTGCAAACGGGCCCCGATAGTCGGCAAGGGCTTGGCAGTCGGCTGTCAAAGGGAAATCGACGCCTGGACTATCCGCAGTCCAGTAGAGGCCATGGACATGCGTGCTCCCCCCGGGCCTGTCATTCGTTTCGATACCAAGGTTCGAAAACACGCAGCTTGGGGAGGACGACGGTCTGTAGAAAGTTGTGAATCGGTAACTGAGCACGTCGCCATAGGCACGGTGATGTTGAGCAGAATAAAGTCCAGCTATCCCGCTTCCTGAGCCCTCTGCAAGAGGCGCCGTCTTCTGTTAAAGAGTAACAGAGTGAAACATGGCCAGTCCTTGTCAAGCTCTGCAAGAGCCACAGCGTCGAACTGCTTGGTGTCGCTGATCAAGGTTGTTGGCGCTTCGGAATGGTGAGCCAAAAGGGTAGATGGATAAGGTAGTCAGGCATCGTTTAAGAAGCAAAAAGATGATTCGAACCTTGTGCTAGAAAATTGGCGCCCAGATGTACCTTGGAAGGAGAAGTGAGAGTGTATGTGAATGCCGACAGCAGCGTGACTGTGGAGTGAGCTGCAGTATACCGGCGGTGTGTGTCTCGCATTTCTATTCCACCGCATGTGTTACCTCAAATCGTTTTGACGACTTTGCCAGACGTGCTTCAGTTAGGCGGTGTTACTTGGCTGGGGTATCCAGACTTTGTTGGTTTAAACCTCACTTAGCTTACATTCACACCATTAAGAGGTGAGATTCAAGGTAGGTGAATAACGACTTGCAGCAATCTAGACGCATACGTACAAGGGGGTATACTCTTCTCAGCCACTTCACCCGTCCTTCATCCATTCAATCTCCACGCCCTCCAGCCTTTGCAATCACAGTCTCGAATAGCCAGACAAGCTCGCACGAAAATCACTTCAGGAAAAAAAAAGTAAATGAAGAGGAGCTCAGACTTGACGAAGCCGTAGCTCAACAATTCTAACAAGTTGTGGACATACATACACAAACCCAACAAGCCCTCGTTTACCTCTCCAGCAAATAACAAAAACGGGGTATAATCCAGAAAATAAAGAACACAATGCAAGCTCTCTCTCATGTCGTGCGTTTCCCATTCGTCATCTCTTTTCTTTTCTTTTTTTTTCAAGCTTTCTTTTTTAATCCAACAGCGCACGTTCACCCTTCAAACACCCCTGAACATTCTGACAATGAGGAACCACATGGCTCCCAAGAACTTGAAGCTACTGAGAGCGGCAACACTCCACAGGACGACCGCCATGTAAATATTGGACCGCTCCGTCTGCTGCGCCTCCTGGTCCTGCGGGTCACCCGGCGTGATTCTTTCAAGACCGGCCGAACTCAAGACCACGGCGGCAAGGGCAAAGTTGGTAATCATCCAGATGAGCACGACACCGGTACGCACACCTCGGTAGTAGTCCATCTGCTTCTCCTGCAGCTCCGCCGGCGTCGGATCCCTCTTCACCTCCTTGTACTTGACGCTGAACAGCGCAACCTCTCGCTGGTACTGCGCGTTCAAGTCGCCCTCGTCGGGAAGATCGGTTTTGCCCTGGCCATCCTTGGTGTTGACGGACGGCAGCTTCTCCACCTTGTCGTCGCCCTTGGTACCCCAGGACACGTCGTGGGTGTTGCAAAAGGCGTAGACGTTGAGAACGTTGGTGAACGTAGGCGTCAGGAGCATGTACTGGATAAAGGACGTAATCATGTGCCACGGGTCAAACATGAGGAGGGATGCAATGAGCCAGATGCCATACGTCGACATGACGGACACGATGAGCGTGTAAAAGACCTGGTTCTTGAACAGCTGGCTAATGTTGAATCCGTCGCCGTCGTTGAGATCTGCGATGATGGCCTTGACTGCGATGAAAATGGCGGCAAACATCAGGTAACTGCGATGAAAGAGTTAGATAGGAACCAAGATGCGTAACTGAAGGAAATGAGCTTACATCATGATGATTGCCCAGAACCAGACCATGGCCGAGTACAGCTTGCCGGAACCCGCCGGCCGATTGCCCAAGGACAAGACAAAGCAGGTGATGAGGATGACGCCGTAGAGCCATTCGAAGACAACGCCCAAGATCTCACCGGTTTTGCCCAAAAGAGTATCCGAGCCCAGACTCGTCGTCAGAATCTTGAAAACCAAAAAGAAGTTGCCAATGGCAAACCACGCGAAAATCATGTTGACGGTGTTGAACACAAACTCGATGAAGAAGGCCATCTTTCGGAAGAAGGAATGGTCGGAGCGGAAGAAGTCGTGGAAGTGAGCAATGGCGTAGATGGCGGCAAAGAAGGATCCGTTGAGCCAACGACGACGCTGGAGAACCAGCTCCGTCACCGTGTCGGGCACGTCCGTCTCTCCGGTGGCAGACTTGACGTACTGCAGGATCCAGTGGCAGTTCCGCTTGGTGACGAGCTCGAAGCAGAGGATACGATCTTCGGCCAGGTACATGTTGGACTCGAAGAGACCGGCCTTGCCACCACCGTGCAGAGTCTCGCCTAAGAAGTACTTTTCAAGGGGGCCCTGGCCGTTCTTGTCGTTTTGCAGAGCGACATATCGATAGGCTGAGAAAGCACCGGGCAACACGGAAATGAAGCCAAAGGCTGATTCCAGGGGCTTGTCGAGAATGTTGCTCATCTTGTACTCAAAGTTCTGCGTGGCAACGAGGGGGTTGATCAAATTCTTGCCGCCCGTGCCCAGCATGGCCTTGATCTCACCACAAGCGCCTCCGCACATGGGCTCCAGGTCAAACGCCTTCCAGAGATGGTAGATGGAGCTACCACCAGGCCTCGTACCAGCGTCAATGAGGACGCAAATGTTGGGGTCCAAGACACGGCCAAACGCCTGGAAGAACCATCTGTGAGAGTTGATCTTCTTGGCGTTCTTCTCTTTGAGGCAGAAAAGCAGCTGCACGGGCTGTCGGCGGTGGACGAGTGAGACGACGTCCTTGTTCAGCTGCAAGTGAGTCTGGGTAGTGTACTCGTAAATGTGGGCAGTCACGTCTTTTCCGTTGACTTGCTGCTTGGCGATGCCCTCCTGATAGACTCCAAGACCAGCCAACACGGCCCTTGTTCGGGGGTTGATCTTGGCACGACCGTCGCTGACGATGCAGACGACAATCTTTTTCCAGGCATCCTTACCCCACGTCTTGCTGTTGGGGCGGTTACACATGTATTCAATGTTCTTGAAAACACCAACCATGGTTCGCGCAAACAGAACGTCGTCCTCGTTATACATGGTGACGACGATGAAGAGCTCGGTGTGGCGCGGCTTGCTGAAGAGCTTCTGGCGCAGGGTGAAGTTTTCATCGTAAAAGTCCTTGGGGTCACAGGTCGCGGCCGAGTATCGCATGTGCGTGAACTCATCACGTTCGCCGTGGGGGTTTTCGCGCAGCAGAACGGGTGGCACCGGACAATCGAGCACCAGGTTACCGCGGTACAGGAGCACCTGCTTCACCGTCTTCCACCTCTTGATGCCACCAGTCGGCGTGACAGGCCGAGTCTCTTCCACTTGGTTGAGGGGCAGATCGGTGTTCTGGTGAGAGAGCATCGGCCGCTGGTCGTCATAATCGTAGTTTTGCTGGTCATAGCCCGGTTGGTCGTAGCCAGGCTGGTCGTAACCCGGCTGGTCGTAGCCTTGAGGGTCGTGGGGATGCGGCTCATACGGAGCGTTATAGTAGGCATCGTGATGGGCTTCTGGGTTTATTGCGTAGTCCGACGGGTGCTGGCTGTTGTAGGACAGAGTGTCGACGGAGTGCTAAGGGGAGTGCGGAGTCAGACACGGTACCTCTCCAATGGCTTGTTTGAGAGGTTCCCTCCACCACTTACCGCGGGGTTGATGTGTAGCTGGTCACTCGGACTGGCCAGTCGGCCAATATTGGGCATCTGAGGATTCTGAGGGTGGTGGCCGTACGGATTGTCGTCGAGCTGGTATCCCTGCTGAAGCGGGTGGCCAGGCGACGGAGTCCTGTACGGGTTGCCCCGGGGATCCATCTGGTGCTCGTCGTCGAGACTGTAGTCTGCCGGTAACAAGAATCTTCGTTAGGATGCGGCGAAAGGATCAAGAGAAGCTCGAGAGGGAGAGGCAGTAGGAGGTCTTGAAGGAAGATGGTTGGAGACGAGGCGCAACACAGCGCGCTAGGGGTCTATCTGTATACGAGCGCGGGTCGCACGCCGCAACTCAGGGAACGTGGGGAGAGATGCTAGGCGAGAGGGTCGGCCATCGAAATGCTGAAGATGTCGCGACAGGGAGCAGCGACGTCGCAAGGACGATGTGGGCATAAGTGGGTGTTCGAGATTAGGCGAGCAGGGGGGCTGGCGAGGCCAAGGGTCGTCCGAAGGGGAAATGGGAGATGACAAGCACATACCTAGGCGATTATATGACATGGTCGGTGATACTAGTAGTATGTACTCAAGATGGTAAGGATGACGGGGCAAGATGATTGAGGCCGGTTGGTTGGTCGAGAGATGTCGACAATGATATGCAGCAGTGCTCTCTTGTACAGAGTCTGTACTCGTCTATCCGCGCTGGGAACCGGATTCAAGGGCGCAAATGCGATTCGCCAGGGTCTTTGTTCCCTCCACGTTCCCCCTGGTGGCGCCTGGAATGGATGACAGCAGCGTGTCTCTGCTTCTGGGTTACGGCGGACGGAGAACCAACAAGTGCCGCCAACGAGATCCTTTGCGGCGCAACAGCAGTCGTCAGATGCGGGATGAGAATGAGCGCGAGAGAGACGACACGCGGGCGGCCTGTGCACACCCTGACTGAAATGGTTCACGGATGGGCGATCAAGGACGGCCTGATGAAGATGCTCGCCAATGGCAGCTGCTGGATCATGCAAGGTACCGAGCTGGTACCGAGTACGGGCACGTCGAGAATGTTTGCCTTTGTTTCTCGCGTCTTTTTCTCCCGCCGGGAATCGTAAACACTCCGCGGGTATGAGGCCGATTTTGGCGCAACGCCTGGCTGTGTCCGTCCCTGGCGCAGAGTCGCTGTCGTGGTTTCTCTTGCCTGGTACCCAGCGCTCTATCGTGAACAAGACACAGCAACAGCCAAATCAAACGGCATGGAGGAGAGAGACGAGGAGGGAAAGGGAAGAAAAAAAGATCAAACGGCGGTTTCAAAGTGATGAAGTAGCAGTTTCATGAGGCTTCGGAGACCAGGGCCGTGGGCCAAAGCTCGAGCAAAACTCCCCTCCCCCTGGCCCCTCGTTCCAGATGACCCTTGGACCAGCTGTCGGTTTCAGAGGCACTAGTGGGGGGCTTTCAGTGCCTAGCGCACTCAGGCAGCCCCCTGTAGCACCCGTAGGGGCTCGTAGGGGCTTGGGGGAGGCAGATTCCAGGGCCGCGGCGGGATTCTACTGGCTGGCGGCACCCCACCAAGGGCTTCAACTGGGCCATTGCCTTGGCGACGGGAAGCAAGTGACGTCGATAACGAGATGATGAGGGCACATGGACAGAGAATTTGACGGGAGGGGAGCACGACTTCAGGGGGAAGACGCTGTGTGGCCTGTATGTCGTCTTCATCTCCGTCTTTTCCCTCAATGTTCAACTTGTTCAACTACATAAGAGCAGCCACGCAGTCCAATCTCGTCTCCCCCAAGTCGATACACCAACCCAACCAACACGATAAGCCGCGATACGAATCACGATCCCTCTCCGCTTCCGCGGCATCGCCTTGATCCCACCTCCACGCAACACCGCAACGCCGTCGTCAGCAGCAAAAGACACAGACCACACCCACACCGTCTCTCTCACTCTCCTCATACTCCATATATTCCCGATGGACCTTTCCGTGGCTCAACTCGCAACCCGGTAGCAGTACCTTGGCATTTCTTGGCTGACCGTTATACACGCAAACACGGCAGCCCTCCACAGGTACGAACAAGGTCACCAAAAATAAACATGCCACCGCCGAACAGGACGCCACAACGCCTACGAGTCGATATACAGGCACTCCAGCCCACGGCAACCCGCGAATCAAGAGGGCGATGATTTACCCAAGGTACCCTAGCGGACTCAGCCTCGTCCAACCTTGTTTGCCACTGTCCAATCACGGGCTCCGGTGGCGGCCGAGCTGAGCCTCTGCCATGGCGCGGCCTCGTCGTCACCAGCTGATGATGCGTCTCTTGGTGATCGCTAGATCGTAGCCTATGTCAGTCTTTAACTACAGATCAACACGCCGTATTTCACAGCAGATATCTCTCTGATTCTGCTGCAGAGACTTGAGGTCCACGGGTGCAGCATCAGTCCTGCAGTTGTTGGTGCCCCGTCCTAGGACTCATGAGCTGCTGCAACGTGCCGCCAGGATCCATGTGCATGCAGGAACATGCATGCACATTCCTCGTACAACTCGACAATGGATGGACTGATGCTCCAATCGCACAATTGAAACCATCCTCGTAACCAGGCACCGACTTAGTAATCCACGGCTTCTGCCTCTTCAGCCTCAATTTGTTGGTCCCGAACGTGTCACCTCTTCCCGCAATGTGGGGCGACAAAGACTGCCTCGCGGGGTAGGTACATGTAGTCTATCAGCCGAATCCTCAGGTGCCGCTGGGACGCCCGAGTCTCCTTTCTCATGACTGTTTGCGATTCGCTTTCTTCTCTCTCTCTTAGATTATGTGTCAGACGTCAGATTCTATTCAATGTCTTTGTTAGAAGTATCAACTCTCCCTACCTACCTACGTTACATTTAGTATAGTTTGGCGTAACTGCGGTCATAGTTACCAATGGTGAAGATACGAGACAGACGATCATCATATATCACATTTCAAGTAATTTATATATCATGATCATCATTTTAGTCAAACAGACCTCACTTGATGTTGACAGGAATGGTGCAATAAGCTTAATTATTGATCATATTCTCCGTTTCTACCCCCTGGGCCGGAGTAGCTGATCACTCCACTCTACGAATCCCTCGGTGATAATGCGCCGGCCTTGCAGTCTCACAGCGACATGCTTGTCAAATATCATCTTAGACAGCAAGAGCCGAAAGATGATCAGAGATTGCCGAGGAGTCTGTGGCCGTTCCTGGAATACACATGTACATGTAGTTTACAGCGTTTCGTTTGATATGAGCCAGACCCTTGACGTCTCGGAACTTGAGGACGACGTGGCTGCTCAAACGGAGACGGCAAAGGCGAGAAGAGCAACTGCCCACCTAGGGCATAGATAGTAGGAACCGAGTGTTCTAGAGCGCTCAAACACATCTTGTGGTTTGCGGAATTCCGCTCTTTTCCCTCCATTGCCATTTGACCTCCGCTTTGCGTCTGCAGCTTCGGTTTATACTCAACATGGCCGGCGTTGGGACACGATGCAGGAAGTGCCTCGATCCGGGCGAGCGTACGGCGAGATCAAAGCTGACTGAAAGTGATGCATGTTCACGAACTCGATTTGAGATGCCGAAGAGAATTCTCTATCCGAATTTTCAGATTGTTGACCAACACGATAGAAGGATTCGAAAAAGGCCGTACCTCCAAGCTTCCAGCGAGCTGAGAATCCGAGCAGAGAGCTCCTCAGAGTCCACATATCTTCTGCCGATAGCCCATGCAGAGATAGCTCGTTCAGGCGAACGGCTGCACCGTACAGACAGCACAGTCCGAGGAAGCACGGCCTGCTGTTGTTGAGCCAGCCGTGTCTCTGGACCCAGTCGGCCTCAGCGCGGCATGTCTCCATGATCATGTTGTGTGCGCATTGAAACGCCAAGATGCTTTTCGGGTTGTTGGCCGATGTCTTGTAGTAATTTTGCCTGCGATACAACATGATTAAGGCGCTTTTTGACCTCAATTAGCTTGGGATTGGAACGGAGTGGGAAGTGGGACGCTCACCTGAGGGACATGGCAACTGTTCCACAGAGAGGAAAGTTGCCTCCATGAGTCGTACAGATGTAGTCGCTGATGTGCTGGTATATCTCTGTTTCCATCGTTTCGTATTTGCTGGTATCGGAACCCCTGATAGCTCTTATCATATCACCGAGGCGGATGGCGTACTCTGCCCGCGCCAACAGGTTGCGGACAGCATCACGTCCATAGAGGTCGGATTTTGATACCCGAAAGATGGCAGAGCTGGACGGAAGGTGGTGAGCCTCTACCAAGTATGGAAGACCGTGGTCGACGCTGGAGAGAGCAATGGTTCTGTTGGAACAAAATCAGTCGTTCTGTTCGATTCCGGGCCTCTCAAGTCGTGGTTTACCTGTCAAGTAGAACGATCCCACTCCAGCAGCAATCTAACTCTAGCTGATCGTGACTGTCGGTGTCTTCTCTCTTGTGTGTATTTGTCTCCTTGTACCCGTCGATGCTGAGGCCGCGGATGACCCCAATGCAGATCGTCAGCGTCTCATATGCCTCTTTGCTTAGACCATGGCCACATGCATATGTCGTCAGGATAATACCGCACTGCAGTAACTTATATGCGGATATTCCGGCGTTGGAGTGAAGAATGGCAAACAACTGCCGTGAGGTGCGGTAAAGTGCGTTCGGTGTCAGTTGAGTCTGGTCTTCACACGGACTATCCGCAAAGAGATGCATGCAGAGAAGGAGGAGAGCAAATGCGTCGTGATCAGCCCACTCCTTTAGGTGAAAGCTTTCTGCTTCGTCGTAAATTGCATCTCTATTCAGAGTGGGCAACCAGTGGTAGGCAAGGTCAAAGTACTTCGTCGCCACGTTCGTTGCGGTGATGCCCCCCTGATGGAAAATGTCTCTCACGAGACGAGATAGAGATGGTTGAGTGAGAATGTCCTCCCTTTGTGGGCTATTCTTCGAACAGGCTGCCCAGAGCAATTCGCGTTCTCCAAGAGGAGACAGATGGAACTTGCAAAGCCCAGAGCAGGGCGTTAACATATGACTTGTACTTGATATCAACACCAGTCCGCGAATGGCGGTATCACTCTTTGACGGATATACACATCGAACCGCCTTCCTAGACATGAGTTTAACATAATCTCTTGCAGGTGCGTATCAAAGAGGGAAACATCCCGGTGCAATCCGTACCTACGTCGAGCACCGAGAGCACTGGGGAATGAGTCTGTCACAACGCTGCTTCTGACGGCGACAGTTGAGGCATGTCCCTGGCACAATGCCTCTTGATTCACGCTGGTTGCTACTTGACGACAGCGCCGAACTTTCAGCCATTTTTTCAATGACAAATACAGAGGGGGTAGGGGAAGATGGAAGCAGTGTGTACTGCGGCAATGAAAATAGAGGGATGTCCAAGACAATAAAGGATCGGCCGACCCCTGTCAGATATTGGTCGAAGACCTAGGCTCATGGGAACGATCTAAATGATTAATAACTGAAGTTTACACTAAGGTAGTGTGGCTTCATGTAGCGGGCGTGTTTTGCTGCCGCTCTCCCGGGCAGGCTGGGGTGAGGCTGGAAGCCACCATACCAAGTAGACCGAGTCCAAAAGGTCTGGTCCTTCTAGTACATGGCCTCAAAGCGAACCTATCAAAACTCTTAGTTGTCGACATGTGATCGAAAGGGATACTAACATTGGTCGAGAACGGTCGTCGAAAGCAATATACTGTATGCTCTACTTCCTAGTTCGTAGCTTTGGCAAAGAGTATAAACCACTCCAGTGTCAATAAGTCGACAGCAGACGGTGTACTATACTTAGTACTGTCAAACGAGAACTTGCAGGGGTCGGCCGTCCCCATCAACCGTCTACTAGTACTCCGTAGCTGCCGCTCCGATCGGGCTCTTCCATGCGATTGACAGGGGTCGGCCGGCGCCTGCGATCCAATGAGACCCGTGCTATCACGAGCTGAAGCCCCCGAATGAGGGGACAGAAGTGACCTCGCAGCATCTTCGAGAACCAGAATGCAGACTGACTTTACATCTTTTGCTGCCGAAACAGAGTAATCCTCAACGGATAGAACATGCCGTCTCATTCCCATTCGTCGAGGCTAGCGTTGGAGTAAGAGGTTTGACGACATGCTTCGGTCAGCGCAAACTCAGAGTCAGACGACGCGTTGGAGATGCGAGGTGCTCTTGACATGATTCGCTACGCCGGAGCTGGCTCCGAAAGAAGTTGTGCGACAAATTTGTGTAGCTGAAACCACTGGGATTAATGAACGAGGAAACATGCAGCGTTATATCCTCCATCTACAGATATAAATACTGCTCCGCGGGCACCGGACGGGTTCAAGTTTCCCAAGACGACACATCATTCATCCAATAATCGAACCGACCATACTCTTGAAGTTTTATACTTATATCTCATCACGATGTCCCTTCCTACGAAGACACGCGCGTGGTCTATCCGCGAAATCCGCAAGGACAGCTTTGACGGGATTGTTCTCCAAGAAGACGTTCCTCTCCCCAAGCTCGGCGAGAGAGATGTTTTGGTCCAGATTGAGGCCGTCTCCCTCAACTACAGAGACCTGGCTATTCCCAGAGTATGTCTTACACACAAAACCCATACGATAAAGACTCGCTTCTAAATCAACACTCAGGGACTTTACCCATTCGTCATCGACCTACCTGTTGTCCCTGGCTCCGACAGTGCCGGCACTGTCCTTGCCACTGGCCCCAAGGTCACCAGGGTGTCTAAGGGTGACCGAGTTTGTACCTTGTTCAACGAGCAACACTTGGCAAACCCCATCACTCCAGAGGCCGCTGCAAGCGGTCTTGGTGGTGCAGTAGACGGCACACTGCGCAACTACGCCGTGTTCGGCGAGCATTGTCTTGTCAAAGCCCCGTCTTCTCTCAGTGTCATTGAAGCCAGCACCTTGACGTGCGCTCCCCTGACGGCTTGGAACGCCCTGTACGGACTGCAGTCGAATATCCTCAAGGCGGGCGACTGGGTCCTGACCCAAGGGACCGGGGGGGTTTCCCTTATTGCGATTCAATTCGCCGTCGCTGCTGGGGCGACTGTTGTCGCTACAACGTCTTCAAGTGACAAGGCCAATGCACTGAAGAAACTAGGGGCTCATCACATTCTGAACTACAACGAAACCCGCAACTGGGGCGAGGCGGCCCGATCCCTGACTCCGGGAGGCAGGGGATTCGACCACATTCTCGAGATTGGCGGTGCCGCAAGCATCGCGCAGTCGTTCAACGCCATACGCATGGAGGGTGTCATCACCATTATCGGGTTCCTTTCGTCGTCTGAGAAGCAGCCTGCTGCGATGGACATTCTCAACCACGTCTGCGTCGTCAGAGGCATCTTTGTGGGCTCGAGGCAGCAGTTTGAGGAGATGAACCGGGCGATTGAGTCTACAAAGATTCGCCCCCTTGTCGATTCCAAAATCTTTTCGTTTGATGAGTTGAAGGAGGCGTATCAGTATCAGTGGGAGCAAAAGCACTTTGGAAAAGTTGTGATCCAGGTTTCAAATTGAACTCAGCATGTGGAATGCACTTTGGAAAACTTGTGGTTAAGATGGGAAACTGAATTTCAGCATGTGGAGGAATTTCTGCAGACTGGCACTATCAACGCTCATACGAAACAACTACCTACCAAAAGTTCAAGGCGTACGTTAATATCAGTATGGGGCGTGTTGCGTGATCATATGGCATTGTTATGCTTCTATCCTATGAGGCTGAAACGGAAAACTTGTGGCCTACTATAAGAGAAATTGAGATGTATATTTGTAAACCCTGTGTCAGATCTCTATTTGCAATCTGATATTAGATACCTTACAGATGGTAAGTGCACAGGCTGCCTAGCCAATGAAGATGCTTCCGCTTGGGCATTGCTGTCTCCCTACTTTTCCGTCTTGCTTCATGTCCCTTGAGGCGCAGCATCAATAATACTAGAGAGTAGGGGCCTGGCTTACACCTAAGCTTACAATTTGGCTCTCAGTGAGCTCAGCCATCCAGTTGACTTGTTTACCTTGCGTGCGTAAGGATGCTTCAGTCCAGGCACCATAAAGTCAAGGCTGCTCGTATTGACAAAATCCGGGTGCGCATCTCTCATCAGATCCGTCATGCCACACAAGCGCATAGCCGTTTCGATTTCGTCCTTTAAAACTGCGGGTATCTTCAGCATGCTGTTCGTCTCGAAATCCATTACGATACGGAAAACTCACTCCAAGCGACGCGCTCTACTCCCTCCTGGCCATAGCCCAGGGAGTAGAGAAATGGCCTGCCAAGTCCAACGGCAGATGCGCCCAAACAGATGGCCTTGACAATATCCGATCCTCGCCGAAAGCCTCCGTCGATCAGAACCTCAAGCTGGCTGAATATCTCGGGACACTGTTTCTGCAGCTCCAACAAGACAAGAATTGTTGGCGGCGCAGTATCGGCAGCTCGGCCGCCATGGTTACTGATGACGATGCCTTGAGCCCCCATTTTCGCAGCCAGGATGGCATCAGCTGCGCATTGAATACCCTTGACGACGATCGGAATCTCCGTGATGCTTCTCAGCCATTTCAGGTCGTCCCAAGTGAATGTCGGATCGATAAAGGACGACACTTGACGCGCAAGACCGGCTCCTCGTTTGTCCTCCTTGACAGCCTCGGGACTGAGCCCGATGCCGGCTATCTGCAGCTGTTCGTTTGACTTTACGCGCTCGTCATCCTCCCTCTTGGGAATAACGGGGACGTCCACAGTCACCAGAATGGCCTTCACTTTGCCGGTGGCCTCGATCGTGCGGACGATGGCCTCGGACTTGGACCGGTCTTTGTTGACGTACAGCTGGAAGAAGGCGTGGCGCTTCGTCTCCTGCAGAATTTCCAGGTGAGTGTAGGACGATGGGGTCGCGAAACAATGCACAATGCCCGCCGCACCAGCTCCTCGAGCCAGAGTCAGCTCGCCCTCGGCGCCGCCAGCTTTCGCAGCCCCCGTAGGCGAGATGAAGACTGGCATCTCAAGATCGCATCCGAACAAGCTCGTCCGCGCCGTGACACTTCCAACGTTGCGCATTACCCTTGGGCGCAACCAGATCTTTCGCAGCATGGAGCTATTGGCATCTCGCGTGATGTTGTCGTTGGAGCCTCCCTTGATGTACGCCCATGACTTCTTTGACAGCGTCAGCTGTGCCGCTTTTTCGAAGTCATCCATGTTGAAGATTTCATCCAGAGCCGGCTTCTCTCTTGAAGTTGCTGTGATAGACCGGTCTGTGGACTCATTGGCTGCTTTCCACTCCTCCGTTATTGTTGACGTATCCAACGATCCAATATGGCCTTGCGCTCCAAGTGTCTCTCTGATCAATGAGGGCGAATGTACTCGGCCATACTCTTCTGTGGCGTCCTTTCCGGCAAACTTGTGTATAACTATACCACATAAGCGATTGCTGATTATCTTATATATCCAGAATGAGAAACGTACTCTCCGCTCCTCCAGGATGCTCAGGTGCGAATTCAGTCATGTCGTACACCTCTCCGTCGACAACAATCCACACATCATCCAGCTTATTATGCTGCAGGATCACTTGCGTTGTGATTTTTCTCGCCATGATGGTTTCTCCCTTGTAACTGTGATGGAAGGCTCGATGCTTTATGCGAAATGGTCCTTCAATAGCGAAACACTTGAATCGGTGTGCAGGTGAGATTCTTTCGAGATCGCTGTGGTTCCCCCGCATTATTTATAGCGAAGATGAAGATGCATGTGGGGATATCATGGCCCTTACATACGTGCATGTATCGAATCGGGAATTGAAGAATGGGCAAGCTTTGCCATGATGGGTCAAAAGCTTCACTACATTTACTGACCCGATTTGCGTTGCATGCCACACAATAAAGAAAGTGACGCTTCAAACTACTAGGCTCACCAGAACCGGTGCCAAACAGCCCCGACATCTTGCCTCTTGCTTCCTTTCTCCTTGGACCTTATGATTGAATTCGCCAATGATCGGCTTTAGCACGGCAATTTAATAGTCAAAAAGTGACAATCCATGCAGGAGATTGGCATACCAAAATAATAAGGTAAGCATCGTGATTGGCCCTCCCAAGGCAGCTGCGAAAGGTGAGTTATCAGGCCTACAGAACCTCGGTCCAAGCTCGACCGATCCCCGCGATTGAGGCCCCAAGCACTCTACCCAGGCATGTGGATCATGCTAACCGGCAGTGAAGGTACTAGTTCAATAGGAGAAAGGCTGGGGAATGCCTCCAGAATGCTAGTCTCCGACGGATAAATCCCGAGTCGTCAGAGCCGGCGGATGACAAACAAACCTGGCCCAAGTGAAGACGTACAAAAGGAGGGCATTCATCAACTCCATCCAGAACAACTCAAGGTCCTTCAGCCTTGGCTAAAGAAGCCACAGAATTTCTGTGCAGTGTAGATTTACATGTCAAGCTCGAATTTCATCCGTTTAGATCAAGAATGAATTTGAGAATGAATCTGAGAATAGTTTTTGCAAACCAAGACATACTCTCTCCCCTGTCTCGTGTGACTAAAGAAGTGTGCAAATGAGCATATCTTCTTCTATAAGCCTTGTAACTGGTGCAATCAAGACATGGGAAAATTTATACTCCATGAGAGACCTTTTCAGTAATGTCTGTCTAAGAGTCACCATCAGACAGTACAATAGAGAACTTACGTCTCCTCCAATGCCAGACACATAATGGTTTTGTCCATGTCTGCAATAGTGGCATCACGTTACTACTATTCACAGTCCAGTCTTTAACTTGGGATAGGAGCCAAGTCATCCGAATAATGAATACCGTCCTTCTCGTCCCTTGTCATTCGAGTCAGAATTCGGATAGATGCAGCAACCGCAACCTGTCAGATGAGTGCCGGGCAACCCCAACGACTGACTTCAAACTTGCATTCCTTCTCTACTATTAGTATTCAGAGACTTATTACCAGGGTCCTTTCCAAGTCATACTGGGGGGGTTCTTGAACTGGGGAGCTTCAGCTGGTCGTGACATTGCTTTGCAAGCAGAGCCGCACCCCCTATTCCTCAACTCGACTCACCACAAGCCACCAACTTACTCTAGGCGAATCCATCAGTCACATCACTGGTACAAAAACACGATATAAATAGACCAATTGCCTTTATCGGTCGCCAAAGCAATGAGCATTTACGGCCAATGAGAGGCTCTGCAGCTGATAAACGCACGAGCTCTGGTGCCTGCCTCCACTGAAGAAGGGGCAGAGCCAGGTGGTTGCCTCAGGTATCTTATCGGCGGCCAGGAAAATAAACAAACAAAAACTCCAAGTACCTGCTCCTTCTTTCCTCTCCCCTTCTTGCCTTACTTCTTCTGACGTCTAACATCAACTGCCTCGCAGCGGCAATTCCTTCTGCACGCTTCATTCCGCGACTCTCGCATTCGACCTCGACTTCCACTGACCACAATTCCTCAACAGCATCCGCCTGTCAGTGGCCTTTCCATCTCCTCCAAGGCCTGGCAGGTTTCTTCGTTACGATGCAGGATCCGGATCCTGACCTGGTCAAGGAAGCCTGCAAGGTAAGACGGAGCTTGTCAACCTTCCCCAAACCTTCTGACTCTCTTGCTGCATCATGTTCCTTGGCGAGGGAATCACCTTAGCAATAACAACGCATAATGATGGATCTGACTTTTCCAATCCTAGGCTGAGCTCGGAAGAGGCCGGCAGGAAGAACTTCCATTGAGCAACGATGCGAAGCGGCCGACTTACCAGCCCAGAGCTTACGGGACGGGTCACATCCCAGAAGCCCGGAAAGACAGACTCGAGAACAAATGGAGTGGTGAGTAAATTGAGTCCTTACTTGCATTGACCTCTCTGCCTAACGTCTGCAAAGTCAAAATCGTCGACGAGGAGAGTCTACAGATGGAAGGCCTAGAGATTGGTGACAGCCGTCCATACGCTCAGTTCACTAACCAGTATATGGCGCGCCATGCATTCTCATCGTGAGTGAAACTACCAAGTGTTCCTTTCAAGTCTTGCTCACCCCGTTGCTAGGGCACCGCCTCGAATTGCAATGGCAGCCGGCCAAGTACGACCTTCCACCGTTCCCAAAGGCCCCTCGTCGATGAAGCCCGCAGGGCGTGTCACTGCTCCCCCTGTACAGCCAATAGCACCTGCTACGACTCAAAGGGTGGTCTCTCGCACCATAAATCAGGTCAGCGCAGGATCTCAAGTTCATGGTGGCCGTACAAACCCCCCCGTCAAGAGCGTCAGCCAGTCTAAGCCAACTTCACCGAGTCCCGAACAAGCCATCTTGTCTCAAGGCGAGTGCGAGCTTGTCAATGAATCTAACGATTCCACCATTCCTGCCAAATTTATTGCCAAGGTGCATGTGCAGAAGAACGAGGGAACGTTGGTTTTGATACCTTCTGGCAAAGCTGAGTTGGCGTACAATATCCTGGATCTCGGCACAGCCGTCACACAGGGACCTTTCTGTCCCATTGTTAGTGCAAGGGGTGAGCGCCTGCACAAGGTGAAGCTACGGACCGCTGCTGCTGCAGAAAGCTTTCAGTATCTGCTGAAGTGCCTCTTGGAATCTGCTCAAAGATATGGAGGGCGGAGACCGGTGTCTCCTAAACCTACCCCGACCATTGCCGCCCAAAAGCAACAAGAGAGTCGCCTCCAAACCCCTTCCAAAGCAACCATGGTGGCACCAGAAGCTGCTTCAGAGACAGCCAACGGCAACACAAGAAACGCTGTGCAGATGCCGAATCTGATCGATGCGTCGCTGCAGCCGAAACCCGAAGCCAGCCTTCTTAACGTGGAGGATGATTCTCATCCAAAGCCATCGCTCACCATTGAGGCTGCTGCGGATCACATGCAGCGCATTGTTCAGCAGATCTTGTCGGAGATTGCTGCCACTGGTGTTCAAGTGCCTGAGCAAGGCGTCGAGGTGATTGAGTCGACGGCAATCGCCAACTGGATGGCTCAGGGTTTCATGCAGACCGAAACAGAGTCTGCCGAATTGAAGGAGGAACTTGTCGACCTCCTCCGACTACTGGTCCGTATCAAAAGAAAGGTACAGTACAGGCATGGGGGTAACGCTGAAAGCAAGAGTGTGCCCATTTCGAGCGCAACTCTGCAGGATCTTCAGGAGATTGTCGAGAAGCCCAGTAAGCGCATCAAGTACACTTCTGCAGACATCAAGCAGCTGGAGGGTCGTGCCGTGTCACGCGAGGATAACATCAAGGCGTCAGGTCTCCAGGAGATACAGAAGGGCTCCGCCTCCAACGCAAATGCTCGCAAGAAGGCTCATAAGAGCTCTCCGTCTACGACAGACGTCCCCAAGCAGACGGTAGTTCCCAGTATGGCGGAACATAGAGCCTAGTTGGCTTCTAGCTCCGGTCAAAAGGCATCCGCTGAGCCCTCCGATCCTGGCTCGAAGGCAACAGTCGAGCTCACAGTTTCTGCACCGAAGGCAGCAAATGGAGTCCCAATGTCTGGCACCAAGGCCAACGGTGGGCTTGCAGCGTCGCGATGGGCGACTTCGGACGGTATGCCATATTGCAGAACTCGAAGATATGAACATGTTTACTGATCTTTCTTCTTTAGGGTGGTCGACTTTAACCACGACAACTGCGGCTGAGTCCCCAGCAGTCCCCCCTCCCAGCGTTATGGTGCCTACCGCGAAGGCCCAAAAGCCCAAGCCCCCAGGATTGAGCTCTTCTCGATGGGCAAACTAGCCTATCGAGAGCCAGGGTGCCTTTAACGGCTCCTAAAGATGGTAATACATGCGAAAACGTGGTTTGGGAAATCCCTCGGGGGTGTGCTTGAGACAATGATGATTGGTGGCTAATAGTGAGAGACATGTTTGTGCGAGGAAATCCTGAGGGAAGCAACGAGATGAACTGCCGATCTATCTTGGGGCAAGGCTTAGACCATCTCACAGGGTGGTTGGAAAAGGTCCATCGATCGAAGATAAGGCCATCTATGTAAGAATAGGCTCGAGAAACGGGCTGTGTAGGACATTACGAGATTAATTTGCAGACGCGGCTAATATTGCAACATGTGAAGGCGGACAATCTTGCGGGGAGGTGGCTGTGTTGCGATGATGGTTGCTTCAATCGGTTTGTGTTAATTTTTGCCTACATCTTGACTGATACATGGAGAGCAGCTGTTTCGATTCGTCGTCCAAGCCACCTTTGTCGCCTTCAAGGGCCAGGACCTTTGACACGAGATCGATGACCTGCTGATAGCGACGGAAGAAGTACAATTCTTCCGCCGCGTGAATGACTTCCTGGACATGCTGTTTGTTCGCATCAGGTCCCAGTGGGAGAGAGATGGTCTCATGAATCTAGATGGCCAAAGCCTTTAGAAAGCTGAGAAGGACGAGAGCGGGTGTTTCATGGGTTCTTACGTTGCCATTTTCCACCTTTGCGCGGTAAGTTCTTTTCACGGCCTGAAATTCCTCTTCTGACTGACCGGTTCGCTTGGACTTTTTCTCAATCTTGTCGTCTTCGGAGTCGGAGACTTGGATGTTGAAGAGGTCGTTTTCGCCGTCGGACATGGTGATTGGTGGGTTCGAACGTTGTCGAAGATGTGTGGAGGTTGAACCTATGAAGGGGATGATGAAACTTGATTGATGGACAGGTCCACTGTTTGACTTTGTATGGATCGGGAAGTAAGCTTGCGCGCTTCTCCTACTACTGCGGACTTTGAGGTTCAAGATTGTGGCGAAGGTACAGGCATGTGAGATTCCTGAACGGGACTTGAAACAAAGGGAAAATCTTGAAGAGGGAAACGCTCCCCACGAGCACAGCCGCGGTGGAGATGGAGATGATTGTTCGAAGAAGAAGGTACGAGAGGTTATGGTGAGGTGAGTACGCGATGCGAACGCGAGTCTTGAGGCTTAGAGGGTCAGGATGGGTTTCGTTTGTACGGGTTGTGTTGGACGTCCAGGGTGAGTGAATGTGAAGAGAGACGTGAAAAGCATGGGTCCGTGGGTTAGCAGAGCCCCCGAGGCGGTTAGCGGAGCACGGACAAGGCGTCAATCGGACTGCGAGAAACAACGGGCAACGCAGGTACCAGAGACAGGTACAGGTACGCACCCGGGACTTTGTCAGCCAAGCGTCCTGGGCGCATCTTGACCGAGCCGGGCGACACCATTGGACGCCTCCGCAGGAGGCCAAGTCCCTGGACCTGCGCGTGCTACCGCCGGATTGGCCCCCGGCGTCTCCAATCAACCGGCGCCAGCAGATTCCAAGACGACGACGACATGTCGCCTTCCAAGGATCCGCCCATATGCCCGTACTCGCTCGAGGAATCAGTCACATCTCAGCATCACCTGTATTGTGCATGTGCTCATGCTGTGCTGCGCCAAGGGTCCCTGAAAGACATGGAACTGGTGAGAAAAGCAAAAGCGTTGGTCCGCCGTGGCGCAGCCGGACTGGATGCACAAAGAGAGGAGGGCTGTCAAACGGACGGAGTAACTTGCTCCAGCCCCCGGGACGACCATTGCGTTAGCGCCAGATGGAGCTCCGGGCGCCCCTGGGATTTGGGGAGGTCCGGCTTTGCTTGGGGGGGAGGTTGATGCTATAACATCATCGCAAGCTGCCCTGTTCTTCTGCTGCAGCATCTTTGCTTGTGCCTTTATATTCCACTTTTGCGCTGTCTTGGCTCGACTGTTACTTTTCGGTGATTGTTCCACTGCAAGGTAATAGCCTGATACCCCATACTACACGCAGATCATCACTCCTTTTACAAAGCTGTCTCAGAATGGCGGACGCGCAGATGGACGTCAGCGCCCCGCCGCCGCACACGTTTACGGGCATCCTCAGAGACACAGACGAGCAGCAGCAGACGCATCAACACACCAGCGACCCCAATTCCAACGGCGGCAACAGGAACAGCCACGGCAGCAGTAACACCGGCGCTGCTGCTCACGATGCCCGCTCGGACAGAGACAGGGCGTCGTCCCACCACCGGCGCTCAAAGCCGCCTTCGCTCGAAATCGACAAGACGCGGCCGCAGGACTTTGATGGCGAGCTGCAGACCAACAACGAGCTGCCGTCGGCCGAGGTCCAGAAGATGATTGAGGACTACATTGTGCTGGACAAGCACGGCAAGTCGAGGACGTTTAAGAGCTTGTACATGGGGCCCAACGTGGCCAGGCGGGTGCTCGTCATCTTCATCCGCCACTTTTTCTGCGGCGTACGTTCTCGATGCTTTTCTCTCCCCCCCTTTTTTTTTGTTCTGCTTTGCGAATTGTTCATGGTGTCTGTGACTGACATCTCTGCTCTCTTTCAGAACTGCCAGGAATACCTCCGCGCCCTGTCCGAAGTCATCACCCCCGAGTCCCTACTCCGCCTCCCTATCAGCACCTTCATCACCGTCGTCGGATGCGGCGACCCCAAGCTCATCGACATGTACGCCAAAGAGACGGGCTGCCCGTTCCCCATATACACGGATCCCACCCGCCAGCTCTTCGACGCCCTCGGCATGGTCAAGACGCTCACGATGGGGGCCAAGCCGGCGTACACGAAGAAGAGCACGTCAAAGGGCATCTTCGACAGCATCGTCCAGGGGCTTCGGCAGGTGCCCAAGGGTCTGGCTCTCAAGTCGGGCGACCACCGACAGGTCGGCGGCGAGTTCCTCTTTGAGCCATTACACATTGTGACGCCGGTTTCCACGCCGCGGGAAGAGCAGCATCCCCAGTTCAGCACGATCGAGAAGCCCGAGGCCGGCAAGGTCAAGTCCAAGGCCGAGGAGGAGCGGGCGGAGGAGAAGAAGATTACGTGGTGCCACAGGATGAAGACGACGAGGGACCACGCGGAGATGCCCGAGCTATTGGAAGTACTGGGGCTGGATAGCGTCATCCCGAAGCCTGCGGTTATGGACGAGAAGAAGTGGGAGGAGACCAGGAGGGAGAGGAAGGGCACGGGGGCGACGATGGCGCCCGAGATGAAGAGGCTCAGCCAGGCGGCTCGGGCGAGTGCTGAGCACTCTCATCTCAGCACTCGCACGAGCCATGAGCCGGCGGTGGTTGGAGACGACTAGGGGCTGGGAAAAAAAAGAGTTTGGGAGCGTTATTGTGTTTATGATGGTTTGCATGCGCGGTGTTGCTTTGGGTAATATGTTGGATTGTTCTGCTCTTTGCTGATTACCCGGACATACATATCCACTGTCTCTCTTCTTCCAGTTTATTACTCCTTTACCTATCTAATGATCTTGAAAGCCCACATTTGCTAGGCATATCACTTCAGCCAGGGTGTTATGTTAACCTTGAAGAATATCATGCTCACGGTCTATGTGTATCATATAACAAACAACGATCTATTCGTGCACCCAAGTTCCATCCTCTTTGCTCTGAATTACCTCGTGTACCGGCAACCGAAAGTCCACAATCTCCCTCCCATTCACGAGATCATTCTCCAAGGCCCTCCTATCACCCTCTTCCACGGTCTTGACAATGCCCGCGCGGACATGCCTCTCGCGTAACCTCTTCCTCGCCACCTCGAAATCGACCTCGACGAACCACAGCTCGTCCAGCAAGGCCGCGGCATCCCGCCACACGTCCTTATCCAGCGCGAGGTAATTCCCCTCCAGCACGACGATCCGATGCGTCGGCAGCACCGCAATGTCGTTTTCCTTGGGATCCTTGACGGCGTGATCAAACGACGGCGCGAATATCGTTTCCCCCGACTCTGAGATGATGGGTTCTCGTAGTGACTGCACGAGGGAGAGGAACTTGGGGGCGTCAAAGGTAAAGGGGGCGCCGCGGCGGGCGTGGGCGACGGCCGGGTCGGGCATGGCGGAGAGGGCGGCGCGGGTGAGGTGGAAGCCGTCCATGGGGATGAAGGTGGCGGGGGGAGGGGACGAGGGAGATGTTTGGAGGGACAGGGCGTTGAGGCTGTTTGTGATGGTTTGGGCGAGGGTTGTTTTGCCTGGAGGGTGTGTTTTGTTTTGTTAGACTTGGGGGGGTTATGAGGCGTCAGGGGAGAAAGGACGTGCCTGAGCCTGGGATGCCGGCTATTCCGATTACTGGTTCGAATGAGAGTTAGCAAATTGGTTGACTTTAGAGTTTCCATAAGGGCTTCACTATGAACAAGATCAATGGCTACGGTGGTTTACACGAGGAGCAGTAGAGGTGCGCCGACTTACACAGACGTCGATCTTGAGGTGTTTCCTGGAACCTCTTCCAGACCTTGTCCACCAGTCTCTGCACTTGAGACTCCATATTGGCCGTCCGACTTTGTATATCTTGACTGAAAGATCAAAGGAGAGATCAAGGAAAGTTCTATTTTACAGCCTCGATCTGATGTTTTAAGGCTGCTGCCTTATGGCTGGAGACAGAGATGAGATCAGGCGCCCCGCTGATATGCTGTCCGGTGCCTGATGAAGAGGAGAACCCCACGTCTCTCCACTGGCGGAAGTACTTGGAAGTGCGAACTGATGCAAGATAATTTGCGGCAGTCTATGTATACATTAATCAGGCAGTCTGTCTTGTGGTTGTTATATATTCCCGTGAGTAGAATCTACGTTTCTGGAGACCAACGAGCTGTCAACAATGAAGGGCTTGTGTGCTTGGAGAGGAAGAGGTGAAGACACCTTACTAGGTACATACTCTTACTCTTATGGGTTGCGTGCCTGTAGGTATGAAGCATCAATTGATCACTGGACTAAGTATAACGGTCCTCTATATACCAAGTCAACGGAATCGACAAGCAGAAAGCTGATGTATACTTCAAGCATACGAAAGATTTACTTGCAGGTATGTATATCCAATATGTAAGCGATGTTTCGTGGGATGGTCCGGCAAGGATTGATGTCATTCAGCCGGACCTAGACATAAATAGCACATCACCCTGTCGTACATTTACGCCGTCATGGTGACCCTGCATTTGGGGCACCCGTTTTTGTCAGCACCCGTGGCGGGGTTTCGACGCTGCAGAGCCCTTGTGCCAAATTTTGATCGCTTGAAAACCTCACACACGACATCGACGCAAGTTGGCCAAGATGGCAGCGCAAGTCCCCACTGAGGCTCTCAAGGAGCTGAATGGTGAGGATTGCAGCAAAATTGTAGCAGTTTCGATATCCCCCTTGCTGACTCTGCATCTACAGTGGCCGAAGGTGCCCAGCCGGCGGGCCAGGCTGGGAACTCGGCCAACGGCCATGCCGAAGACGCCCACGAAGGCGACGACTCCGAGGACGACGCCGAAGAACCCTTGGCCACCGGCGCCGCCAAGAAGAAGAAGAAGAGAAAGCCCAAGAAGAAGAAGAAGGCGCCGACGAGCCAGACGGAGCCCCCCCGCGTAATGGTCAGCCAGCTGTTCCCCAATAAGACGTATCCCAAGGGCGAGGAGGTCGAGTACAAGGACGAGAACCGGTACCGCACCACCAGCGAGGAGAAGCGCCACCTGGACAACCTCAACAGCGACTTCTTGGCCGACTACCGCGAGGCCGCCGAGGTGCACCGCCAGGTGCGGCAGTACGCGCAAAAGGTCATCAAGCCCGGCCAGACCCTGACCGAGATTGCCGAGACCATCGAGGACAGCGTGCGCGCGCTGACGGGCCACCCGGGCCTGGAGGAGGGCGACGCCCACATCGCCGGCATGGGCTTCCCGTGCGGCCTCAGCCTGAACCACTGCGCCGCCCACTACACGCCCAACGCGGGCAACAAGATGGTGCTGCAGCAGAACGACGTCATGAAGGTGGACTTTGGCGTGCACGTCAACGGCAAGATTGTCGACTCGGCCTTCACCATGGCGTTTGAGCCAAAGTACGACAACCTGCTGCAGGCCGTGCGCGAGGCCACCAACGCCGGCGTGCGCGAGGCCGGCATCGACGCGCGCGTGGGCGAGATTGGCGGCGTCATCCAGGAGGTCATGGAGAGCTTCGAGGTCGAGATCGACGGCACCACGTACCCGGTCAAGAGCATCCGCAACCTGACGGGGCACACGATCCTGCCGTACAGCATCCACGGCACCAAGGCGGTGCCCATTGTCAAGAGCAACGACCAGACCAAGATGGAGGAGGGCGACGTGTTTGCCATTGAGACATTTGGCAGCACCGGCAACGGCTACGTGCGCGACGACGGCGAGGTGTCGCACTACGCAAAGGTCGGCGACGTGCAGCACGTCGACCTGCGCCTGAGCTCGGCCAAGGCGCTGCTCAACGTCATCAACAAGAACTTTGGAACGCTGCCGTTCTGCCGGCGGTATCTGGACCGCCTTGGCCAGGAGAAGTACCTGTTGGGTGTAAGTGGTGATGTTCCCTCGAGAACCCCCTTTCTTTTTTTGCCCCTTTATTGCTGATGTTCCATGTGGTGCTGACGTGTTTCTGCTACAGCTCAACAGCCTGGTGCAAAACGACATTGTCGAGGCGTACCCGCCCTTGTGTGATAAGAAGGGCTCGTACACCGCTCAGTATGAGCACGTAAGTTCTTGTCCCATCTTTTCTTGAAACGCGCAGAAGGAGCACAACGACACACTCAAGACGCACACATGCTAATGCACTGACGGACGGTAGACTATACTTATCCGACCCACCGTGAAGGAGGTCATCAGCCGCGGCGAAGACTACTAGAGTCAAGATGGATTTCTGGAATACGACGTTCTTGATAGTCAGCCCTAGGGGACAAAGATAGTAAGTCACGCGGTACGTAGCACTACGGAGTGCCGTCACTGTTCAGGAGTAGGAGGAATACACGGCAGGTATTTACTATGGTCTCTAGTACCTCTAGCTACAGGCATAAGGCAGTGAAAAGTACATAGCATCTGAAACAAATGAAAGATATTACGACATGATTGCACCTTATCCGGCAGTGGTTTGACTGCAGCCCTATCAGCCTCACTCCGTCTCACGGAGCGTAGTTTAAAACGCCGAATTACAAGCGATGAAGCAAAGCAACCCTCACGAGGAGAAGACGGCATGACGGGAAGTAACGGTAATTCTAGATCGATCTGGAAGCGGCCTTCCCCGGGATCGAAAAGCCCCCCAGTCCCCAGTTGCCAGCAAACAAACAACCAGCATCTTCCCCATCTTGCCCATCGAACTTGTGCCCAATGAGCGACGCTCGATGACGGTGCAACAAGGCGGTGGCGAGGGCGGTGACGATGCGGTCCAGCCGATGCGGCCTCGCCACGGCTTTTCTGCCAGTTTCCAAGCCGAGAAGCGCTGTGATGATCCTTGGGAAAACTTGAACCGAGCCGAGAAACTTGATTCGCCCGGGCCGTCACGGCTTTCCCCCTCCTTCCCCCTTCCCTTCCACCCCTCCGAAACTCTACTACTTTCGTACCTTCCAACCTTCTCCTCACTCTCTTTGTTCGCAGTCACCGTCTGTACCTCTTGCCGATTCCCGCACCGCCGATGGCCCAATCACATGCGCCTCCGGTTTCCACCGTCCCGAACATTTCTCGCTCCAAGGTGACGCAATCTAACCCGATGCGTGCCAAGTGCTTCCGTTTGAGGGATAGCCTATCGATAGCTGGTCTTACTAAGTCCATGGACAAGAGCAGAGCGAAGAAAGGGCTGAGAGGAAAAAATCTCTTTTCCGGCGAAGTCGCTGTCTCCGATGCCGAAACACGGCTCCTCTTCACATGCCGCAATTCGCAAGCTCCCTCTGACTGAGCCTAGTAGAGAACAAGAAAAAAGCGCACGGCTGACTAGATTTTTTTTTCTTATCCTATTTCGCTTTCCCCGGCCTCTCCATATATATAACATTGCACAAGTTTCCCATACCCCGGATTCCTTGTTTCTTCTTCCATCTTGATCGATTCGGGACTCAAGGCGCTCTCTTTTACATCATAGGCGGCGAAATCCTTCTTTCTGCCTCTGTTCCTGTTTTTAGAAGTTTCCGGATCGGACCCCCCTTGATCGGACATCCTTGAAGCTGGCACGCGACGGGGCTGATCGTTTGCCCTAGCCTGATAACATTGACGAAATTGATTGGATTTGATTCGCCTTCTGACCCGCCACCCGAATCGGAGCTTCTCTCGATATAACCAACCGACAACCCTTTTTTTTTTCCCACCTCGACTCCTCTTCTACCTTCCTTCGATTATATCGAATAATACATTCTTTTTTCTCTCCACCACTTCGATCGTTGAATACATTCCTCTTACACTAGAGCGACAAACAACAAAAGAAAAAAGAAAAAGCACCGAAAAAAAAAAAAACAGAGATGAAGGTCTTTTCCAACTCCGTCACCTACGACTACTCGTGGGACGAGGTCTCCACGGCCAACTGGCGCAAGTACGGCCCATGGAACAACAAGTCGGAGCACGTCATCGCCGTCGACACCCTCTCGCGCCGCGTCGACCCGGCGACCGGCATCCTCCGCACCGAGCGCTTCATCACATGCAAGCAGGCGGCGCCTGACTGGATCAAGTCGCTGCTAGGCGGCAACATGGAGGAGAGCTTCGTCTACGAGGCCAGCTACGTCGACCAGCGCAGCAAGACGGTGACCATGGTCAGCCAGAACCTGACGTGGAGCAACCTGGTGCGCGTCCAGGAGGAGGTCGTCTACCGGCCGCTGAGCGCCCACCAGACGCAGTTCCTGCAGAGCGCCCGCATCACGGCGCTGTGCGGCGGCTGGCAGCGCATCAAGAACGGCATCGAGGACTCGCTGTGCACGCGCTTCAAGGAGAACGCCGTCAAGGGCCGCGAGGGCTTCGAGCGCGTTCTCGAGATGAGCCGGATCGTTTTCGCGGAGGAGAAGGAGAAGCTGAAGCAGCAGATGATGTGAGTTGTTGGATCATCATCTACAGCCTCTGTCCTGCTCTTGAAGCAAACTCTCCTCTGTGCGACGACGACGACGCTACCACCACGCTTCAACAACAAACAAACAAACAAACAAACCATCTCCACTATGACGAACGAACCTTGTGTTTATATCCACATCTCTCCTTTGTTCGGGAAACCATTACGGCGGCGGCATACATCTTCTGATTTCATCTTCATGTTACTTTTCTGGCGCGGCGTTTGGGGATACACAAAAAAGTTTTGGGAAGATTAAGAGGGCACGAACGAACACACAAGAAATGAGAAGAGAGGGGGTGCCATCACGGCAAGAGAAGAATGGAGGAAGAACAAGAGAAAAGAAGAAAGTGGCCAGGAAGTAATTCGGCTGTCGTTATTTTCTCTTTTTCCCTACGCTATTTCATCATTCCTCTTCTTAGGAGGAACGCGAGATACCACTTCTTTTTTTCTGCGTTAGACACATAAAACGGGGCGTGTTGATTTCTTCCGGAAGACGACACGGGGACTTTTATATCATGGACTCAGCGTGCGGGCGATGATAGATTCTATTTGTTTTTTTTTTTTTTTTCCTCATTGTCTTCGTTGGTCTTTTCTAGAGAGACTAGAACATGCTGTATATTTAGAAAGGCAGACATTGCGCTGCACGATATATGCTTTTGTTAGAAGGCAAAGTCAACGAGATGCCATGGCAAACAAAGCTTTCCTCTCAGCACCTCGGTCTACAAGATGCAACTGTGACTCGCATGGAGTTTTTCGTGCCTAATTGACGAGTAATGTCATAGATATATACTCCCTTGGGCATCAACTGGAAGGTGTCTGTCCTAAAGTAGCAATGTAATGTTAGGCAGAAATTGAGCCTCCCATTTCACAGCATTTTTAACGTCCCACGACAGGCGAAGCGTCTCTTATGATGAGGCTCCTCAAGCACGAGGCTGCACACACAGGAGGCTCCTCACTGAGTTGAGGCTCTTCACAGCATTTTTAACGTCCCCCGACAGGCGAAGCGTCTGCCCTGGACGTGTTATCGATACATAATGCAGCAGTGCGCCTTGATGAGACGAACATTCAGCGAATCAAAACGGCATGTCACCACACATATAGTACCTTGCATGGCAATGCCAGATCGGATACATGTCGAACTAAACCAGGCGCTCTATGAAAATGTGACGACGGCCTCCAGAGGCGTCGTTGCAAGACTAAAAGTTCATCTCCCCATCTACCGCCCTCCTACACCAAAGACAGATCCAGCAACCGGTCAAACAACGGCGTGCCCCATCCCGTCACCGGATCCCATCCAGGCACGGCGTCCCAGCCCGCGTTGGGAATCTTGGGCGATTCGAGACGTTCTATGCTTTTGCCTGTGCACCCCGTGGATCTGGATTCTGTGATACTATCCATGCACGTGTCAGCAATATTACATGGTCGGGTTGAGAAGGTAAATGGAATCGTACTCTGTGAAAGCATGGCTGCCGATGCTGTAGATCCAGGGATTCAGAAATCCCATGGACGGCATGCCGTTTTTGGATCGATGGTCGTTGAGCAGAGCGATGAGAGCCGCAAATACCGGCGCAGAGAGGCTATCGATGCTGTCGTCAGTCTTGCGAAGCGCCCGCCAACAGTGTTTCTGAGAGATAATACCTTGTCCCGGAGATCAAGCTCTCGTTCCGATGAGCCCTGAAGCGATAATTCACCCCCTGAGCAGCAACATCAGGAAACCCCCTCCCGCGAGGGTCATAGTAGCCCTTCCACTCCTCGCCATGCACCCCGAGATACGCACCAACAGCCCTGTCCTGCCACGCCGGCCTCGCAAAGTAATCCGAGAAGCCCCCAGACGAAAAGTCCGCCGCCACCTCCGGCCCGATGCCGCGCGTCGCGCCCACGCTCGTCACGTAGGGGCACGTGGCGGGGAACGAGGGCATGAACTTTGGTCTTGTTGCCGAGCCGTCGTTTGACTGGCATGATACGCCGGGGCCCTGATCGCCGGAAGCCACAACGATGGAGACGCCGCGGGTGCCGAGCTGGCCGAACATGTCGCAGACTTGCTGGGCGTAGGACGGGGGAAAGAGCTGCTCGTTGGCGCCGTACGAGATGGAGACGACTTTTGGGAGCTCATCGTCGGGGAGATCGAGGAGGTGGCTGGTGAATTCGAGGAAGGGCTCGAGGGATTGGTTCTCTGTATCGACTAGGCTGCGGGTTTTTGCTTCTGATCAGCAGATGCGCTCACAAGATATTGAACTTGGCAAACTCACTCCAGGTCTGGGATGATGTCGTGGTTCTCGCCGCCGACGGCGTAAAAGCGGACGGGGACATTGTAGCCCATTGCAACGGCGTACTGGATATCCGCGTTGGCCTCGCTCGCCGGCTCGTTCACCCCCTGGGGACTCTGTCCTCCATTGACTGATTCGATGGAGAAGTTGGCGTTGGCAGAGGAGGGCGCAAAGTCGTGGAGGAACTTGTCGAGTTCGTCGTACTGAGCCGCTTGCTGAAATCCCAAACATTACTCATCGCCATATATAAAATGAAAGACTTACGGGAAACTTACCCCACTGAATCCCACGATACCAAACAGATTGCTGCTCTCATGCTTTGCTCGGTAATTGTCGACATGATAGAGTCTTCTCAGGCAGCCAGGCGTGATGGCCGTCTTGCATTCTTCCCAGTCTGCTTCTGTCCAAACTTGGTCGAGGGGGTCCTGTTTTGAATGCGAGTTTGTGGATGGTGTCTTCGACTTGTCCAAGTTGTCCGGCAGCGATGGTCGTAGCACCGGAGCATACTGAACGGTCATGACGTGCCTCCCTATCCTTTCAGGCAATGAGGAGACTGCTATTGTCTGCGAACCTCGGGTTGAGTTGTACTTCAAGCCCAACAGCATCTGGGCCTTGTCAGCGAGCGTCTGGACGTGGAGAAACTGCCCGTCAGTCGAAACATGCCCGGCAGGGACGCCAGCCCTGGCCAGCCATCCCCTGACGGCATCCGTGGACTCTTGCCGAGGGCGGAGCAGAGCTTTGGCTTCTTCGCGGCCGAGGTGACGCCCGTACCGCGGGCTGGAAGGGTCGGAGAGGTGGCGAAGCGCTTGCTCGAGGAGCTCTCGGCACTCTGGCTGCAGGGCGACGGAGATTCTGGCGAGCTGGGTTGTTGTTGTTGTTTGGATCGCTCCATCTTGACTTCCGGGGGGTGATGGTTTCACGATTGGGTTCCCTGTGGCCAGGGCGGTGGTGATGCCCAGGAAGAGCAGGCAGGCTTTCATCTTGAGCCGCTTGCAGCGAGGTTGCCCCTTCGAAGAGAGAGAGATGAGCGGAAGGGCAGGCTGGCAGCCTTGGAGAAGAGTTGCTGTGCAGCAGTGGGAAAACTCGAACGGTATAGACGACGGTTTAAGTATTCTGTAGAACCTGAAGTCGTATGACATCTATCTCGATATATTCAAGCCACAAAGCTCCCCGAGAAGAATCACACTCATCCAAGCACATAACCTCTTTTCGCGTTTGCAAGCCGCTTGGTATTCTTGATCCCAGTCTCACCACATGGTGAGCGTTCCTCGAAGAACAATACTAGCCGTGTGTGATTGTCCCCCCCCTTGCATCGAAGCTCCATTCTGCACTCTCCCGCGTGGTGATGGAGGCGCACATTCGGGAATTTTCTGCATTGGGTGTTTTGGTCTGCCGTGCAAGTTGAGTCCCGGAGAGAAGAGGCTCCGGCGCCTCGGCAGAAGGGACCCAGTAAGAGGGTCTGGTGATTCGACGTCTCTGTAGGGGAGGAATGCGAGTACCCGTTCAGCTGTTCCGGTGATGAGCTTGAGGCTTCGGGGTCTCCGAGACATTGGTAGAGCTCAAAGATGCTGTTGGGTGATGGCACTCGGCTTCGGGAAGAACTGGGACGCTGGTACTATCAGATGGACACGTGCATAGTGTGGCATTTCGCCTTTACACGTCCACGGCCAGGTACTGATGATGCTGCTACAGGTCCATCTCTCAAGTTGGTCGAGGCTCGAGAGCCCAGGCTGTGGGCTGGAGTGCGAGAAGCATTTCCGACGGCCTGCGTGCTTGCTCGTTTGCTGGTTACACAGGGGAGGGTACTTGGGATTCCCAGAGATACTGCGAGATACTTGACAGGAGGAATGATGGAATAAATCTGCTCGGCATGCTTCTGGCTCAGGCCTTCTGAGCAGAAGCATGTTCGCTTTTCGGATGCATTATAGGATTTGCTGTGATTCAGTCATCTTGTTAAAGCTTCCAACTGCAATGATTGATGAACGGATACCTATGTAGCCACTCCTTGTGATGCTAGCCATGCGCCACCTTAGTACCCAGCTGTCTACCGAATAGTACCTTATAAGCCAAGTTGTATCATAGCCGTGCAAGCCATCCTTCGCCAAACCATCATCAGTCACCATACAAAGAATCATCGCCGTCTCACGGCCTCATCCCAGCAACAGGGTAGCCCTCTGCCTCCAAGTAGTAGTATGATTCTCTCCCTTCCAGGCAGCAGCTGTTTGCCCACCCGCAGACTCACCCACTCTCCACCAGCTTAACCCCCCAATTCTGCCGCCCCACCACCAGCCGCGCCACGCTCACCGCTTTGCGAGGCCTATAAAACAGCTCGTCGCCCGCGCGCATTTTTAGAATCTTTTTTCTTCTTTTCTTCTTTAGCTCTCTTTGCCTTTTGGCTTAGATCAAGTGTAGTATCTGTTCTTTTCAGTTTAATCTCTGAAAGGTCTCTAAGGAGACCAATCGTGATTATTCTTATTTTTGGCCCCCGGGAGGTTTCCTCTGTGCTTGCGCATGATTCCTCCCACAGTGTCCCTGGTATTACACTGCCTCCAGGTGACGCGACCTCGCTCTTTTTTCTTTTCATTACTTGCTGGGGCTTGCCCTGGTGGTGAAGAAGGGATTTGCGTAGACAGATGTTTTTTGAGTAAATATTTTTGAGTTGTGATCGCGTCGAGTGCAATGCCAGTCTGTTGAAAGCGCGTAGAGTCGTGATGCAACGCCTTGACGTAGCCTCGCTCCAGCTGTAAATCTCTGCCATCAGCCGTGCCACCGCAGAGCCTCAACATCCTCTCATCACCTCCCAAGCCCAAGATCACATCAACTAAATACATCTCGTACCAAATATCGGAAAGGACACGAAATTAAAATAAAAAACTGCTGCCACTCTAAAAAATCTCCCATCTTCTTCATCCCACTCCAAAAAAATTCACAGAAATCTTCACCAACAAATACACAAACAGCCACAGCCTCACAACCATGGCCGCGCCCCCGCCAACGCTCCTCGACCCCTCCATCTTCGCCTCCCTCGAGGCCAAGCTCGAGGAAGAGACCCAGATCCGCGACACCCTCTCGCAGCTCGTCCAGCGCCTCGAGCGCTCCGTCGCCACGGCCCAGGGCCTGCTCTCGCGGGTTCACTCGACGCCTCGCTCACGCTGTAAATAAGAACCCCCTGCCTGGCCTTTGCATATTTTGCAACAACATATCAACTGAAAAATTCCATCCACTACTCCTCTTTCGCTCGAAAATTCGAAAGCTCATTATCTCATCGTTTTCAATACAGACCCCCAACTCGTAGCTCAAGTCGAATCCGCCGTCAAGGATGAAGCTGCCATCATCAGCGAGCTCGACAAAGTCGCCTCCCAGCACCCGTACTACAAGTCTGTTCTCTCTCTGCCTTCTCTCATCACAAGTAAATCCAGGGCATCTCATACTGAACTTCTTGACAAGATACAACTACAAATGGACGCGCTCCGTCCAGCACGCCATCGGCACAGCAATCTACTGCGCCTGGCTAGGCGGCTTCCCGCCCAAAGCCCCCGAACCAGAAGAAGCCCCCTCCTCAGAGGCAGCACCCTCTTCTGCTTCTTCTTCCTCCAAGGAAGCTGAGATAGGCCGCCTCCTCACCCTCGAAGAAGTCGGCGCCATCTTTTCCGGTACTTAAATCTCCCCCTCATCTCTCCTCTCATCTCTCCTCCCTCATATCCTTCTCCTTTCTCCATCCATCCTATATCCTCCCGGAAAAGAACGTGCAGCAGAACTGATAACAGAACGCAAACAAAAAAGTCCCCACAAACCTCAAATCCCGCGACGCCTTCCACCTCACCATAGAAGAATACCTCCTCTCCCTCGTGGACCTCACCTCCGACCTGTCCCGCCTCGCCACAAACGCCGTCACCCTCGGCGACTTCCAGCTACCCCTCGCCATCTCCGCCTTCGTCAAGGACCTCTTCGCCGGCTTCCAGCTGCTCAACCTCAAAAACGACATCATCCGCAAGCGCGCCGACGGCGTCAAGTACGAGGTCAAGAGGGTCGAGGACGTCGTCTACGACTTGAGCCTCAGGGGCCTCATCCAGAGACCTACTGGCGCCGAAGGAGATACCGAGATGGAGGCTGCTCAGTAATGGGGGAAGATGCGAGATGTGGTGTCTTTTGCCTCAGCTTACGAAGTTACTATTAATCACAAATGTAATATGCCGTGAATAAGCATTTGAAACTGATACAAGGTGTAACTCGTGGGAAACCGTGTGTGCATGAGAATCTGTATGTAGGCACTGGTATAACTTATAACTACCTACTGTTCAACAAAAGAGGTTCGACCCGGCAGATGAGGAATACGAGAAGAAAAAGAAAAAAAAAAAGACTTCATATCTGGTATACAGGCATGCAGATTGCGCCCATCTGCTTGCCGGATTCTCGAACCCCCTGAATACTTTCCGCCGTTCTAAAACGTCAACGCCAGTCATGTTTTCCAGCATTCCGCTGCCCATAGTAAACTCGAGCACTGTGCCGCGGATTTTGTTTTGCTCCTCAATGTGTATCAACGCATAAATTCTCAAGAAGATATAAAGGAAAAGAAGAAGATGAGGAAGAGGAACCCAAAAGCCACTTCTTCAGCCGTGTCGAAAGGTGCACTTATCACCTCGAGCACATTTGCCTTGCTGCCAAAAGGTACATGGCTTGGTCCCTATCAGAGCTTTGTTCGCAGGCTTGTGGGGCGGTAGCGTGCCCTTCTTCTTCCTGCCTTCCTTGCCGTGGTCTCCTCTCGGGTTCTCGTTCCGATCCCAGTCCCGTTCGCCTCGATCGCCTCGGTCACCCCGTTCGCCGCGCTCGCCTCTATGGTCATAGGATGGAGGCGGCGGCGGCGGAGGCGGCGGCTGCTGGCCTTGCGCCATCTGGGTGAGCATCAAGAGCTGCTGATAGGAAGGATCGTTCGGGTTCAGATAACTGGTGAGATTCGCGGCTTGCATTGCGGCAGCAGCCTGCTGAGGCTGGTTGATGGCTGCGAGGATCGACTGCAGCTGGCCGTCGGGGATCTGGGATGCTGCTGGTGCTGCTGCCGCGGCAAGCTGGGGAATAGCCTGATGCTGGCCGCCCGTCATCTGCTGCAGCAGCGCCATGTACGGAGCATAGCTCTGATGCTGGGCGTATTGCGCCGCCCAGTCTTGGCCGAGGTTGTTGTTCGAGGCGGCGGCCGCGGCAGTAGCAGCAGCAATCTTGAGGGCGTTTGCTTCGGCCTCTGCTCGCGCGCGTGCCTCTTCCTCCTTCTTCTGCCTGGCCGCAGCCTCCTTGTTGTATCCAAACCACCATTCCCGGATTCTCTCTTGGTCAAACGAAAGCCACTCTGGTGGCGAGGTTGCGGGAAACGGCTTCCCAATCAACATACGCGTAACCTCTTCGATGGCATTTGCATTGAGTCGCACCGTGGGATCCGTGTAGTTGTAGGGACGCACAGTGTCTCCGGTGGGCACCGGGTTTGCATCTCTCCAAGCCTTGACCTTGTCCGACTGAAGCAGTGCGAGGACAAGCGCCTCTACTGAGGGCCCCAGGAGGAGCGGAAGTTGAAGATGTGCCTGCCGGCTCTGCATCAAAGGCACCTGCTGGGACGAGGATGTTGACGCCGACGCACCTCCCTGGAGCCGACCCAGAATTGAGTCAAGCTTACTTGAAGGGCTGTGTTTGGCGTCGAGTCGCTTCATGGCGGAACGCAGCGCCTCATCTGGTCCGTACTGCTGCTCATCGCGCCATCTCTGCTGGATTTCTTCGAATTGAGGGTGTTCACGGGGTAGATAGGCCGTCTTGGCCTCATGGCTCGGCGTTGCCGCCTCTGGGAGAGGAGACTTGGGCGTCGCGGGGATGTCGTTGACGTCCGTGTAGATGGCCATCAGCTCTCTCTGCTCCCTTTCCGCGATTCGCTGCTGCTCGTCGGTTGCAAAGGTCACCGTGCCGCCACGCGTGACGAAGCTCTTGCTCCGTACGTCGTCGGGCAGTACCGTGAAGTCCGTCGCTACGGGCCCCAGCCAAGGCTGGTAAGGAATGTCATCGTCGTCCTCATCCTCGTCGACGTTGGCACGCTGCTTGAGCACCATGCCTTCGGAACGGTCATCGGCTGCGTCTCGGATCATGTTGCCCTCCCTGCCCTCGTCTTCTTCATCATCCTTGTGGAACACCCTGACTTGCACAAGCTCCTCGTCGGCCTTCCAACTGACCCTAAGCTTCCTACGAGCCTCCTTTCGGAGCCGCTTGGCCTTTTCCTCTGGGTCCTCTGGCGTGCTAGACTCTCTCGTCTCTCTCGTCACCGAGACAAGGGCCTCGGGCGCTTTGGGCGCGTTGATCGAGTCGAGTAGAGAAGCGATTCCCGACAAGGCGCTCGCGCTTTGCGTCGAAGACGCTTTTGATGCGTGAGGCTTTGCTTCCACTTTGGTGGCAACCACCTTGCCGGGTTCCACCTTTGTTGCTGGTTTCTTCGCTTCCACCTTGCTCCTGTCATCACCGGACCCTGATGGGCTGTCCACCTCGGATTTGACTGCTGGCTTCGGAACGGGCCGTGCCTTGCCAGGGAGGAGAGAAGACGGAGGCGCTTTGGGAGCAATGATTTTCGATGTGGCTGGCGGATGAATCTTTGGCTGCGCTAGTTTCTTGCTCAGAGAACTATTGCCAGGCTCTACAGCAATCTTCTTCACCGTCCGAGAGTCCGCGTCGTCGTCTCGGCCACGTTTCGCTGAGGGCACATCTGCAGATGGCTTGATGCCAGCTTTCGCTCTACTCGCCGCCGAGGTTCCGGTATAGCCCGTCGAGGAGGTGTCCGAATCGGCCTTGGTGACTTTCCTCATGTTGGCAGCAATTTCGCGTGCCATCTCTTTGACGTCGTCGTCTCCCTTATCCTCAAACCTCTTTCGTACCGTTTCAAAGTTGGGCGTCTCGGCAATCTTCTTGGTCATGCGAAAGTGCGTAAAGAGCTCCAGCAGAGCCTTGGGCAGCTTCCCGGAGAAGTCGCCGGCCTTGATGGACGCAATCATGGCGTTGATGAGAGAGAGAACCAACTTCTGGTGGCCACCGAGGTTGTCCAGGACAGCGTCGTCGGCGTGCTCAAGAGTGACGTCGATGGCCCGATAGAAGGCCTCCTTCTTCTGCTCTGCTTCCTTCTTCAACTCTGCAAGTTCAGCATCGGGGACCTTGTTTTTGACGGCATTGTCCACGTCCGATTTCGCCTTGTTCATCTCATTGCGAAGCTTGATGAAGAATTCACCAGCCTGCTGTACTCTTCCAGCAATGAGAGCATTTGTACGAGGAACGGAAGCTTCGATATGGACAATTCCGATAGCGTCCCAGGCGGCAGCTTCGGTAGGATCAGCTGGGCGGACAGGCGAGCGGATCTATAAAGCGTGTTAGCAAGTCATCACAGTCTTCAGCTGTGGAATCCACGAGCACGTACCGGCTTCGCTCGGTCATCTTCCTGCTCTTTCTTGGCCCTCTTTTCTGCCTTGTTCTTCGAAGCTTCGTCGGATTTCAGCTGCTCCTTAAACGCATCTGTTAAACAGTTAGCATCTCCGACATTCATACACAGAGTAGGCCTTTCGACATACGTGGGTACTCGGTGTATTTAGGCCTTCGCTTGCCGAGTGCCTGCATAGCGCGGTCATATTCGTCCAACAATTGGCTTGCCTCCTCTCGTCGCTCGTCCAAGCCACCCTTGTCCGCAGACGGCCGATACTGAGTGCTGAATTTGCCCTGAATCTCACAAGGCAGATACCCTAATTCGGGTACTGCGGGACGGTCGTTGCGCGGCGGCAGTGCAATGCAAGGTGACAACTTGTCGTAGCTCTTGGGTGCCGGCAGCTTGATGGTGCCATCGAACACGAGATGTGGAAGTCCCCTGATGGTAGGATACTTGATCTGCGCGGCCTTGCTCCGCTTCGCAAATTGGGCGATGAGCTGCGCTTCCTCGGCTGTTGGTACGGGAACAGGCAGGCTTTCGGAGTCATCGTCTCTTCTCGCAGTGGTCTCAACCGGTAGGTCCATCGGATATGTCGGTTGTTCTTGAACGGCGGGCTCCGGAACACTCTTGGTCATGCGCTTCCTCTTCTTTGTCGCTTCAGTCGCCGGCTGAGCAGTAGTAGGGGGGCCAGCAGCAGGGGCGATGCCGGCGTTGATCTGCTGCTGCTGGGCTGCCGCATACTGAGCAGCAGACGTTGGCATCGGCTGGTGGTTGGAAGACGGGACGGATGGCTGCTGAAGGGCCTGTGTCTGTTGTGCTGGCGTGCCCTGAGGGGGTGTAGAGTAGGCATTGTTGGCCTTTTGCGGTGCATATCCCTGCTGCTGGGTATTGTACTGAGGATTGGGCTGCTGATAGGCAATGCTGCTATTCAGCTGGTACTGGCCACCCTGTCCACCGACTGCAGGCGAGAAGGCCTGTCCCTGGCGATACGGTTGCTGCTGTTGGTGTTGTACCGGCGCTGGCTGGCCCGGTTGTCCAAACCGGTGGCCCTGGGGGAAGCTCCCGTGCAAGTCATCAAACTGCTGGACGGGAGTGTGGCTTCCTTGACGAGCCGACTGGGACACCTGCTGTGGCTGGCCGTTGTAGGGGACTGTCGCATCGTAGAGCTGTTCGTTCTGGGGCGCGAATTGGAATTCATGTTGCGTGAATGCTTGAGAGGCGGCATGCGGATGGCCCTGAACCTGTCCCATATGGCCGATTCCATCGCCACCCAGGTTGACCTTTGACTGGTGCCCATACAAGTCGGGGTGGATATTACTAAAGGCTGGGTCCATCACGTCGGGGCCTGCCTGCGAGAACTGCTGATTCAATGAAAGAGCACCATGGCCAGCATGGAACGGGGTTTGGCTGGGCGCTGCAGAATGAAGGCCCCCGGCGAGGAAGGCATTTCCCTGGTGAGGCGCCTCGAAGAAGCCGGACGCTGATGGATCGGGCTGGTTCAAGTGTGAGTAAGAGGCCTGCTCGGCTGCCGGCTGAGGCCACGCCTGGCTGGGATCGAATTGGTTGCCCTGGTTGGGATATGCAAAGCCCGACTGCCACGAGTTGTGCCCATCAGTCGCACCGTTTTGGCCGGAACCAGACCAGGACTGCATCTTTCAAGCTGGTGAGTGGTACAGGCAGCAGCACACGCAAACTATGGGCGGGTATCAGATTCTAGCGCTATCAAGGATCCATCAGCAACCGACAATGGCATTTGTTTGTTTATCCCCAGACACTCGCAGCAAAGACAAAGGGAAGCTCTGGGCTGTGGATGTGACGTCGATGCGGGAAACGCGAGTTGCGAATGTCGCGTGGGTTCAAGCTGTGGCTGTGGCGTTCATGCACGAGTGCTGGTGCTGCAGCTGCAGGGCGACTGGGTGAGGCGGTGCAGGCAGAGGGCGATGTACTCACCCGGGGAGCTGAGGTGCGGCGGTACTTGCGGCAAGCCACTTGGTGTCGGACGGCAGATTGTCGGCAGAGCTCGGCGCAGGGCGCTAGGACGGAACAGGACAAGCTTGCATGGACAAGGGGGCGGTAGGGCGACAGATTCAAGTTGGTTCTCAAGAGACAGGTTCTGTAGAGGTGAAAACGAGGGCGGGTTAGCATTGATAGCCGAGACAGAGTGGTGAGGAGTGATGATTGTGAGGTGAGATGAAGACGACGGTGACCGCTCAATGAGGAATAATGAAAGAGAAAGTGCTGCTGCTGGTATGAACCCGCTGAACAGCGTGAGAATCATGGAGGACGAGAGGCTGTCTGGCTGTACTTTGTACAGACGGAGGGTGGAGCGCCATTCGCTAAGGCCCAGGATCGGCAAGCAAACAGAAAACATGTGCGCTGCCTCATGGCGGACAGAGACCAGACCAGCCGGATTAGGGACGGAAAGCATTGGAGCATAATCTTCGACGTAGAATGAATGCTCTGTTCCTGGGCCTTTGTCTCTCGTGTTCGTAATTCTTCTTGTTTCTTTTCTTGATTGTTTAAAAGAGTCGCCGGCTGGAGTTGCTGCTGGATGGCTTGGGGATCAACCGGCCTGGCCCGATCCCTGTTGCGACAGACTGAGGTCAAATCCCGCCCCAAAACTGCAAAAGCCTCCAAGTCTCGCCCCAAACGCTGCAACGACGCGTAATTGGCAACCGGCCGATGGGCTGCGACAAGGCGCAACAACACGGCCAGGTACTTTAATTGCCATGCCGACACATCGCGGCCCTTCACATCTAGACCGGGGCGGCCAGGATGCAGACGCGGCCACAGAGCAGTCGGGCCTGGGGCGACACCAGCTTCAACTGAACACCCTCTTTGGCGGCTGGGAGCTCCCCTGAGTTTTTACAGAGAAGCAGGCGACCAGTTCCAGCACCATTCAAAGGCCGAGGCCGCGCAAGTCGCTTTGCTCAACGTCTCGCATTTTAATGGTAACAAAAGGATTATAGAGAGTGGCGGCCCCATGCATCTGATTGATCATGGCCCGTCACGCGATACAGAAGAGGCCGCTCCCACGTCGAGGCCGCGCCAACACCAGAGGCTTGCAGTGCAGTGCAGAGGCAGGAAAACAGGCTGAGCATCAGGAGGAAGGGGATTCGCACGCCGAGCGGGAGGTAGGTGTCGGGGAAAGGGAGGGCTAGATGAGGGGATTGGGTGAGGAGGTGGGCATACCCTGCGGCTGCTGCGTCAATGGCAGCAGAATTAAAAGGTCCTTGATCACAGCCTACTCTGTACTCTGTAGAAACAGAAACTTCATGGCCCCTTTCCCAGCAAGTTGTTTACAGTATTATCCGATTTGGAGGCGAACACGAACACGTAGCCCGCCGTCTGCCAGAGTCGTGCAGCGAGGCACCGGGGACAGGAAAGGGGAGCAGAAAACGACAGAAGGATTGATGTCGCGGACGGATTTGGACGCGATTCTGCTGGGCTGTCGAGGCGCGCGAGGTCTGGACACGCTCGGTCTTTGATGGCGTCGGGATGCCGGCTTGTCGCAACCTGATGGAGACGGGGAGAGAGATGTTGGGGGAGCGTTGACGATGCCTGTAAAAAAAACAGGTCCAGGTCGTGTTTGGCAGTACGAAGTACGAGCCCGGCTGACGCCCCATAAGTCAGGCACCAACGCGACCGGAACCGCCAGAGCCGGGGGCATGTCATAGCTCCACATGCACCTAAGCAGGGCCGGCCATTCAGTCGGTCCGTGACACCCAGCCGTTCGCTAGAGCAGAGCTTCAGCGCCTGGTCGCCTGTGGGTTTAGCGGGAGGTGCAGTGAGTGAGTGACCTGCTGGGGGGGTGGTTCGTAGTGGGAGAGCTCCGTTTCGCAGCAGTTGGACATTGGGGGGTTCAATTCGATATCGTGGCCTCAAAGCTCAGACTGTGCTTCAACCACCGGCGCATTTCTTCGTTTGGCTGCCGATTGCTGTCTTCCTGTGCTCGGCGATTGCATACGCATGCCCACCAGCGATTGTTCTGCGCTCTGATTCAGCTGAGGCGCAGCAGCAAGCGACTCCTCGACATTGTGTTGCCCCCCAGATTCGACACCCATCGATTCAGCATACTTGGTACCTCAACCGACAACTGTCGAAGGTTTCTCCGACCATGGCGACCAAATATAACTCTCTGCGGGATCGCCAAATAGGTGAGAATAAGTGATCAACCGCGTGCGATGAGCCATTGCTGAGAACATGGTGTGCCACAGCCTCGCTCAAGAAGATCCTCAACCTCAACGAGACCATTGAGTCGAGCGAAACGGAAGAGGCTCATGCCAACGGACTGCTGGCCCCCGTCGCGCCAATTCTCGACGCCGAAGGGAAACCCATCTGGAAAGTCCTTGTCTTTGACGACCTCGGCAGAGATGTCATCAGCAGTGTCATGCGCGTCAGCGATCTACGCTCTATGGGAGTGACGATGCACATGTTCGTAGCTCCCCATGCTTCATGTCCACGACGATGCGGGATGGTTCTAACATGCGCTATGCAGGCACATTGGTACGCCGCGATATCCCATACCCGACGTGCCAGTCGTCTATCTGCTCGAGCCGAATGCGCGGAATCTGCAGCTCATGACGGAGGACCTGCAAAAGGGACTGTACTCGCCAGCCTACATCAACTTCCTGTCGTCCATCCCTCGAGACTTGCTGGAGGAATTCGCGTCACAAACAGCCGAGGCAGGAACCTCAGACAAGATTGCGCAGCTATATGACCAATACCTAAACTTCATTGTCGCCGAGCCGGACCTCTTCAGCCTGGGGATGCAAAACGAGCACACGTACTGGGCTCTCAACAGTGCAAAGACGAGCGATGCTGAGCTGGATGCGGTGGTGGACAGGATCGTCAGTGGCCTCTTTAGCGTCGTGGTGACAATGGGTAAGTCGAGCGCACTGGTCAAGTCCTTGACAAATCGCGGTGTGCTGACTCGTCGTTTCTAGGCGCCATTCCCATCATCCGCTGTCCCAAGGGTGCCGCCGCAGAGATGGTTGCGGTACGCCTCGACCGCAAGCTGCGCGATCATATCCTCAACTCCAAAGATAACCTGTTTTCCAACTCGCGGTCGTCGGCCGGCACGCCAAGCTCCAGGCCTGTGCTGATCCTCCTCGACCGCAACGTGGACTTGATACCCATGCTTTCGCATTCATGGACATACCAATCCCTCGTCCACGATGTCCTCTCCATCAAACTCAACCGCATCACAATCGAGACGCCCGTCGACGAGAGCAACCCCGCCAAGGGCAAATCGAAGAAGGGCTACGACTTGACTGCGAACGATTTCTTCTGGATAAAGAATGCCGGTGTGCCATTCCCGCAGGTGGCGGAGGACATTGACGCAGAGCTCACCAAGTACAAGGAGGAAACTGCTGCCATTACGAAGACGACGGGAGTGTCGAGCTTGGAAGACTTGCAAAACGACACGAGTGCGAGCGCGCAGCACCTCAAGGCCGCCATAACATTGCTGCCAGAGATGCGGGAGCGCAAGAGCATTCTGGACATGCACATGAACATCCTGGCGGCGCTATTATCAGGCATCAAGGATCGACAGCTGGACAACTACTTCCAGACGGAAGAGAACGTTATGAAGCAAACAAAGGCCCAGATTTTGGAAATCATCAAGGACGAGAACAAGGGCAACGACCCTACAGATAAGCTGCGGCTGTTTATCATCTGGTTCCTGAGTACGGAGCAGGAGGTCGGGCGGGCGGATTTTGAATCGTTCGAGAAGGCCCTTGAAGCGGCAGGCGCGGACGTTTCATCACTGCCGTATATCCGACAGTGAGTTGCAGATGACTTTTATGGTCGTGTGGTCGCTTTGCTAACGATGAATCACAGGGTACGGGCCACGACGAAGATGACACAACTGACGACTATCAACAACAACTCCAACCAGCAGGCGGCCTCGTCTGATTTGTTTGGACGGTTCTCTTCCATCTCATCCCGCTTGACGGACCGTCTCAAGGAGACGGGTGTCCCGTCTGGCCTGACATCGAATTTCGATTCTCTCATCAGTGGAGTCAAGAACTTTTTACCTGCGGATCGTGATCTCACGATTACCAAGATTGTCGAGTCCATCATGGAGCCCTCAACGGCCTCGTCCTCGGCAATAGCCAAGACGGAGAACTACCTGTACTTTGACCCTCGCTCCGCCAATGCGCGAGGCACCATGCCTCCGCCGAGTGCCATCCGGTCAGGGGGCGCGGGGAGCGCGCCGGGTGGGCTACCAGGCGCTGCGGGGACTGGCCAGACTGCCAGCTTCGGACAGCGACGACAAGGCTTCAGCGAGGCGATCGTCTTTACCGTTGGCGGCGGCAGCATGGAGGAGTACGGAAACCTGCACGAGTGGGTGAGCAGGACAAGCGGCGACCGGGCACGCAAGCGGGTGGTGTACGGCAGCACGGAGATGATTAACGCTGGGCAGTTTATTCGGGAGGAGCTGGAGAGGCTGGGCAAGGAGGTCTCGTCGTAGCGTCCCACGGTGACAGAAGGGAGACAAAATAAAACCAAGGTCAGAGCGAAGCATCTGCTCTATGGCCGGGGGGTTAAGCGTACCTCATCAGGATGCGAGGCTGGCACGATGAGCATAATGGTGGATGAAATAGAAGAGCCGTCGCGCAGGAAAGAATTGGCATGGCTCCAAGACACAGTTGCTACATGTCCCATAATTCATACGTGACCACTCTATAAACTGCTGCAACACTGCTTTTGCTTCAATCATGACCTTACCCTGAAGTTGAAGCTTAGATCAAGGGTAGTGTAGTAACCTAGGTAGTGAGGCTTCAGCCGCCTAAATTAAGCAGCGCCCTTGAGTGCTAGCACAGACCCTACCTACTGTAGAGAGCCTGTGCTACTGTCCGTACCGGTACGACGCTCAGCCTCAGCGCCAACCTCTGGCGCGTCAAGCCCAAGAGCGTCCAGCGCAGTGCACCAGAGAAAAAAAGCTCGACGGCATCACGCGGCGCCCCTTTGCCTTTTTCTCTGCATCAGCCTCTTTCGACCGTCTGCCACTTCTTCTCCTTGCTCCTTCGCTTCCACCCGCTTTTCTTCCTTACTTCTTCCTCTTCTTTCCTCTTCCCGCAATGCGATAACCGATTCCTCTCCTCTCTCTTCCGCTCTTCAATCGCCGATATCGTCACCAACACGCCTACTCTCAGCGACTAAACGCACCATTCTCCCTCGTTGCCAGATCGCGCGACTGCTCCCTCGACATCCCACGCCCCCGGAAGCGCGCACTCCGCCGCCCCGACTTCACGATAGCTTCATCAATCCTGCCAATCCACCCCCATCCGGCCGCCGCGATGGCTGACTCCCCAGCCAAAGCCGACGGCGGCTCCGAGCGGAGGTCGGCGGGCTACAAGTCGTGGAAGAAGAAGTACCGCAAGATGCGCATCGTCTTTGACAACAAGATGCACGAGTGCGAGGAGCTGCACAAGCAGGAGGCCAAGGCCGCCAACACGGTCAAGCGGCTGGCCATTGAGAACGAGTATGTACTCACGCGAGTCACGAGTCTTGCCTGTCCATCATCATCATCATCATCATCATCATCAGCACGAGAAGAGAATCTCGAATCTAACCATATCTTTTGTCATGCCGCAGCCGACTGCTGGACCTTCTCCTCGAGGTCAACAATTCTCCGCAGATTCCCCCGGACCGACAGATAGACTTGTCGCTCAAGCCGCCGTCAGACGAGGGAGCTCTCTGCCTGCCCATCGATCGCGACCATAGCAAGGACAAGGAGGCGGCCATGAAGAAGCTCGAACAGCTGCTCAGCGACATCCCCCATTCGACCTATGGCTCGGCCAAAGAGTCCAACCCGGCGTTCCTGGCTGACCTGGGCGCCCCCGACGGCGACTCCCATCCCGCCCACTTCCTCTCCGCCGACGACATCGACGACTACATCTACCTCATCGACAGCAGCATCGACCCCGACTCGCCCTTGCCCACCATGGCGCCGCTCGCCCACCCCAGTGCCCGCCCTCCGTCAAACCCGCAGACCAAGAATCCTACTAGTGTGACGAATTGGCTGCGGAAGCATGCGCCCAAGATCTTCCTCCAAGACGGCGAGACACATCACGGTGACGGCGACGACGAGGCGGCGGGCGCGGGCGCGGGCGGAGGCAGCAGCCACGCCAGCGCGCGCAAAGCTCGCAGCAGCGCAAAGGGCGATCGCAGCGGTGGCAAAGGCGGCAGCAAGGCCAAGAAGCCCAGCGCTGCGGCCAAGGCCAGTGCGGCGGCGGCGGCAGCAGCAGCAGCAGCAGCTGCTGCTGCTGAGCGCGGCGATGGCGACGCCAGCATGGATGATGACGGCGACTTTGGGGCGACGCCCGCGACGGCCCGCAGCAGCAAGCGCAAGAGGGAGGACGATGGCGGATACAAGCCTCGGGGGTCGTCGAGCCGGCCGTCTAAGAAGAAGCGCAAGAGCGACGTCGAGGCGACGCCCACGGCCCGCAAGTCCAAGAAGGATGCTGCGGCGGGTAGCAAGGACGACTAGGTTGATGACGACGCTGGCTCGCGGGGCTGTGAGTTATTGGGCCCTTATTACAAGTCTTTGGTGGGACAGTCAACAGGGCTCGACAAAGCTCGAGGCTGCGATTACGCCGATTTTTCATCTCACAACGAAATGGCAAACGAAGAAACAGCCTTTGTTTGCGTCGAGCATCCCGGAGGAACGAGTCAATGGGAACGGGGGGTTCTTGATTGAAAAGTTATGGGATTGGAGGCCGCATGTGTGTGTGTGTGAGCTGGTAGCTGGAATATCTCCAGGGGGCTTTTTTCTTCCTCGGCATTTGTATTAACGCGCGGTCTTTTTACGCCGCTCTTTCTGACTGCGTTTGTTGGAATCCAAGAAACCTTTTTGATGTGTTTTGAGTGGTAATAGATGCAGGTTCTTATGTAACTCTAGCAACGGATTCAAGAATTGATGAGGGAATTGACACTGACGAGCTTTTGTAATCCTTGATAATGTGTGATGATAACTACTAGCACCTTTTAAGATGTCAATATGTGATGGCAGTACGTGTACACCATAGAAGACGTGACGGATAACTGCAGACAAATGGTCGATGAAAACAAAGAAAAGACGGTTCTATGTATACGAGCAAAACTCTACAGGATATATAGCAGCAGTACTTTGATACATAGTGGTATACAGACGCCAATGCGTTTCGTCAACTTTCCGTCTCCCTTCCCTTCCCTATGACAGAGAGAAAAGTATTCTGTTCTCATCTGTGAAACATAAGCCGTCTCTCAGGCTAATAGCTCACAGAGGGGATCCCAGCAGATGTATGGAATTTTGGCGTTGCAAATCCCCGTACAACGAGGCGAGTGCTTACCCCTTTTTTTCTCTTCAGTCCTTTGACAGCTTTGATAGTGTTCCTTTTCTTTGCTTCCTTTCTCCTTTTTCAATCATGCGTCTTTTCCAGCTCAAGCCACTCTACTGCTTCAGCGTAGCCTTCAACCTCTTCTCAACAGCATCCAGGTACTCGTTCGTCGTCACGTAGTCGCCGCGCCCCGTCTTGCCGCACGCCAGCGCGAGATCCTTGGTCATGACCCCGTCGGCGTCCACCGTGTCGACGCACGCCTTCTCCAGCGCCTCGGCGAACTCGACCAGCTCGGGCGTGCCGTCGAGCTTGCCGCGCTGGATCAGGCCGCGCGTCCACGCGAAGATGGAGGCGATCGGGTTCGTGCTCGTCTCCCGGCCCTTTTGGTGCTCGCGGTAGTGGCGCGTGACGGTGCCGTGGGCGGCCTCGGACTCGAACGTCTTGCCGTCGGGGGTGATGAGGACCGAGGTCATGAGGCCCAGGGAGCCGAAGCCCTGGGCGACAATGTCGGACTGGACGTCGCCGTCGTAGTCTGCGGAAAGGGGGGGGGAGAAAAAAAGGTCAGTTCAGTCATTATATATCCAACTTGTTGCGATGAGACAGGAAATGTGCTCTTACTCTTGAGAGCCATAATGTAGCCGCCGGTGCTCTTGATCATCTGGGCAACCATGTCGTCAATGAGACGGTGCTCGTACCAGATGCCCTTGGCCTCGAACTCGGCCTTGTACTGCGTGTCGTAGAGCTCCTGGAAGATGTCCTTGAAGCGGCCGTCGTACTTCTTGAGGATGGTGTTCTTGGTGCTCATGTACAGCGGCAGCTTCTTGTCGAGCGCCAGCTTGAACGAGGCGTGCGCGAAGCCCGTGATGGACTCGTCCGTGTTGTCATGGCGCGGTTCCTGGCGCACGACGGGCCGGGCCCGTTCGACAGGTACCAGAAGTGGGGGCTCCCGCCGTTCGGGCTCCTCTAACTCCAGAAGGTCAAGTTCGTCCCGCCGCCGCACCGGGTCTGCGTCA